ATCTCTATCAACGAATGGAAGGCTCCCTACACTGGTGTCATCGCTCCTGGTACCACAACGCCCATGACTGGATCCGGTACCACTAGCAATCTGCCTTCCAACCCCAGCACTACAACCGCCCCTGTAACCAACCCAAATGGCGGCAGCAACGTTCCAGGAGCCGTCAATGGCACCGCTACAGGCACTACGACGGCGACGCCCACTAACTCGACTGATACCCCTGTGTCGGGAGGAGATTCTGGACCCAATGGCACTGCCATCGGAATCTCGCTCGGCATCATTGGATTTGCAGCTACGGGAGGCATGGTTGCGATGTTTATGATGAAGCGCCGTCGTCGTCGCCATGAGCCCCTGGACCTGGACGGCACTTACGTTGGATTGGATGACCAGTGGGAGAAGCCTGCGCGTCCACAGACACCACCCATGATTCCTGTACCCATCGCAAGCGGCGCTCCCTTGGCTTCGCGTGGACCCATGCAAGGGGGTCATCGTCCTTCGCCCTTTGAGAACCGCCCCGGTGGCGGTGGAAGTGTCGTTGGAGGATATGAGCCACAGTACGACCAGTATGATCAGTATGATCAGTATGATCAGTATGGGGGGCACCATCAGGGAGGAGGATACGACGCGTATAACCATAATGGATATCAGGGCTATCCTCCTCATGACTACGGATATGAGCACACGGTGCCGACCTCGGTGCCGTACCACGATAGCAAGGGTGGCAATTACCATGGTGGCAAGGGCGGCGAAGGTGGTCAATACATGTAGAAAGCAATTTGTTACCCACCTGTGTCCTTGTCGTCCCTATCCACTTAGTTTACCACCATAGCTAGCAGCTATATCATTGTCCAAAGAAAAGTACTTGATCCAATTGTCCATCCGCTCTTGATGTCTGAAAAGCAACATTGGTTTTATTATGAGATTCTCGGTCGAACCTGATACATAAACGCGTAGCTGGCCACATAGAATATCCAGGTTGGCGATTATTGTCCAGTCTTCTGTTGCTGTTGCCGCAGCTGAGCCTCGAGTATCCGCACATGCTCCTCGGGCTCTTCCCGCGTCGATTCCCGACGCTGCAGCTTTTCGTTCTCCTCTTTCTGATGTTTCTCATTTTCCTCTCTCTGGCGCCGCTCCTGCTCCTCACGCTCGCGTTTCTGTTGCTGCTGCTGCTATTGCTGCTGATCGCTTTCGTCCACAGTGCCAGATATATGCTGCTCTACTTTATCATCATAAAAATAGTTTTCTATGCCATCATCCCCATCCATATCTCCCTGTCGATTTCTCTTCGCATTCGCCTCTGCGAGCGCTGCTTGTTCTGCCATCCTCGCCGCCGCAGAGTCCGGACGTGCCCACACAAGGTCACTCCTCTGACATGTAAATTCCCATCCACCTAAGGCCTTCAGCTTCTCGCACTGGGCACGAGATCTGAAATCGGTGCCATAGACAAGGGGCGCAAAACTATACCAGGAGAGAATGACGGCAGCCATGATTCCGATACCAGTCAAGTAGCGGAGACGAGCCGGCCAGCGTTGCCAGGCTCGATCGAGTCGTGAGACAAGAAGAAGTATCGAGAAGTAGAGGGCCGGGAGATAGTGGTGCAGGTAGACTTGACGGGACATGAAGAAGAAGGGAATGTAATGTATCACCCATCCAGCATAGAAGGTCCCCGAGGCGACCGCGTAGAACGGAGTAATACCTGTTTGCAGCCACGGAACGGAAAGCGATTAGTTGGACGTAGCAACAAATGCGTACTGGTTAACTAAAGTAAACTATAGGGTGAGTAGATAAAACTTACCAAAGCGATCACGTTCGAGCTTGGACTCATGCTTGCCCTTGAGATACTTAATGACACTCCAGAGGCAGCTCAGCATGTACAGCCCAACAGCAGCAGTGGCCGTCCACCAGAGAAGGGGGTTGCCCATGAAGTGTACATAGTGATTGGTCTCCCTGCTGCTATAATAGTTTATGCCTCGCTTCATAAATGGCCAGCTCCAGGGATGCGACTCGTCCGAAACCTTGGGCTGGCCGCTAGAGTGGTCGTCTCCGTTGACAGGTGCACTCAAATCATGGTGGGTCCACCACATAACGCGGTTCAGCTCGAGGAACTTTTGGAAAAACGAGAGTGGCTGGTACGAGAGCGAAGGCGTCGATGTGGGCACTATTCACGATACGCGTAAACAAGGACGTGTGAGGTTAGTTTGAGAATATCAGTCATTTCTATACTGTATATTGTGAGAGAATAAAGAACGAGACTCACGGCGAGGATTCGCGTTTTGGTCGACGATGAAGATAGTGTTCGCCTTCTGGCGACTACCTTGGACGCAAGCTACTTCCTGGTAGGCCGAGTACGGCGCTCTAAAGACCTTATGCGACTGCAGATAGCAGTGCTGTTTCTCATTCCACAGCCTAAACCCTTTGATTGAATGCCACTGTTTTCTCTGATCCCTCTTCGTACCGGCACCTTGACCTTGTCCTGCAGCAGAATTACTGCTGCTCTCTTTCATCTCCCTCCCCAGAATCTTGGGTCGTTCGTCCTTGCGCTTTGTTTCTCCTACTACTGGCGTATTCTTGTTCATCTTCCCATAATGGTCCGCCAGGCCTGGCACAAGACCCTCTGGGACGAGTTCCACTCTCCATATGGTCTCTTCTGTCGGCTGATTTACCCATTGGATGCCGCGGACTTCTCTCAAGTAAGTCTTGTTGGAGCCTACAGATTCGATATCGTTAGTCGAGAGCGCGACTTTGGAGTAGCAGTGACGGAGTCGGATTTGGTCGCCGTCGTAGACATAGCCATCAAACTCGACAAAGGAGACTTTGCTGTTGTCCTGATTGAGCTGGACGCGCTCTTGGCGAAGAAGTAGGTCGGCAGGATGGACTTGCCAGCATGTCAGGTCGTCGTCCCATTCCACGAGCTGAACTGCTTGATCTACAAAGTAGCGAATGAACAGGGACAATATGCGTTAGTTTATCGAGTGGTGCAAAGAACACAGACAACGTGCGGTCCATGGGCTTAATCCTTGAGAGTACTCATTGGTACCTTTGGATCCATCACGAATGTATTCACCGGGCATGGTGTGAACCCATCCGCCGTTGGTGTTCGCATGACGAATGTGGACCTTGGATTCCCAAGCAATATCTAACGGGTAAATATCATCTAGGGCGTCAGAATGCAGCTCTAGATTCGTCCATAAAATGTGCTGTCTCATATCTCTGCGGCCACACTGAACTTACCGGCCATGACGGGCAACACACTGTGTCCTTTCAGAGTCATCTGGAATTGGGGGCTGACCCAAGCATTCCCTGACCCAGAATTGGAGAGAAGTCTAAAGTCCAGAGCATGCAGACCAACATAGAGTACCGCTGGAAGGATGAGAAGGCAGATGAACAGGGCTATAAACTGCTTTGAAAAGTCGCGCTGAGGATGCAAAAAAAAAGAGAGAGAGACGATATCAGTATTTAGCGATATCGAGTAATCAATAACTCAACGTCAAAAGGGCTTACAGTGCTAATGTAAAGATGGGTCCTGGATTCCTGCAGGTACTTAAGTACGCACACGCCAACTGTGGCAATGGTGAAAACCCCAACCCACTTGACACTGCGAAAAAAAAAAAAAAAAAAAAAAAAAAAAGAAACAGTAAGCATCCGATTAAAAGAAAATAAGCCAAAGATGTGTACAAAAGCACCGTGTTCTTACCTGCTGGAGAGAAAAAGACTGAAGCCTGTCTGAAACAACCACAACCACCATCCTCGAGTGAAGGGGCGATTGCGATAGTTATAAAAGTTGATCCACGCCAGCATGGTGTAACCCATGAACAACATCATGGGTGCGTCTAGTAAGATAAAGCGGCTTTGCGTCACCAACGCGTTCTCTGGATGTAAAATATACCGGCATATCGATTAGTTCCCGGTTTCTCAAAGAGAGGCTTTTAAATAGTAACAGATTGTTAGCCATAATGGCTCTTACCAAAAGTGATAAGAACGGCGCAGATCATGGCAGCTTGTGTCGAATGGCCCGATTTTTTGACCGTCCAGTATGAGATTGGAATCAAGCCCACGCCGCAAGCGACGGCAAACATGCGCATGCCAATATAAGGGACATTCCTCGAGTACAACCTGACAATCAACAAAAAATAAAGAGTGAGGGGTGATCTACATGGTATCAAGGCGTGTGTTTTTTTTCTTTCGTCACTGGAGACCTACTTTCCAGGCACGAATTCAAAGTCGCCATCGGACCGGAGCATGTAGGCCACTGCAGCATAGAGCATCTTGCCCAGAGGCGGATGGACATCCATGAAAAACTCACCCTTGAGATAATCTGCAGCAAATCCTCCAAAGTGCTGCTCATCAAAACTGGAGAATTCGCAAGGGTAACGTTAGCTGTTAGTCTACTGTCCATGCCCGTACCACAGACTGATTCCCGCACTCCTATCTTTCTCTGTGAGGGTAGCAAGCCTCCACGCATCAGATCTCTCTCTTTACTCCTGAAGCATAGTAAAAAAACCCCTCGCCTCCCTTCTTTTACTATTCTCATAATCAGCCGCGTCGTATAGACACGACAGTCGGCGTCATATCATATCGACATCCATTCCCCCTTCCCTTTTCCCTCCTGAAAGACCTGCACATAAAAACACCAAGAGTCGATAAACAGTTAGTACAGATCAGAACACAGGAACTTACACGACTGCGCCAGGCACTGCCAGCTTCCAAATCCGTACAAGGGTCGCTATCGCTGCCAAGAGCGACACCAGGATCACCTGTCCCTTCCGGCTCTCCCAACCTTTCTTCGAGAGCTGTCGTTTCTTCCATTTTTCATCGTCGTTCAGCCCCTCGTCATCATCCTCTCCATCGGCGTACGGGTCTGCACTGGGGAGCAATAAATCCCAATCGTTGAAAATATCACGAACCCCTACGCGCCCTCCCATGTCGCCCTTGCAGCTGGCACCCTTTTTCGCAGTCGGTTTCTTGGACCCGTAGCGAGCGTCGCTATCGTTGCCGTTGTCCATGTCGTCAGTAGGATAATTTTCCGACGAATGATGTGGCTCCGGGCGGAACGTCTTGCCAACCTTGCGATTAAAGAACCCGCCTCCACCGCTATCAGAAAAGCTGCCGCGACGAGATGATGAGGCGCTTGAGAGCGACGCTGGGCCTGGCGAATACGGACTGCCCTCTCCCGGTCCGTGCACTCCCCCTTCCAGAGACGTGTCGATGTTGAGCGACATCTCTGACGCGTTGCTATGTGTCCTGGAGTGGCCATAGAACGTAGGGACCGAGTTTGAGACCCCTGCCGTGGGCGAGTCGTATCCGGCTCCGGCAGTCTTCATTCGATAAGACCCATTGCGCTGCTGCTTTCGCTGTTGAGTCGGATCGGAAGCGTATGGCGACCCTGGGACTGATGAGGATGATCCGGATTCGTAGCCATCATACCCACCTGCGCCGTATCCTGCGCCGTATCCTGTGCCCCCACCAATGTAACCCTCACTGTCACCGACGACGGGGGTTCCTGGACGTGATCCGTACGGACTGTAGTACGGACTGGATTGTTGCTGCTGTTGCTGCGATAAGTTGGTACCGTGATTTGAATGGACCGAAGAAATACTGCTGGTCCTGGAGCGCATTCCTGCAGTATCTGGATTTGAGAATGGGAGCTCCGAGGACCCTCCAGGATTGTAGCCTCCAAACGACATTTTGAAGCTATTCTCACCAATTGACGCTAAGTAGTTGCCAAGAAAAACGGACGAAAAGAAAAGAGAAAGAGCCTTCTTTTCTAAGAGCTTTGCCCTTTGTGAACGTTTTATATACAGCTCGCGTTAACAAGGGCCGGATGAGTGTGAGTAGAATTTGAGGACAAGGTAGAAAGCAGCGAGAAATAAGAAGAAGGAAATGCACCGAGAGTCAAAGGCAAAAAAAAAATAGGAATGTGCCAAAAAAATAGGGAGGTAGTATTGAAAAGGCAAAGGGACATTCTGCTATGGAGATGATATCTACGAACCACTTCCAGCCCGAATCAAAAGAATGCTAGGGAGGCGACAAGAAAGGAGACAGGAATGTCTTTTCACGAAAGAGACTCCCTTCCGATAATACTTCCGCCAACTAAACACGTATACAGATCGTTGCGCTCATACATGGTGTGGTTGAATAAAGCGACAGTGATATCTTTTGTGTGTAGCGAAGGACCTAGGCATACGCGTGTCCCTTATTATAATTCTCTGCACTAGTATTTTTTTACCACGCATCATTTTTGACTGAATCATTCATTTCTTCCTGCGCACGGTAGGTTTTGACAGCGAGAGGCATGTCAAATATCTCTCACGGTATCAACCGCGCATTGCGCCGCTCTTGGATCTCTTCTGTGTCTTTGCTTCTAGACAACATTACACGTATCAAACCGTCTGACGACGCTCTGTTGTTGTTGTTGTTGTTATCGTTGTTGTTGTACATGTTGACTTGGTCAGTGCTTTATGGCAAAAAAAAAAAAAAAGAATGCAGACGCCATAGTCCAGTTTATCCTCCCAAAGCAAGGGCTCAATCTTATCGTTACCGTATCTATCTGATTCCTAGAGTCGAGACAAAGCTGTAGTAACGCGCACGTTTCCGTTTGTGGGATGGTTGCCCAAACCGACATCCTCGAATAGACTACTGCAAGGGCTTACTGGTGGGAACCAGGAAGTGGAGGAAATTTCAAACTCCACCGTGTTTGCCTGCACGGCACTCCTCGAGCTCATTTATCAAGGTTCTTTGCTCCATATCACATCTCATCAGAATGCTGCAATTTCCATTCGAGAATAGGAGCATAAACAAGAAAAACGGCGTAATTATGGACAGCTTGGTGCACGTATAGACTATGATAAGAAGCACTGGGCTTTGGGGCATGCATTGGACAAGGGTAGCATTGCGACATTTTCGTTTCCACAATCCAATCCAATCCATTTTTTTTCTTTTCTTTTTTAAGCCCTGCTACCCCGAGTCAGTGTTTTTCTACCGTGCTCAGCATGGTAGACTACAGTAGAAGTTTGCTCTGTCGTATCACAAAACAAAACAGCAGCACGACGAGCCTGCTGCATAAAATAGTTCATTCTTTGGTTTCGTGTGAACAGTGCACTGTGCATGTCTGTTCTAGGCTGATCGCCCAGCTGCATCAAAGAAGAGGGCAACGAGAGGAAGTGAGCGGAGACTGGAAACTGGCGAAGATGGAGAAAGGGGATGGAGAGACAGAATTGGGCTGACACATTGGGGCACAACATTTTTGTTAACACTAGCAGTTTGGATTTGTACACCTTTGCAAGTAAATACGTGTTTGTATTTTTTGATTACAATAGACAATGGATGGTCTCTGGCCTGGAAAAGCTTTGCAGCTCTTGGTCACTTCTCCACGACGCGATGGTTCAAAAAAAAACACCAAAAATTCAACCTCAGCTAAGTGGAGGGTCACATACATTATTAACTACATGCATTGGGCACGACGATGACTCGGGGCCACCCTTGAATGTTCATAGTGTTAGGTCTGGTCCACAAAGCTGTTAGCGCTTCAAGCTGCTGTGAAACGTGAAGGGCGGCATTCTACTGTTTTTGAATTGCGATGTCTTCATAGTTTGTGGTTTGAAAAGCATTTGTGCTTTGTCGATTAATATGATCGCGAATAAAACATTTACGAGCCTGTCTTTTCCTTCCTTTAGCATGGTTATGAGAACAATGATGGTTATGTTCACGGCTGCTTGTAGTCATGTCCCTGCTCGCTAGGCGATTTGAGAGCTTCGCATGTTTGATGCCAGGCAAGGGCATCAAGTCTAGTGTTGTATTGTATTGTACTGTAGTCTAGTCTATCAAGGACGATGTTTATGTATACCTCAGATAGAAAGAGAGGGCGAGGGTGTACAGAGAGGGAGGGCTAGACAGAGGGGCGGTGGTCTTCATTTTACGCGGGGCAAAGTACGCAAAAATTGCAGTCTAAGTAGCTGTAGGTGCCTATCAAATTAGAAAGGAGCAATCAGCGGGATAAGAAGAGCAGCGCATTATGAAAACGGTGCCTATCTCGGTGCCCGTTTCCGATGCATGTCCGGTCTGTCCCTCTTTGAGTTTCTGTGCGCTGTCAATGCGCTCTTTTTTATTACATTTCACCAGTGTACGACAAGCAATGGTCGATGCGCCTGTGCCCATTCAATTGAACACATGTTTAGATCCTTTTCAGATATGAACCGAAGCTGATAAAGACAAAAACAAAAAAGGCCGACGGTCCTGATAGCTGTTTGGATACCACTTTCGTGCTTGCCGTCATTCGCTTGAGCTCTTTGTTATTCATATCTCCTTATCCGTCTAGGCAGCCCTCTTATAGCTGTGTTATCGTCTTCTTTGTTTTTCTTATGCGGAAACGCATGAGTTGACAGGGGATGTCGCCGGCAGGTATCATGGTGGAAACAGATGTCGACTTGCCTTTCAAACCAAGGCGTACGAAGAGTTCCGAGTAAAGCAACGATTGTATTGCAAGAACAAATTTAACCGAGTTTGTTCCGTAAAATATCCATGGCATGAGCTATGTACCCGCTTCACTTTCTCATCCTACGACAATATCGAAATAAAATAAAAATGAAAAGATCTCTAAGTATTCACTCTTGAGCAGGGATGTGCGTCTTACTCCTCATTGTCAGGAGGGAGCGCTGGTACAAGGATTGGAGATGATGCGCCATTCCGTTGAAGCGAGGCGCATATTTCTCAATTCAGCTTTTATATTCATACATAGTTTGTGGAGAAGAAACCATCCAGCCCGATGGCCTCTGCTCATTTTATGTATTTTGGAAAACGGAAAACAAATGGGAAGACTAGAACAGGCAGACTGACTGAGAGCTCCGTCAATTGTGGCGAACGACGGGAAGCAGCTTCGCACACCACAAAGATACAGCGAATAAACACGCAATCGGAGGGCTCGATGGGCAACTCAGTCCTTCTGGTTTTTGCCACGCATGTTGAATTGAGGCCTTATTATGTACAGGATACGCTTGCAAGGCGTAGAGTTAAAAGGAAGGGCTCCTTCGTTCATTGTCATTCTCATTCTTTTCCTCATCCTCCATTCCTTCTCATTCCTTCTCTCTTACCTGCACTTTCCTCTCTTCATCGTCATCAGTTGCCCTGTGTGTTTTGCACAAGGTTTCAACCTACTTAACCCACCAAATCATCAGCTTCAACCTTCAGCAAACCCCTTTAGCACACTCCTCACTCTCGCATACTCGCATCTCTTCACAGACAAGCCCATGACCGTACGGGAAGGGTAAGGCTTCTTCGACCTTCCTCTTACTCGAATCTTCCTCATCACCCTCTTTCTCGCATCCTATCCCTCCGTTCTTTACCCACATAAAAGGCAGAAAGGAAAATTTCAGAGCCGTATTCCGAGGGGATGAAGGAGAAAGAGGGGTGTGATGCGTGGGAGAATTGTAGTGGTCTAGAAGCCCTGGGTGAACAATTGATCTTTTTTTAGCAGCTGATCACCTCCGGACCTTGATGGGGGTTTCTGTGGAGGAGGAATCAGCATTCCGACTTTGAGTGCATCGCCATCGCCCTTGACTCAGGTCAGCTTCTCGGTTGTGGGCGATACCCCGCGATTGCTCCAAACGTGAGGAATGCCATTGCCGCGTTGAGGGATGGGTGCAGGCAACTTCGATGCTGCGCTCCACCGCCCCTTTCCTATCGTCACTCAATGTGCCCTCTTGCCCTCCTTTCCGAAAAAAGGTTCTTTCCCCACCTTTCCCCTAGCTCAGGCACATCCCTCCCGTTTGTGCGTGGAGAAAAAAAGCAAATAGAAAGGGAAGCAGACGCGTCCCTGTTTCCGTCGCCTGACCTAGACTATGTGGGATGCGGTCAAGGGCGGCCTTTGGCATGGGGCTATCACTTTGTTCTCTATTTATTCTTTATTACACATCCCATTCATCTGTCCTTGCCTGCAAGAGGCATAGCCCTTGCATGTCCCTCCATCCCCCTCAGTCAGCCAACTCGCATTTTCCCACCTTTCCTCCACTTGATACCCTTATTGTGCCATCCTCGCCACTTTGCTATCCCACCACTTCCTTTTATCACGCAGGCCCTATCTATCTACGGCAACATCCTCGGAAAATAAAAAAAATCGTGCCTGAAGATCCTTATCTCGTCATCTCACCATCCGTGGTTTCTCCTTGTTTACCTTATCACTAAATGCAATCTACGCCTTATCTCTTGCCACCGCCTCCTCGTCGCGTTCGCTCACGCAGCCTCCAGATAGAGATCTCTGGCATCCCTGCCGAGAATGGCAAGTGCAGAGTAGAAACACAGCTCAAGGTTGGCTTTCAACTGAGAGGCAAGCATGGCGAGACCGTCATGGACTGGAAGCAGATTCGTCTGCCTCGTATGCTGATCGCCAAAGAGAAGCATCGTATAGAAAAGTTCAACGGTAAGGTGGACGAGGAAGAGACCATGGCGCCCTCAATGTAGAGCGCCTTTTTTTTTTTTTTTTTTTTTTTGCCAACTACTCTTCTTCATGCTGCGACTACCGTTTCTTTTTTTGGTTATGAGTATGGGATTGTCGTTTCTAATCTGGATCGGCGTCCTGGCGCAAACGCCCTGTTATATTTTACATAGGTCGCGACAAACAACTACAAGATTCAGAGATCTTGATCCTTGACGCTCGTTTGGTGTGCGATCATGACAAGTCAAAGGTCCTGGAGTGCTGCGACAACTGCATTGGCAGAGAGCGCAAACGCGCACATCGCCGGAAAGAAACCCTGAAACTTCCTGGGCCTTTGGGGTCGATTCCGGTCTTTGGCGCCATTCATCCCAAGAGTGCGGGCGCCTCTCTTATAGATGAGTCGAATCCACCGACACCAACAGACCCCCTCGAGTACCAGGCATGGGAGCGGAGCAGGATCATGGTGTTCAGTAGCACTGAATATGTGGATATATCGGCCGGCGAGTGCGTACTGCCCACTCGAATCACATGTTATTGCCGACACCATAATGAGAAGGTCGGGTTCCGGTAAGATGCACATGCACTGTAGTAGGATGAATGAGGAGGCTGGCATATCATCGCCAGACATCCATCGAAGGAACTCCACATCAACAAAGCGCACACAGCATCCTTGTCTTCTGAACCGATTATTACTGCATGCTCGCCTAATTTCTGCGCGTGTTTAATGTGAATTATCCATATATTGCCTGCGCCTTGGCGTTCACATTTTCAGCTGACAGCCAATGTCTTCTAGATCGTGCACATGCTAGCACCTCCTTTTTCAAGTTATTTAAGGCCCTTATTTCACTAACTCGTGTTATTGGCTCTTTGTGTGCCTAGGATTCAATTCACTGCTCGAGATTCCACAGGTGCAGTGGTCGCCTCCGTGCTAACAAACCCGGTGATGATGATGGATGATCACAAGTCCGGGAAGAGGGCTGTCCCAATCGATGCCCGGGGAGCTGTGGCAAGACATTCCGTATCAGGACCATCGCCGGCGGCACCTCGCCTTACCGTGAAAAGTCGAAGCGGTCAGCAGCAAGTAAATCAATACCTCCAGCCTGAAGAAGATCAGGCGGATGCTGAGTTGGACGGTAATCTGCAGGAGGACCAAGATGAGTTGGATTTGGAAACAGGACGTCATGTACAGCCTATTCATGGCATGAACGGACTGAAGTCCGAGGATGACGAACTCCCTGCCAGAATGGTTGGCAAGCGGAGAGTCGATGATGATGACCACTCGATGGAAGACATCCAAATCCAGCAGCAATCGTTCCGTCGTAAAACCTGCCATGACCTTTCCCAAAGCTTCACTTCTTCCACCTTTCCTTTTGCAGCATTCAGCCGAGACAGCTCCCTCTCTTTGTCCTCGCCCTTCATGCCAGGATCGCCGTTTGCGAACGAAGAGGACCAGAACGGTTTTGTGCCTTTGTTCGGCCAAAGCGTGCTCCATAACGAGAATATGCCTCACCGGCACCAGCACCATCTCTGCGGTGATATGTTCTCGATCGCACAGAGAAACGGGTCCATCCAGTCTGTAGATGTATCCGAGCATGAACGGTTCCATTCTGAGTCCGCCGCATCGATGATGGAGTACTTTACGACTTTGGAGGAATCCATGTCCTCACCACCATCGGGCGATACCCATGCGTCCTCTATGCTTACCGGTCGGCCTTCCTTTTCGATCCCTGCCACCATCCACCCTACATCCCCTGGCATGTATACTCCCATCTCGCCGTTTTCACCAAACCACCCTCCGACCGATTTCTCGAGTGAACCTACGGCCACAACAACCATTCCTGCATCTCTCGGACTGAACTCCAGCTTCTTGGATACCACTCAGATTCAAGAGTTCCAAACCTTTCAGCGCCACAGCGTGGGACATTCACAGCAGCTCTTCATGCAGTTCCAGCAAGGCATTCAGCAACAGCGCCCAGGAGTGGATACGACAGCGGGACCTTGGACTCCACCTCCATCGGCGGTCGATATCAGAGACTTTCATGAACTGAAGGCCGGGTTGACCCAAAACTCTCACCCCTCATCAAGTGCATTCATCCAAATCCCTGCTTCGCTGCCAGACAATATTGAATCCGAATGTTCTGACACAGCCATGTCGTCAATAACCGATGAAGGGGATGGAACTTTTGCATCAGGGCCTAAGAAACGCGGCCGCCCACGCAAGTCCATGACAGTGATGCCCAATGCTGCTCCAGCCTCAGGTGCCAGCTCGCCCATGACCTCACCTAAGGTCCCATCGACCAATATGCCTCCATCTCCTTCTCCTCCGCCATCGAATTTGGGCTACCCCTCCACGGCTACGACGCCCAAGCTCTCCGACGCCAACGCTATCACACCTTTTACAAGCAATGCAGGCAGTAGTACTGCGGCAGCTGCGGCCCAGATCCTGCTATACCAGCAACAGCAGCTTCAAATTCACCAGCAGCAACAACAGCAGCTTCAGCAGCAGCAGAAGCAGGCGATTCTGACCTCCCGCCCATTGCAGCAATCCAAGCCGCGTGTTAAGAAGCTGGTTCCGGCCAAGGGGTCTATTGAGGGCGGCATGGAGGTCACGCTCCTTGGCACCGGGTTCTTTCCTGGAATGGTCCCTACATTTGGTGGAGTCCCTGCAGCAGGCGTCCAGTTCTACGGCCCCGAAACCATTATCTGCAGGTTGCCACCGCGTCCCCATCCAGGTGTCGTTATTGTCAAGGCACAACACCAAAGCCAGCCGCTTTCTGCCTCAGCTGCAGCAGTAGGAGCCAGGTCTGACGATCCACTTTCCTTACCGAGCCATGAGCTGGTTCGGACGATGGCCCAATTTCTGAACGGATCTGGTTCGGTTGCGAGTGATGATGAAGATGTCGGTGTGCTGTTCGAGTATGAGGAGGACAAGGGCGATCGAGATCTGATTGCACTGGCGCTTCAGGTGTTGGGGATGAAGATGAACGGTCGCGTAGAACCGCCTCACCAAGTCGCCATGCGGATCATGGCCACTGCAGCTGCGCAACAGCAGCAGCTTGTGGAGCAACAACAGCAACAGCAACAGCTGCAGAATGCTATCATGGCAGCGTCCATTTCTGCATCCGGCGCGTCAGCTCCACCCTTTTCGAGGGCGTTGACTGTGAAAACGACAGCGACGTCTTCGAAAGCGCTAGTGGTGCCAGCCATGAATGCCTCAGCGTCGACCTTGTTAACGCCGATCCCGTTGCAGTCGCCACAGTCGCAGCTGTTATTTCCGACATCGGAAGATAAGCAGCAGCAACATCAATATCATCAGCAGATTCCAAATGGATCGCTTACGAGGCTCAGTCCGATGCAGCTGTTCCATCTTCAACAACAGCAACAATCACAGCAGCAGCAGCAGCAGCAGCAGCAGCAGCAGCAGCAGCAGCAGCGACAATTCTAAACCGCTATCAATTTCAAGAAAACGACACCCGTTCAACATCTGAGACCAAGAAAATTAGAAGGGAGGGCGGAGTCCTTTTTTTTTTTTTTTTTTTTTTTCATTCATTCATTTTTTATGCTCTGTAGTATCGCTGTAGTTTTATCACTCCACACTCTTTCTGTAGTTTTACCATCTTCATTGAGTCCACTTCCCCACTCTCATTCATCCATCTTGCACTTTTTTTTATTATATCTTTTTGATCCATAGCATGCATTATACCCTCACAATCAAAACGCTCAACTGCGCATTCATCGTTATTCTTATACTCCATCCTCTCCAAACATCTGCTGATTGGTTGTAAACGGGCGTGCCTTGAATTCTGGCGATACAGCAACAGCCTCGACATCGTCTATAACAATAAAAGGCACGAGTATCCAAGGATTAGTTAGGCCACCAGGTCTTTTTTTTTTTTTTTCTAGACCACTCACATTGACGCGTCTGGAAAGTCATAACCTTAATATTGGGTCGCGTTAGTTTTTACGCCCTTGATTCATTCAATTTTGACGAGAGGAATGTGTAAATATGGTAGGCTGTACATGGATTACTATGGTACTATGGTCTATCATAGCCGCGCAGACTGCTGCAATTTGGAGGTATAGAAGTATAGAGCGCGACATGGTGCTACTCAGAACAGCCCATTAAATCGCTTTCTTATGAAATACTTCACGATCGTTGTCTCCAAGACAATGAACTGGACCGTTCCGACAGTCTTATCTCATCTCTGATCGATAAGGCCTTGGCTCCTCATCATCCTCCATTCACCAATGCTCAGTGTGTTGTGCCCCGTAATTCAGGAACGTGCCAAATTTTTTTTTATTGGTGGCGTAGATGTGCATCCCTACCATTCCTTACAAAAAATAAATAAATAAATACTCTGTCTGGCAGCTCCTCCTTTTCTGTTCCCTTTTCCTCATCCCCTTCCCCTCCTCACCCTCGCACTCACCCTCAGGTAAGCTTCTCACTCATCCCGATGGCTCCTGCAATGAGATCCAGCAACATGATGCTTCACAATTATATATGTTAGACTTCGTATTGAAAGCTGCCGAAAATTTCCTCTGTGACCTGATCCAGCAACGATCTCATCTCTCATCTTTCTCATCAACAGAAAAAAGATCAACTTTGAATCAGAGAACAAAAAAAAAAAACAAGGAAGCTAATTGCTATTGTTGTTTGATCTTTCTGATATCGTTTTATTAGGTATTTTTGGCCTTGCTTTTGAAGATAGTCGTTACAGTTAATGATGGATAATGTTAATAAACTATGAGTATATACCTCAATTGTCCAAATCACATCCTTCCTAAGAGAGGAACAATCGGAATCTTGAATGGAAGTGTGGAGCGGGAATAGAGCGGGCGCATTGGATGAGACCCTGAAGTAATTCTATGCTGCCAGTAAGAGAGCTCCAGACGTACTGCTCATGCTAATTGATAATGATCTTCTCGCCGTGGGTGTTGTTTGTGCTGGTATACCTCAGGCTGATGTTTTTCCTGCCAGAGCTGTTCGTGCTGCTGTTGTTGTTGCTGTGCTTGCATCGTCAGGAATAGCTGTTCGCATGCCTGTCGCGCCCTTCGATCAACCTGCCAGGAATACTCGCTCAATTGCAACATACGATCCATCGCCACCTTCACATTCTTCTGTACCTTCTCTGCTAGTTCCTCGGTCAAGGGCACCATTGCATCTTTCTCTTCTACTTGCCCCATTGCTGCCCCCGTGCACGCACTTGCTTTGACACCCCTATCATAGCATTCAATGCCGTCGATCGCGCCCCCCAGAATGCTCTGTCCCTCATCAAACAGGATCGCCGACAGTATAAGTAGCTCCAAGTTGTCCGACACAGGAACCAGCGGCTGTGGATCTTTCATATCCTGTCGAGATGGGCCTTCATGCGACGTCTGGGGTGGTTTTAGGCTAGCGGTCGGCCGTGGAACAGCCACATCCGACAGGTCCAAATGTCCCATTGAAAGTACCTCTTGTTCGACTTTCGTTAGTGCTCCACGCAGAAAGATATCCCACGCCATTTGCACGTACATGTCCGCGCTCTGGCAAGCTCGAATAGCTCGACGAGTGACAGATACGGCATTCTGGAGTATCACGGCTGCAATCACATGCGCTTCCTCGGCGTCGTCCTCAGATCGAATTGGGTGATCTTCGTCCGCTGGTTGAGTGGGATGGGAAGGTATTAAGGAAGAGGCTTTTGGAAGCAGAGCGTGGGGGGCATTGCAGGAAGGTAATAAGTCTTGAGTGTTGGGGTGGGGTCCTGTTCCTGTCGGCTGTTGCATACACCAGCAGGTGTAGTCTGGTATAGCTGTGTGATACTTCTGTTGAGGAGACGTTCCTTGGCTGTGATCCCAGACTATCGACGGTGGTCGAGTAGCTGTATATTTCTCTCCAGATAAATCTGGCGTCCGGACACGGGATTCTGCAAAGATATTTGGAAGGCTGGACCGAGAAGAAGGCACAGTTGTTGCACAACTTGTTTCTGACCTTGTCGCGATTGTCATATCGAGACGATGTGGTATATTAGGCGGAGGGGAATAGCAGTAGGGAAGTTCGAAAAGACACCAAGTATCGGTATGATCTGTGCTGGAAACTGCACTCGGTAATGCCTCTTGCCCTTGAACCTGAAGCTGCTGCTGTTCACATTGCATACAATGCTGTGAACTCTGACTGTACATGCGAATGATTTCCGGAGGCATGCTTTCTTGACCTTGATGAACATCCTCAGGCGACAGCGACCGCGAAAAGTCGCATTCCGAATGAGCTCCTTGTTGTAAATGGCCAAGCTCTGAGTCGTGTATCTGGAGGCAGCGTTCTATAGGGTGCTGAAAACAATAAAGCTCCTGAATCCATGCTGGATCGCTGATACGCCTGTAGTTGTGTAGGTTTGTATCGAAGCTCGTCGCGTTTCCGACGTCGCTTGTGATGGATGGAAGCGCGCCATCACTCCACACCGGCCCATTAGTAGTGCGGCAATCATGCGTGTCTGTGCCTAGGCATGATGCGTTTCTGGGAACAGCTGCGATAGATGGAAACGCGCCATCACTCCGCAATGGATCATAGTAATTGTCTAGGCCCGCATCAAGGCTCGTCGCAACTCCAAAAACATCTTTGATAGTCGGAAGCGTTCCACCGCTCCACGCTGTCGGGTTGTTGATAATACGATAGCTGTGCTGGTCAATGCCGAGGTCAGTATTGGATGAGAACGCGCCACCATTTCTTGCATGATCGCCGATGACGCGGTACTTATGTGGATCTGTTCCAAGTCCCGTCAAGGCCGTGGAAGTACTTCTGCTGGATGCTACGATGCCATCAAAAGGACAACATGTATCCCCGGCGCCAGATGTAAACATAGACGCGTATCCTGGTCTTGATCTAGGGGGCTGTAGAGAGTGTTGGCTTCCCGAAGTACCTGACTCTTGTCCACTGAAGCCCTGCGTCGATGATATCTCCTCGGGATTGAATGAAGACGTCAAAGTCAAAGGCTGTGAACACGGTATTGAGAATGACATGCGTGGTGAGCTAGGATGCGAAATATGCTGATCTATGATCGCTTCGTTCCTGGTGTTGGTGCTGCTCGCGGCCGAGGACCAGGACGCCCTTCTCAAGGTCGCCGGCTCTGATAGAGAAAAGAAGTGATGTACAATGCCGAGGGCAGCAGAAAGGTGCAGTCGCGGTCCACTACTAGAGAAGTTTAAAATGGACAGAAGAGGATACAGAGAAGGAAACATGACGCGAAAGAGAATCCACGGAGATGCAATGTTGGTGCTGTTGGACTGCGCTCGGTGGATCGTCTCAAATCAAACAGCAGATCCCGTCCCTGAAACGTTCTGTTGAGCCCATCGATCGATCTTCAGTCAACAAGACGTATAAGACCTGGGTCTTTGCGGCAGCAATGCTGGGGTCCAACTAGGCTGCAATCTGCTCAACAAACACGCCAAGAGAATGGTTTCGAGATCTCCAGTTTAGCAAGTCAAGTCAAGTCAAGTTAAGAGCACTGATAACAAATTAAACGCGAGGGGGGAGGTTATTTTTTTTTTAATTCAAAAAGATGGGCTGTTCTTCTACATGGAAACGACCTTTATCCGAGGAGCACCATCAGTCCTCGCTAATACGCCCTGTCCCGAAAACTGCGTGTCCGCTACACCTTTAATGCTTCCAGCTCTTTCAACAATGCGGGCTCAGCCGTGATCTTCTGCAACTGTGTCAACTCGAGCGTCTCGCCGGCTGCCTGTTTTTCTTTCAGCTCGTGGATCTGCTTCAGTTTTTTCGTCACGTTGCGGATCTTCTTCTCTGTTTCCGTCATCTGAGATGAGACCGCCGACGTCGCTGGGAGAAGTGCTCCGTTCTGAGACTTCTTGTTGCTGTTGCTGTTGCCATTGCTGCTGTTGTTGTTATTGGAGTTAGGACGAGGGGTATTGGAGATGGGACGAGGGGTATTAGAGCGAGCAGGTGAATTACTACCGGATCCAGATACTGCCGGGGTAGGAGCACCACCCTCCTCGGGGCTACCATCCTTATTCTTCTTGGCATTCTCGCGCTTCTTCTTGTTCTTTAATGCCGCTTTGGACAGGGCAGCATCAGAACTGGCAGTGGAGGCGGTCGAAGCTGCAGTCGATGTGCTGGCGTTGGCATCAACGAGTAAAGAGGGGGCAGGTGTGCCACGGGCTTGGGGAGGTCTGTATGCGCCGACGCGGGCGGGGGCAGGCTTTACGGCTGCGGCGGAAGAGTTCGCAGTGGGCTTGGGAGCAGGTGACAATGAGGAGCGGATGGGATAGATCTCAGGCGCACATGGTCTCCAGCTGACTTGGTAGAGTTCGTTCACTTCCGCAGTGTGGACCAACGTTCCAGTATAGTGCCAGATCTTGTATCCATTGTCGACACGGAGACGAGGACTGAGCGTTGCAGTCAAAATGTGGCGACCGTCGGGTGACCACTCGCACGCAGTTGTATCACGGGCAGAGACGCTGGTGATCTTCTTCAAGGTCTTGCGGTCCCAAAAGTCCATGGTTCCCGCCAAGTTCCCGAATCCCGCCAATACCAAGATGCGTCCCTGTGGGTTCCACTTGATTGTGTTACGGGCGTCCCGTCCAAATTCATGCACGGCGTTGGCGCGGTGGTCGAAAAGAGTCGTCTTAGGGCTCGGCATCTGTCCATGGATGACTACAAAATCCTTAGAGGCAGGGGCCCAGGCGACATCGTGGATCAAGCCATCGATTGGGACTCTGCAATCGAAGTTACCAGCAACGGCCAGATAGTACAGATTGGTCTCTCCATAATACGACTTTCCAGTCTTGTCGTGATCTGTCGTCGCCCAGACAAGCACATTTGTTCCAAGCTGGTTCCAAATCATCTGAACACGATCTGCCTTGAAGAAGGACTTGCTGGCCAGGGGCACAGCAAAGTTGGTGATCGAGTAAATCCGGACCATGGCGGGAGCTCCCTTGCGCTCACCAAAAAAGACTGCGACCGAGGTACTCTTTCCAGGGGAGAGCGAGAACTGGGACATACCCTCCTGACGCAGTTTGGTGAAAGGAGTCTTTGTCAAGTTCTTGGGTTCCCAAAAGTGAACCTCGTTGGAGACCATCCTGGCGCAGTACGATTCATCGTCAGTCCACTGGACGTTCCTATGTTAGGACATTATCAAAAGGAAAATGGAGTTAGGTAAAGCGACGACCAAGATATTCGTAATTTCCGATGTGCTGCCTCCTGACTACACCCTGCAGATTGTCAACAGCAGCATCAAACAAACAAATGACACTCACCAATTGTTCTGCGACTTTTGCGAGAAGCCGGTCAACTCCTGACCAGTCTTGACTTCAAAGATTGTCATGTTTTTGTGAGATCCATCCTCGGTTTTGACTGTCGACACCAAATGAAAGACAAGTATGAGTACGAACGCCATTGTTACATCGAGAGATTATTGTCGCAGACAATTTGACGGGGACAATAACGTACTCTGTCGCTGCCAGGTCGAGAGGAAGGTTCCCTTGGGTGAAAAGTCGATCTCGAGCACATCCTTGATAGCCAAGTCCTGAACGATTTCCAAGGACTGAGCGTCCATCACCTTGACACTATTTTTAACATACAGAAAAGAAAAGTCAATCTTAAACTGCGGGAGGCGAAGAAGGACAAATTGGAGAAGGGAACCAATGATAAGCTTGGGCAATTGTTCTTACCATTCCGGGGTGGCCCAAGCAAGATACTGCCCATTCTTGCTGTACTGAAGCACACGGATGTTGCCAGTTTGCCTATGTGAATGAGAAACAGGATGTGGTAAAAAAAATCGAGGAAGGATTAGTTGATTTGGGTCAGAGAGCGTTTCATTGCAGCCATGGTCGATTCCAGTCCTGATCTTTTCATCACGATGCATTACTTTTCAAATCCAGCAGGTGCGCCAAACTCAGGAGCTCCCTCGGAGAGACCGATTCCTGCAGCGGAGCGAACTGAACAAGCACAAGGGCAATGGTCAAGAGAGCAGAACGACGACAGGTAAGAGAGCATACGTGAGTGCGGTTAGTCAGACGGCAATAGAGTTCCAAGGGTCTTCTGATCTGTTTTACTCCAATCTACAAGCAGGCACTTGGAGTGGTCTGAAGCTGTAGTCCACTTGACAGTGGCCAGTTGAATCGGCCGTGAAAGGCTTTTAGCGACACATACAGGCAAATTGAGTTGGTGGCAGGGATGCGGCGGACATGATCTTTCTTCTTCTGGAGGAGGAGTTGGAGGGCTGCAGTAACAGAAAGAAAGAGCACAGTGCCCTCATAAAGAGAAATCACAACAAGCAAGACGAACTCGTACACGTGATCATTTATTCTTTAATAATCCAGAATAAACGCTGACCACCTCCGTCGCGATATCCTTCACTCTTTATCCTACAACCACCGCGACAACGCACCGCTTGCAATCGACAACACGCTATTAACACCCCGGACGTGAACCAGTCAACCTCATCTCAGAGCCAGGTCGATGATAACATGAATCAGACATTAGCAGCCCTCGCAGACGCCCTAGTAAGATATCCAACACACTCAGCAGATAGTGGTTTACCCTGTTCCGACTAGACACCATCCTATATACTGACACCTACATGTTTTTCTCGACAATTGTACATCCAGATACAATGTTTGGCTGAAATTCATATGACTGACAAGGATGGCGATGTTACCTTGAGCCGTGAACCCTTTGGTGAGGGCATACGCGACAACGAAGACCACGACCACGAAGTGGATTACGAAGACGACCTTGTCAGCAGCGATGGAGATGAGGATGATGATGGTGGCACACCTACTCGCGACGACGCCCCTGAGGCCAGTCCTGCCGATATCGAAAGGATAGAAAAAAGAAGAGTGCACCTTGAGTCGAGCCTTCAAGAGCATGTTCGAGACGCCGTGAGAGATTCCCTGTTCTCTGATCCGTACATTATAGAAACTGCCCATGCGTGTGGGGTTCCAGAGGATCGGGTATTTACGCAAGGTAAGCGAAAACGACTGGTATTCTACCTCAAGGCTAGCTTTTTCGCAGACTGGAAGGCACGGCACCAGATTAGCATTGGAACCGCTTTCACCCAACATGAGCGCCCGCACGCTTATACCACCAAGGTCTTCGCCAGCAGTTCCGAGGCCAAGAAGGAGAGGGTCGGTCAGATCAAGACACGCTATGGCTGTCATCGCAGAGGTGTGAAGTACATGGTCAAGGGTAGGCAGCCAGGCGGAAAGTCTGGGAAGACCAGACTGGAACTTGCTTCTAATAAATGTGGATGCTTGTCCCATTTTAATGCCATATATCGTCCTCTACAAACACGCGATGGCATACCAGGAGAAACTTACCGCATCAAATACAATTACCAGCACATACACACTCTGGGCGACAAAGGCAACATCGGTACTCAGCAAAAGTCCAAGGCCATGAGAGAAAGGATTAAGGCTATGCTTATGAGGGGAATGTCGATCTCCGTTATTATGAACCAGTTAACAATCGACTATGCAAGGTTTACTCGTTTAATGGAGGGTGGCGACAACCAACGACTCTCCAGGGACGACTTCATCACCTACGACGACGTCTATAACCTTCTGTATGCGTTGACTGCTAAACAAATGAGAAAGGATGACGACCCACTCATTTCTGCTCGGCTTTGGATGGAGGACCTTGAGAACCAAAATTACTTCACCTATTACGATCGGGAACATGGCCTCTATCATGGATTTTCATCGCCATGGCAGCTGAATGAGCTGCGAAAGTGGGGGGATGTTTTCTGTTTTGACGGGATTCACCATGCTTGTGGGTAAGTCCCCCTGTAATATTACCAATTACCTTTGTCACTAACATTTACAAATCTTATGGATAAAGAACGTGCCGCACCCAAGGGTGGAGGCTCTAGATGCTTTGACAAAGGACACATGGGCTACGCGACACCTTTATTGCAGTTGTATCTTCCCATGGCTGCAGTAACAAGCATGCACGGCAATGTTGAATGAAATAAAATACCTGTTATTGTCATTTCGATTGAGTCAAGTTGCTCACTCAACTCCAAACCCATAATGAGCCATTAGGGCATGTAACTAGTTATAATATCGACTGGAAAAGAATGAGGCGATTGCGAACGAGTTCAGGAGAGGTAGGCTCTCAATTGACCTACCATTGGCTTTTAACGCGTCGTCCAGTTGCAGGCAGTTCATAGCTGGGCCAATTGAGTTGGACTCGGATGTGATGTGCGGCAAGGAGAAGTGTGTGCCTGTGTGATGTGGATACGAGGATATGGCATGCGTGGGCGGTGTTAGTGGGCGAGCATGTACCATCCTGGATGTTTTTTCTCGTTGTCTCTTTCACCATCCCCCTCTTCCTCACTCTGTCTGTTACTCTCTGTATGCATGCAGGAGAGCTCAAGTGCAACTATGTCTAGGAGTTTACTTGTCTACTTAGACGCGTCGTTTTGCAACTTTTGGATCTTAAGCTATTAAGGTCAGCAGGGGCATGATAGTCGACAATTTCCATCCAATGAAAGAGAGGATGCCATTGATATTGATCAGGGCAATTTCCACAATATTGCTCTTGGCAGTTCAGGTCATGTTGTTTGCCTTACTGGTTTTGTTTGTGCGCACAGCGGGTCTTGTTTACTACACAACGTGTTTCCACATCGTCAGGGGTTGGATGAACAAACAGACTCTTCTCTCTCTTCCACACGCACAGCACAACTTATACTTTCTCTCTCTCTCTCTCTCTCTCACACACAACACATATACCCATCCCCAAATACACCTATACGCCTCGAGGAAAGCTATGTATGCAAATGTCCTAGAACTAGCATGCCAGAGCATATTTCCTACTTGCCAATACTAAAACTCTCCCGTACTAAAATTTTCCCCTACCACACCCCTACTTGTAGTAACCATGGGCGTAGTGGGGCTGTGGAGCGTCTTGAAAAAGAAAAAGTTCGAGCCTGGTATCGCGATAGCAGACTACAGCGAGCCAAAGGTTACATATCACCTGGATCTGCTCGCCTGTCTCTTTGTGCAAATTCGGTGGGCCTTTTGCACATACGAAGACACAGAGAAGGCGCATGAAGCCATCTAACGAGCGCTACTGAGCCTCTTCCCCCGTCCAAACAATATTACCATCTATCTGGATGGGCGTCAAGCCTTAGAGAAGAGGGCGACTCACCTCAAGCGTCTAACGATTGCCGAAGATGCTTTGCTGAAAGCAAGAGAGTCCTACTCGTCCATCGAGAAACACATCGGCAGCAGGCAGGACAAGTGGCCATCCAAACAGAAGGAAAAGGAGTGTCAGGCCTTTTGAAAGACAATGACTTTGACCTACGAGGACAGGCAGGACTTGCAACAATTTCTAGTTTCCAAGGGTTGGAGGATGAAGGTTTCTCCATTCGAGGCAGACGCGGATATTGCAAATTGGTGCCGCACAGGTGACATTGTTGTTTCAGAAGACAGCGACATGCTGATCTATCTAACTGTGGAAACTGTCTGGAGACCCATCTCTTGGGGCCGGTTCTTGGTCTACGATCTTTTCGAAGTTGGCAAGTACTTGGAAATTGGGCGCTCTGGACTCACGGCGCTCGGTATCGTGTCCAACAATGACTACAGCAAGAATATCTTTGGTCTTGGAGCCATATCAAACCTGGCAGTGATAAGGGACATTCCTTGGTCTTGTAAGGATGAATGCCACGTCTAGTTATTGGAACTGAAGTGTGACAAGTCCTTCTAATCCCGCCTCTTTTTTTTTTAAAAAAAAAATTGTAGATGATATTCGTGATATGGTCCAGAAGTACTTGGACCATGATGATGTCGCGCGCTTAAACCAAAAAAACACGGACTTTGAAGCTCCACTCAGCGATCTGACGACGTCACGCGAGACGATAATCTGTAGAAGGGTTTCAAGAGCTTGCGACAATCGTTCTTGGCCCTCAAATTCAATTACCGGCAACGGCAAAAGCAGCTGCGAGAATCGAAACAGGTTCCGAAAAGGTACATACATAGCAGCTTTTATTCCTACACCACTGTACCACAATGATACCGCGTTTGTGTGCATTTGTATTAACAAGTTGTCAATGTTCTTTGATCTTGCTAAACGCCAAAAGGACTATGGATGACCATCCCATCCGGCACAAGAAGCATCAAACGTTCAACAAGTTCCGAACAGTCGAACCTTCCAAGGCACAAGCGAAGGGCAAGGCGAAGAGCATTCTGGAAAGTCTGCGCTCATTTGCTTGGAAGCCAGATAAGCCCCACCAACCCCAACAACCTCAATATCAGTACAAGACCGTGCCACAGAACCCAAAACGTGTTACTCCTGTGGAGATAAGGGCCTTTGTTCAGTTGAGCCAAAAGACGTGCAGGGCGGTAACCAAGGAAAAGGCGAAAGAGCAGGAAATGGAAGAAGCGAAAGAAGTTGCCAAGAATGCGGCCACGGAGGATGAAAAAGAGACCACTGAGCAGAAAGAGGAAGCGACGCGGTCAGCCCGAGATGTTGCTAAGCGAGCTCATATGAAGCTTCATCCGTTAAGATCTCTCCATGTCGGTTCGCTGAGACGAAACATCATACTCGCCCATGCCGCCAGTCCTCCTGCTCAAGGCGCCAGTATCACAACGAAGCCTCAAAGGATCACTCACATCATATGCAGAATAGCCGATTTTTGAAACAATGGGAAGCGAGATGCGCAATATGCGTTACTGGATCTTCTGTCTAAGAGTTCGAGCGATGATGATGGCAAAAATCAGAAAAAAGTTCATCAACCTATTCAAGGACAAGTGCGTACGCGGGAAGGCAGCCACCGCGCTGGAGGGGTTTTTGAAAACTCTTCTGTCCCGATTCTGTAGCTCCCTCAAGAAGTTAGCATTTACTGTTGTGACCAAACTAGCACGAGATGTGTACGACATGTATATAGCCAAGCACGCTCAAGCCGTGCGACCCGACAATTGGATGGCCACTTCTAATTTTCTTGCACCGCTGGCCCAGGAAATGGCAAAGGACTTTACCATGCTCTGGGAGTCGCAGAACGAACAAATGATCAAACAGGTAGGCCTTGCTTCCTCTTTTCTTCTTTCTTCCTCCTCTCTTCCTCCTTGAACGCTTGTTAATTTACCTGTCTTGTCATTTGTGTCTTCATTGCAAAGTTTAAGAAGCGGGATGGAGGCGATGGACGTTTCTTCGATGAGAGGACACTTCCCAAGGAGAGTCTTCTTGTCCGATTTCTGCACCTTCGAGAACTGGTGGATGTAGCTAAACGTCCAGTTGCAGTCCCTATCTCGCCGATCCGCCATGGTTTCATAACTATAACGGAGCAAGAGTTGTTCTACTCTATCCACGATAGCTTTCGCGAGGACGTTTTAGGAGCTTTAAAAATGGACTCAACCAAGAAGTACAAACTGAACGAACTTGAGGCTACTTTTAAAAGAATAGCGCCCGACGAGTTCCTTTGCAACCTAATATGTCCCTCGAAGTCATTAAACCTGAATCCAAAGGCCACGTGTAACCAATACACAAAGCGGTACGTACTCACAGGCACGTTCCAGACGGACGGATTCCAGCTGCGGTTGCTAGCCTGCGACACGCGTGTCACAAAGGGGTACAAGCCCTCAAACCCCGTTCCTGGCCGAGTCGATCCCAAGGTGGGAACCGATCGGTGGTTGAAAGAGATTAGGAACGAATTCTCTGGATCGGCAAAGGAACTCCAGGACACGTTTGGTAGGCAAGTTTTTTTTTTTCTTTTTTTTTCTGGAAGGTAGTCTCCTCAAGGACTAGAATATCAAACACTCATTCTATATTTCCCTTTGTGTAGTGACGGTAGGGATGTCTGGATTGGTGGCATTGACCTGGGCCAGGTGGTCACAGCAGCCGTCAGTGTTTTAATCCTTGATCCCCCCTTGGCGGATGGAACACTACCTTGGCCGCCGACAGGGAAATACTGCACTCTCAATATCAAGCAAAAGGCCTTGATGCAGCCTCAGTTCAAGTATCGCAGAGCTATCGAAGGACGCAAGACCGACGTGATCCATGATGCCGAGAGTTCACTATTGCCGAGAAGAGGCATTTCTGATGAGGACGTTCGGTTGTTCTTGAACTCAATGGATAAAATCAGACAGGTGTTGAACGAGCACTATAACCAATCGTTCCGGCATCATCGCGACACTTGGGATCTGAAAAAAGCGAGGGATGCAGAGGACCGAATCACTATCGAGGCTATTCTCAAATTGGTAAAAGAAGACAACCAGGAGAAAGCCGTTCCAACCAACAAGGTGCTGTGGGGTGTGGGTCTCGGCAAGTTCGGCACCTCGTCCGGGTTGACTTCGCTGCACGGCACATTCAGCGCTAAGTTGATTTCAGCGGTAAGAGCATTGATATAACGCTATGTTTTGTGGCCCTATTGACAGGCAAACACAATCTAATCGAGTCGCAAATTATCTTGTCCTTGTAGCTCAGGACCAGGAGTCATGCGGTGGTCGGTATCAACGAATACTACGCGTCGCAAAAGTGCCCGTTCAATAGCCCTGTTGGTCCAAGTAGAAAATGCGACCATGGGTTTGTTGAACGGGTGAATATGCGTAGCATGTATTGTTTAGCCTGCCAGATGCCTTTCCACCGCGACAGCATGGCTGCACAAAACATGGTGCAAGCTGCCCACTATAGGCTTTTCAAGGGTATACGACATGCTGAACTTCAGCCTTTGGACTCCAACGGCCAGCCGATATGGTCCTAGCGACTCAATCATCAGCGGGTTTAACTGTTTTTATATGACGTATCGGTATTAAGCTAATCATGCATTTTTATTTTATTTGGGAACATAAGGACACCCTGACTCACGACGGCTGGGCATCAAGAGCCATGGATACCGGAAGGCCCTATGGGCACCCGAAGATATTACCGCAACAACATAGACAAGTCGAAGAAACACCCATGTTGACACACCAAGACAGCGTTTTCGAAAAGGAGATCAAGCAGCGGGCAGCGACAGCATTGCATGACCATTCAGTGTTACTTCTTCATGCCTTGACCATGAACGAGGTATGTGGAGCAGTGTCATATTGCACGGTAGCACTACAGGGATATGTTGATTTCGAACCAAGGACGATATAGTGCTGACTCGAAATGTGTCGTTTTCCACTCATTTCGCCACAGACGCCTGCCAAGGCACGCTTGCGGATGTATCGGTATGAACTATGGTCTGCTCTCGAGGTGTACTCCTGAAGTCCATATGGTCGTTCTTAACACACGGTCGCGCTGCTACATTCGCTAGACATCTAACAGGACAACCCCAGCCTCCACACGACTACGCCCCAGCAAAGCGGAAGCACAAAGAAGCTGAAAGCAGCGTATTTTCATCTACATCGAATAACCCCGGCACATCCAACTATTCAGGATCATCCAGGGCTACTGGACCGTCCAGCACATCATCGCTATCGATATCAGCACAGGGGCAGGCAGGATCACGAAGAGCTCGAGACATCATCCCTGTCGATGAGGAGTTTGCGCATACTTATTTTCAGGGACCACTATCGTCATAACTCTATGCCTTGACTTTCTCAATCACGACGACCTCCAGAATACGACTTTCAAATATGACTCTGTAGCCACAACATATGTATACATATTCCGTTACATTCATCTGTAAATAAAGCTTATAAACGGATCCCTTACAGCAAGAATGTGGCACTTGGAGCTGTTCACGGGCAATGGCACAGGTACTGAAGCATAAGGTTCTCGCTTCCGCTCTTTCCTATAGATCGCTCCCTATGGTTTTGTGTCAGTCGATAGCTGAAAATGGCGTTCTTCAACAAAGGCGCCATGGTGAGCAGGTTGGTTATTACTTTGGGAACACTTCGCCTTTGTGCTGTGCAGGCAGCTGATGTGCTCTGCCTCTTTTTTCCCACGATTATTTTTGCCTCTTCGAACTATGTGAAGCAAGTGAAAGAGAACAGAAAGCTGACCGATGCCCATCCTCTGAACTCCGCACCTGTGTATATGTGTCTTTACCGTCATGCACCTACTACCAAATGTAGTCTGTCGGCATGGTAGATATATCATTTATTCGAAGGAGTCCTTCGGCTAATGAGTGCCACTCAAAATTGATATTCAAATCATATTACACCCTTGCCGCGATGATGTTTTCGCTGAGGGTTGTGGTTGTCGATAATGCATCTGACATGACCAAGGTTGGTATGGTCGATGGTAAAATTGATGTTGTATTCAATTTAATTAGGAGTAGGATGTTTGCGCTGAGTTCATGCATGTCGAGATCTCGCGACTGAGTAACAGCCATTAAAGCCATGGCCCTTGATTCCTTGTTTTACTTATCGTTTTTTGATAGATCGCCGAGCAACTAAGGCCCCACAGTGTCAAGATCAGCGGCATAAAGGGAGTTACTAATGTTGATGGCGAAGCCCAGCCCAGGGTCGATATTCTCAACTTGAAATACCCTGTTGAGCGTGAAGTCATCGTCAATTGAGACGCTCTGATTCAAGACCTATGGAGCATGCTGTGCTCATAACATATTTACTTTCCAATTCAAAGGCAAACCACGAGAAGATGACCCATACTTTGTTTGAACGTTCAGCGTACCAGCCTCTCTCATCGCCTGGCAGCCGACAGAACATGGAGCACCAGCGATCGTGTTTTTGGGTCTGTTCCCGACCGCTATAATGTTGTCGCGCACGTCGTACCCATCTATGAGAGCTACTCTTCCTCTCAAAACGGTATACCTGCCAATATCGGCAACGCATACCTGACATGGCACCTCATGACGCTGATTATAGAATCTTCCTTCCATTTCACCACTTTTGAGAGGGAAGCCGCTTGCGACATCAAAGGGAGGCTACGTTCTATCCGTTTGGATCTTGATAAGACGATGAGAGGTAAGAACTGCACACTTATCTCGGTTTAACAAGTCACCGGCCTTCTTCAGGACAGTTTCGGGGGATTATAAAGTGGACTACTCAACGCCTTAACTCTGATTTATTCCGGTACATACATAGCGTATATCAGCACTGGCGAGTCCGTCAGTAAAGTAGACGAGAGAGTCCACCTTGAGATACCCGGAAACATTGTTTTCACTGGCAGATCCACCCTTTCGCCGATCGCATGCAGAAAAACACCACCGCTCTTTTTCCAAGCTCGCCCAAAGTCCAAGTTGCTGCTCCCCCAAAGCCCAGATTCCCTACTTGAACAGGCGGCTCGAAGATAGCGGTCGATATAAACTACGGCGGCCATTGGATTAACAAGAAGGGCTATGGGATATTGACCAGCGACTGTGCGCCTTTTGCGGCATGAGCTGTAGAATCAAAACTCAACCTCGCTGAGAATATTTTACAGAATGAAATTACAAATATCTGCGAAATAAATTGCCTACAACATATGAAAACGCAGGCAGATCCTTAAGGTATTTTATCCGCAGTCATCTGGAGATGCCAAGGGATCCGATTGAATGGTGCGGAGGCGTTCTTTGCCTCAAAACGAGCAATTGAAGGGTGTGTTGGACAGCAAGACCTGAGCTGGCAAAAGTATAGGCACATACACGCTCCGCACTCCGCGCACCACAGAGGTTCCTTAAATGAAATTTACGGTTTTCATCATGCCCCGTCTCTGTTTCGAGTACCCCTCTTTCTCGCTCACCCCGCCCACAAGCATCACCTCTTCACTTTCCGTGCCATTGTCATCTCTCTTCATCTTCCTCATCACGCCCACTGCCGTCCTTTGAATCCATCCATACCCTTGTGGGCGAATTGATCCCCTCCTCCAACTCCAATTCCTATTGGTCTCCCTCAGTACTCAGTAACGACCCCTCACACCTACACCTACACCTACACCTCACTCTTCACTTCCTGCCTAGGAGCCTCTTTAGACAACTCACCAAGGCACCTTCTTTGCACATACATACCCACCTGCTTTGCATCCCTCCTGTACAACAACTCTTCAGGCAATGTCTCTACCCACAACAACCACTACAGGACCAGCCTGTGCTATACCCACCTGCCCCGAGAAAGTGTGCCCAGAGTGCAAACCTGGATACACCTGCTCACTTTCCGTCATTGATTCCACCTGTAAATGCCCTATTGCCAGCTGCGTAAAGATTCCCTTCGACACTGGTGTCGACAATGGGAGCGATACAAACACAGAGTCAGCATCCAGCGGTTCAGTCATCGGCCCTGTCCTTGGAGCGATAGCAGGGTTGGGCGTCGTGGCGTTAATTGCATTCTTTGTGATACGACGAGGACAACGGCGCAGAAGGAAAGAGGCCATGATGATGCTGGGACAGGATGACTCTTTGGACTCGTTCTCTAAGCGCTGGCACTCGGTAAGCCCCCCCCCCCCCTCCCCATCCCTCTCTTTTCTCCTCTCTATTTCTCCTTCATGCATATCATACACAAATCACTACCTTCGTCCATAAATTGAGGATATCGGAGCGACGCCGTCACTAGCAGCATTCGTTTCAACTCATGCCGAAAGACAACGAAGGTCTTACATGGATAGACCAGGACTAGTCTCAGCAGAAACGAGCAACTGGTGAAAGGCGTCTGTCTTGCCTATCTCCGCATGGTCCTGGGCAGCAAAAATTCGGCGCTAAAAATACAAAAATGCCTACATGTGCCTGACCAACCACAGCGACGCCTCAGAGAGCAAGGGCGAGACAAGCGACCTGTCCAGAAAACGCTTGGACGCACCACAGTTCCACCTTTGCAGGAGCAACGAGGAAATGAAATGATTGCTGCACATGGAAACCGTGTTTACTCTGGATGACTTCACTGGAATAAGAATAAACTACAAGAGTTCCTGAATGCTATTTTCGTTAATTGGACATGTTTCTAATACATTTATCTGCCTGCCACTAGTCAAACGGCGACTTGAGTGGCAAGGATGTCATTAGGATCGCATATATTCCGAGCATGATCGGCGATAGCCCTGTGGTGACCCCAGAGGCCACAGTACAGCGCGGCGGAGGTAAGGGCCTGAAATGGCTTTCAGTATGTCAACGGCAATGAGGGCCTTAACAGCCACAGTATCTAATGAATTTTCTCTCTCCACATGAAATTGGCCACTGTACAGTGCTTAAACAAAACTTTTCGCCTCTACAAGACGAGGATCGCAACAAACACGACTCAATGGCGTCCTTGGACGAGGCCGTTGTTATGGCCGTCACTACCAAGGCAACGCCTCAGGTCATGAAACTCAACACCATCAAGACCACACAGGCTGATCTCATCCAACGGTCCAACACGCTCCACAGCACAAACTCGATCAAACGCTCACAATCCCAACGGCATCAAGAGAACAAAAAGGCTAGTAGGAAGAACCCATCGCCGCTAGGGAATACAACACATCATTCCGACTCTGATACAGAGGTGGAGGAGGACAGCGATATTGATGGAGCAAGTAACGGACCCAATGGCAAAGCCAAGAGGCGATCAGCAACAGGCACAGCATCCGGCAACAATCAGGAGACGAATCCATTCATGACTAAGGCAGAGTTGGTAGCTGCGAATCATACCCAGAATAATGGCAATACGCCATCATCACGCTTGTCCAATCCATTCTTGTCGGCAGCGGAATCGAGCGCAATCACATCTAACGCCAATTCGTCGTCAGTCTCACTAGTGTCCACGACATCATCCATACCCATGACTGGAACGACTGCCGTGTTTGCATCCATACCCATTACCCTTGCAGAGCATCGTCGCGACAGTGATCCATTATTGGACCTTGCAACTGGTGTCAATCTTAGACCATGGGCGACTTCATCCGCTGGGTCGACAGCCATGCGTGACTCGACCTTCTCGACCATGTCGGATTCACGGTCGTCGACTAGAGGCGACGGCGAGGAGATTATGATCTTTTGGGATGGCCATCGAGATTCGAAGGCCAATATGTGAACAAGGGAACATAAATAAACACGGCGTTTTTTTTTTTTTTTTTTTTTTTTTTACTTATTTACTGTCTTGTAATTTAAATATTCTCATACATACATACATTGGATAAAGTACTGTGAGCGTTTGCCGGGATGGTATGAATAAACCAGCACAGGCATGGGTTTAGGCGTATTATAAGGAGCGTAATAATTGCTGGGAACAGGCGAAGGCCTTTATGGCGTTTCGTAGAAAATCACCACTCCTCTGTGGCGCTGGAAATGCAATGCATCACTTCAAACGTTGATCACGCGGCACTGTTGGTCTATAACTTGTTCAACATTTATTTTGTGTAAGTATTATAGGATGCAGAGGGTTGAAATGCGGAAGAGTAAATAGTCTACATGGGGGGAAGACACTATAAGGTGGACGACGAAGGGGAAGCTCTATGGCGAATGCTGGATAACGAATAATTACAAGAGATTGACTACCTATTCACTAGGTACACCAAGGAAGAGGGGGTATAACAAACAGTGCTTCTTAGATGAAGCTCCACTGCAGCTGCAGTACACCGACGTCCAAGTCCGCAAACTTCTGGAACGCAGCCCTTGATAGATCCAGATCGCCAAACTTGCAGTATTTGCCTGGACACATGTCCACGACCGTGACAACGACTTGGGTGTTGCTTCCCTTCTTGGTCAAAAGGATCTTCTTGCCGCAGAGGTTCTTACCGGTACCCATTTGAGCTATTGATTGTTACAGAAGGATGTGTGAAGAGTTAGTAGCGAACTCCAAAAATCCAAATGCGCGCAGCCTCCCCTCATCCCTTTTTTTCAAGTTAATATTCAGATTCTGTGCTTTACCTTGGTTAACAGCGACAATCATATCTGATTGCGAATAGTGCTGCTCGCACTGGCCAAAGGTGTCCGAGTACCAGGTAGCCTTGCCCGTAAACCCCTTTCCTCCAGGAGGCTTAGAGCTAGGCTTAGGAGCAGGGGTTTCCTTTGTTGGCTCGGAAGGAGGAGGACTCTTCTTGGTTGGGGCAGACGTCTTAGTCGTTTTTATTGTTGTTGTGATGGTCTTTGTGGTCGTTGTAGTCGTTGTGGCTGTAGTAGTGGTTGAAGTGGGGATGGGGGCTGGCGCCGATGGAGATGGAACCTCGGGGGCTTCGGAGAGCTGCCACTTGACGTCCAACAAGTCCTTGGGCGAGATAGGTGTCGAGGGAGGCAAAGGGTTCACTGGGTCTGTCAGGTTGGCGATCGTCAGATCGGACTGGCCATCAAACACCATCTCATCAAAGAGCAGATCTGGGGCCAGTTCACTCAGTGCTCCAAGGCTCAGGGACACGGATCCGTATTCGCAGTCGTCGCATACACCGACGATCTGGGCATAAGTGGATTCCTGAGTGTTTGCACGGTTCTGGATCTGGATCCACTGGCCGCATGTGGAACTGGTGGTATCGATATTGTTGTTATTGAACTGGAGGGGATTCATCAAAGCGACATTGTCAGTCGAAGAAAAAGTCTGGTTGTTGCAGCCAGTGTATGTGTTGGCCTGGCTGTTGAAGTAGACGAGAGATGAGCTGGAGGTGGGAGTTGTGAGTGACGCTGTAGGGGAAGGGATCGAGGAGGAGGAAGTGGATGTAGGCGATGAAATGGGCGATGGTGTGCTGTCGAGCGTGAGGTTAAAGAAGGAGGCGGTGCCTCTGTATTCTGTTCCCCAAACGGTCGCATTGGTGCCATTTGAAGGAGGGGAGCTGTTGGGGCCAGACAGAGCACCCATGAGTGCGCCTGTGATGATGGAGAGAGGTCCGGCGGCGAGGCGTTGAATGGGAGCCATTTGTATATATGCTTCTGGTGCTGTTTTGTTACGATTGGTGAGGGCTGGTGCAATGGTGGACCTGATGCAGGGACAGCTACAGAAGAGAGAATGAGGATGGTCTAATGGAATGGGCGCAACGAAGGAGGCGCGAAAGTGGAGACGAGGAATGTTGGGTGTTATATATGTGGCGATGGGAAATGGGCCAGGGGCAGGGGTAAATCGTATCGGTATAAACCCCTTGTTTAGCCTGTAATTCATTTGAGACATTTCAATGTTTAACCGTTTCGTTTCTTTGATATTGATCTTTATTACTTTGCACATGGTCTACGAGATAATTGCCATGAGTTTACAGCACAAGCATAAGATCACAGGCAAGTCTAGTAGACTATAACTGACCATTGCTATTACCATCGCTCGTCTGTCGCCTATTCAAATGCTACACGAATGAATACAGTTCGAAAGTATGAAGCGATCAGATTTAGCGTAGGTATGGCACAAACTATGTCCGTCTTTTGGACAGGGGACTTAAGTCTGTCCGCACGATCCAAAAGGAAAGACCATGTGCTGAAAGGGACCACAAAGAGAGTGAAGTTTCCCAGGGATGGGTTGGAGAGGCCAGTGGGCTCGTGATTGCTACTCCGATACCAGGAAGGTAGACGTGTCCCATTCAAATTACCATTGAGGTGCGTTCAGATGCCATGGGATGGAATTCTCGTGGGGGAAAAATGATGCAGGAACATTCAAGGGTACTGAATCTCTAACGGGAAATGGCCGCCATTCCATCACATTCTATCATCGTTTTTGTAAATGTCTTGCGCCATCATAAATTAAGTGTGAAGAAGACTCCTTGGTTAAATGAAATGAAGGGCGTGTGTGTGCATTAACCGTATCTTCTGTAAGATCCGTGTCACACTTGAAGAGTTAAAATGAATACGCAGATCAATTCAATGGTGCAGGGTGCCCCAACCCAAAGTCCGAAGCAAACAAAGCACGCGAGTTACCCTACCCAGCTTCACCATTACCCTTTCCTCCCCCTATTTTTTGTAAAGAGTGGCGGAGGATCTTCATTAACCTTAATTCATTTTTCATCTTCAGCCTTTGTTTGTGTCATTGTTTTTTTTTCCGTTGGAATGGGACGGAATGGGAAGGGAAGGCATGCTTCTGTGCATGACGGACGGAGACCCATTGGCAGTGCAAATTTGCAGCCTATTCAACAGTCGAGGACGATGGGGCACGAGCGGGCCTGGGACCAAGAAGATGCATTTGTTACTAATTCAACTTCGCTACGTGCCTTGTGTGATGAAATCGATCTGAGGTAATGTTGCCCTGTTACTTTCTAGTGGCAACACTAGTGGTCGCATAACTGGCTCAAGACAGCATGGCTGATAACGGAAAAAGAGAGTCGGCTAGGTTGCTCGGCTTTTTAATCTCGAAGGGCGTTTGTAAAGCTGGCCTTCATTGGTTCACCTCCTCTTCATTCTTCTCACGCGTATGATCGCTAGTGCTCTTCCATCGTGTAAATGAAAAAGAAAGCACTAGATTGAGCATAGGCCAGAATAAGCATCAACTTGCTCTTATGAGGCGCAAGCCATGTATCAGCGCCTTTATTTGCCATCTCCAAAATGCCTACCGCTCATATGCCTTTACGCTACGAGAACCGTTTGACACTCTTCTCGCTGAATCCTATATTCTAACTGCTGGTAGTCTATCATCAGGAACGCGTTATAGCCTTTGTTTTGTTTTGAAGCGCTACTATCACTCACTGTCCATCTCCAATCACAAAATTCTACACCCCGCTAGCGACAACAAAAGAAGACACAGGAAACATCGATACAGACATGCCATATTCGTGCCATGAAAATAAACAAAACACTTCCCATACCGCGATTCCTCCCCTGAAATACCAGGGTCCCCCTACTAGGGCGCCACCTCTAGATAGGGGGTTTCATCCCGCATTACGCCTCGCCTTGGCAGAACCTGAATCAATTCCCGTGAACTTGATAGTGTCTCATGTATACAGCAACGCGTTGGGTTACACCGCGTCTCTATACTATGCACTGGGTTCTAACTTGTCTTTCAAGTCTTTCTCCACTCCCGCCTGGACAGTGTATCTCTATAGCAAAACCAACCGCCATGTTCTGCCCCCCATTCCTCTTGAGATGAACAAATTGACATTGCGTTCAAGCTATTGTCAAGTCTTTTCTGAACCACGTAGATACATTTGAACCGGGTACCAAGGGTACGCATATCAATGTGGTATGGCAGAACTTAAAGTTTTCTGCTCCTCTACGGATGTGCACGAACCCTCTCCTATTTTTCTCTTCCTAGAAGCTCGCGGCTGCTGCTCTTGCCTCATATCACGACGCCATATATTGAGCATTTCCCATTTCCTATCCTAGACGTAGCTTTCCGCTGGCAGAAAGCCTACGGGACGCAATCAGGAATCTGCACTTTGCTGGACCTCGTTTTTCAAGCTACACAGTCTATACCAAGCCTGAAGCGCAATGCTATTGAGTTTGCGAGCGAAGAACTTTAACTGATTATGGTAATGAGGCTTAACATTTGAAAGCGCTTTATGATTCTAGGTATTTTTTTTGTATATATTCATTATAGCCGACTCTCAGTAATGACCCTACGATCCACTGAGGCGCGCGCGAGTTTTGAGGTTGAATTGCAGAGGATGAAGTTCCGCAGGTACCGGAGCTTGGAAAGTGTCTGGAACGACACGTCCGAGACCTCGTTCGCATCCAGCAGTGAAATGTACTCGAGTCGCAGACAGTTCGAGGTCAACTCGAGCACCACCTCATCATTGATCTTGGGCGGTACAGACTCTAACCACGAGACATTCAGATGACGCAGGTCTGGACAATGCCGTGCAAACTCGATCATCTCTGGTGCTCCTAGACACGCATCCGAGTCAAGCAACACCAGCTTAGTCAGGGCCTTTCCGTATGTCCGCGCCAATTGCTGGAACGTCTCCTCTGGAATGCTCTTGCAGCACTACAAGAACAACGGCGAGGGTAATCAAACTAGCCGCTCTGCTTGTCGACGACGTCATGTGAATCAATAATCTCGGTGCGATGCACCCATAGAGTTGTGTTGCGAGTGTCAGCATCTGTGTACAAACGTGAGCTAGCACAGACGAGAAGGCTGAGCGCCACTGCTAATGTTCCTGGTGAGCTAAAAGCACCACTGAAGTGTTTCGCAAATGTGGCCTTCGCGCAAGCTATGACCGTAACCCATCCAATGGATCTCGAAGCTGTGCAGCTGTTCCAGTTTACGCGCACATATCGAATAGAAGCACGTGCAGTGTCGAACGCTAATACACGTATCATTGGTATAATTAGGATATGTTTGTGCGAAAGAAGACAGACACGGCTAATAATTTCAGTCGAAGCCTAGCTGCTTACAACTCGATGACATGTCAGTGTGGATCATCGTTTATGGTGCCAAGCCGTGTTTGGTAGGCTTATTTTTTATATGGGTTTAGTGCAAGTTAAATCTTTCGGTGCCAAATCATCAACTTTACGTGGAGAACCAAGCTATACCTTTTCTTTTGGTGCATTCAGCCTGACTGGATGAGATGGTCGGTCCTGCTTTCGCGGAATTGGGGCGGGGGCGGGGGATTGTAGATTTTTGTAGCCAAACATTTGGTTTCAAATGCTATGGGGCACTTTTGTTTCTGTAAGCTGTGGAAAGCCAAGATGGTGAAAACCTTCGCGAGTCGTTTGGTATAGTTGTTTTTGCTAAGTTGACAGATCCATTCATCAACACCGAAGCCGGATCATGATTTGCAACGCGTCAACCAAAACCGACGTTGAACGCATTTTTCTAGCCGTCTGATCACTTCTTTAACCCTTATTCGAAATAGAGTTTGTTCCAGGTAAGCTCTCGTTGCCTGATCAGCGACTCCGTGCTCCTCACTCTCTCAACGACGAGGTCTATAGGGCCTCGACACCATAGCCAGAATTGAAGAATGGGCATGGCGATAAGCCAAGTGGATTATATTTGTCATGCCACCTTATATCCTTGTATTGTAGTATCCTTTCTATTAGTGTGCTCGTAAGTATCGCAGCGTTTGTTAGGCTGACCATTCGTGTTTCTCGGCAGTGTCGGCAGGACCCCGATGTCTATTCTAATAAGTCTACTTGGGGCATACATCTGGATAGGAGGGCATTCCGCACCAAGCACGCATGCTTATTGTTTTCGCAGTGCATTATGATGTATCTTTTAAAGTATGTGCCCCATGCTTCGTGAATACAGGAAACCACCATGCATGTATAGAGCGAGAACACAAACAAAAGAAAAACTCTCTCCCATAGTGCATGGCCCCATCGCTTACTGGCTCTTGCTCATCGCTTTCCCTTCCATCCTTCCTCCTTCTTTTCTTCTTTCTCTGTCTCTTTCTTCACTAGTGTCCCTCCCTTGATCGACCTTTCCAGGACTTATCAAAAGTCCATTCCAACACGTCCTACCAATCATCAGTGTAGCCAGTGTAAGAAAACAGGTGCGTTGAATGTCACACCCCTCATGTATATTGTTATTGCTCACTCCTGCCAGAACTGACGGGCTGGGCTGACCCAAATTGACCAATTACTCACGCTAATGCTTCTCTGCACTGTAGGCTGCCCTTGCTCGTGTCAGTTTCACCCGTTTCACCCCCAACTGCTTTTCGAGCTGGAGTCACCAGAGAGTATCAGAAAGGACGCGGACCAGGGCGTCCAGGAGGAGGCTGGGGATGTGATTCGACCCGTAGGCATACACTCTCTAAGCCCGCACCTGCTCCGGTACATATTCTCGTTCCTGGCTGTCCAGCATTACGACTATCTGAACCACCGTACACATACTCTCTACCACAACCTCGGACCCCTGACGCTTGTCTGCAAGTCCTGGAACAACATCGCATCTCCCCTTCTTTGGCAGGAGCGCACCTTTCATGGATGGAAGGCAGGCGACGAGCTCAACATCTTTTTGCAGCAGACCGAGAACGCTGACTTTTCCTCGACGCACGAGTATGGCGAGTTTGTGAAGCGGATCGAAATCATTGATTCACACGACGTCGTCGACAAGCAGAACGGCCAGTTTGTCATCAATTGGATTACGCCTGATGTTGTTCTCGCCCTATCCGAACACTGCAGCAAACGACTCCGGGACCTGACTTTGGTCTTTGCAACTGGACGCCAGGTCTCGACCGAAAACGAGGAGGGGCTCATTCCCTGGGGTGCTCTAGCAGAATCCTGTCGTCGGCTCTTCATGGTATCCCTCACCAACTACATCTGCCCCATCTTGCCAGTCGGGAACGGACACCCACTCCACATGTTTGCAACATACACCAACCCCCTGACGGAACTGGTTCTCAAGCGCTGCAAGAGCATTCCAGAGGAGACGTTCCAGCAATTGGCGCGGACATGCGGAAAGGCCCTGACTAAGCTGGTGTTGCTTGACTCGGATGCGTGTCTAGGAGCACCAGAGATGATCGAGTTTGCACGGCATTGTCCAGACCTGCGTCATCTGAATGTCTCGTGGTTAGAGTCTGTACCGCCCAAGATCAATGATGAGGTGGTGCTCGAGTTGACCTCGAACTGTCTGCGACTCGAGTACATTTCACTGCTGGATGCGAACGAGGTCTCGGACGTGTCGTTCCAGACACTTTCCAAGCTCCGGTACCTGCGGAACCTCATCTTGCCACGTGCAGGATCGGCTCAGAGTGGAATGGCCTATCGTCAGGAATCGCTCATTGCATTGGCCAAGAGTTGCAAGCGTCTCGAACAACTGCATCTGGTGGCGCCAGGAGCGACGACGAGCCGATTCTTTGAGGCGCTGCTGTTCTGCCCGCACCTTCAGGTGCTCGTGATTGCGGAGCTCTGCAAGGGTCTGTTGATCGACCAGCGGTTCAAGACACTAGGACTGGCGAAATATGTCGACCCAGAGACAACGGATGCATACAAATTGGTTTGGCACAAGAAGACTTAAGAACGGTTAACCAAGAGGCATACATTGATGCGTACACATACACACACGCCACCGAGAGCCATATTCTGGATCGATGGAGGATTTAAGGACAGTTTCAATTTCCAAGGAGTTCGCTGTGCGCTTCTCCCACTCTTTTGTCAGCATTGAGTCATGAAGGCAACTCTCTCGAGTAATAATAATAATAAAAAAAGTCCGATACCGTGCATGCATCATATGGTTCTGTCTGCTAGACTATTTGCACTTGTTGTCAGGGTCTGCAGCTGTGCTTATGCAATGTAGCAAGAGTCGTCGAAAGAATCCAAGCCGGCGACTTGTTATCACTTTACTTTTCTGTTATTGCTACCGATGTTGCAGTCTCATCCTCCGAGTCTGAGACGAAGGAATAAGAAGACGAAGGTAAGAAAATTAGATGTAATCCCTATAGATGCAGCATGGGGCACGGCTAACAGGGCTAGTTTGCCTATAGACTATGCACACTAACCGAATGAAGCAGACAAGACAGCTATCTATGGTGGAGATACTGGTGACGATGCTGACGGATAGGACTCTGTGGCCGCCTGCCCTTCACAAATGGCGTCATTGATGCCAACCGCGATCCCATCCCATTCCGTTCCATCCCATCCCATTGCATCGTATCGCATCGTATCGCATTCTCCGAGGGAGGACCCTTCCTGCGAGGGTATATACGCCACCATTGTTCAAACTGCCGCTCACTGTTATTCTTTTCTTTTTATTCTTGTTCATTTCATACATTCATACACATTCGTACATTCATACATTCAATCCTTCGATTCCTTCCTTCCTCCAATCCCTCACTCATCCCGCTGGCCATCATCTTTCTTTTGACACACTTGTCATTTTCAATATCAACTACCCTCTCTCGCTCGTACTTTCTGTCTCTCTTCCCACTGCATACCTCTGCCTCTTCTTCCTCTTCTGTTGTTGCAGCCTACACTCACAGCTCGATTCCCTGCTCTGCTCCTCAGCCCATACGTGGTATATCATTGCACAAAGACATCTCACGTTTTGAACTGGAGACTCCGCTTATATCCTTGATCGACACTGACTGATACAATCCTATTTTCTTGCCTTCCATGTCTACATCTCCATCTTATCCGTCTTGGCACTCTTTTCCATTCGTCAGAGGCACATCCGCCGCAATACAGCCTAGACTGAGTCAAGCACGAGCCCAAAAGCCATCGCAAAAGTCTTGCACTGCAACGAACAACAGCTACAATATTTGGACATTCCGTCTCGCTTATTGCTGCGTGGTAAGTTCCCAGGAAAATGAGGGGGAGTCGAATCGAATTGAACAGGCAGCACAAACACATTATACACATTATACCATGGTCGGTAATCGACTGGAGGACACAACTATCTGGCCAGTCGAGCCATTGAAAGAAAGAAAGAAAAAAAAAAAAAGCAGAGCGCCTCGATTCTCTTGGTGTCTCCGACATCTTTTCTGCTCTTTTTTTATTTATTTATTTATTCTCGCCTGCGCGGAGGGCTACAAAAAGAAACGTTGAATGCTCTCGCTTGCTTAGATGATCGACTTGATTCAACCGAGGTTGTCTTCATCTCGACAGTATCAGCAACAGCAGCAGCAGCAACAGCAACAGCAACAACAATAACAACAACAGTAACAACAACAACAACAACAACAGTATTAAAATTAACATCGACATAAGTGGCGACGAACTGCAACGGGGTGAAAAGGTCAAACGGATATGAGCCAATCTCGTTGATGGAGTGAAGATGGCATTGAGGGTTAAATATTTACAAGACTTGTGCAAACAACACGAACACACATGGCGTTGCCGCGTCGTCATATTTGTAGCTGCATGGGTGCCTAATGCGGCTCAGCATTGAACGTGCGCATCTTGCCCTAGCGATGAAGCACCAAGGGCGGCCCGGACAACATCATCATTGTCTCATTGCCTGCCTACACACCGAGAGAAGAAAAAAAGGGATTTACTGATGACCTTAATTTAATTTCTATAGGATTTGCATTTCCGTGTAACCGTCGCAGCCAACAAGCACCGAACAGCGCACAGGGACCGGCATCATTAGCAGCCAGTACTCACAACCAGCTGTACGAACCATTACCAATATTATCCCTACAGCAGTGTCAGAGCCACTGCTCCATCGCCCTTATCAAGAAGCAAGCTGGGTCATCAATACGTCTATCGGCCATGTATGTTCCCCCGCAGAATATACAAAGCACAAGCCTGCTCACAAGGGCACTGTCAGCTGAGCAGATGCAGCTCGATAACGCCACTGTTAACAGTATTGCCGGACAGAATCAGTACCAACCTGCACAAGACCGCCTCCGCCAGCAACAGCAACAACAGCAGCAACAGCAATACATGATTGCCATGCAACAGCAGCAACAACTTCCATACGACCCATGGTCTACAGGCCAGGTTCTTGCTTCTTCCGCCCCATTAGATGTAACACAAGGACCAAGAATGGTCAACGCCTCTGTCAATGCCGCTGTCAATGTCGCGTCCAATGGGGTCTCATCCGGTCTATCGTTGATCTCTGGCCACAAAGGCATTGTGAACGACCTCAGTGCAGCCAACGAATGGACTTCGTTCTTGGCCACAGACGCCTTTGGCGATTCCGCTGATGCAGACATGGAACAATTATTGCAGGGCAACGTAAACGAGGAGAATTGGGGACCCGACGAGCAAAACCGTTTTAGCATGCCGAATCCACCTTCCTTCATGGACCGCGCAGAACGTCAACAAAGACGGGAGATTCCTGGTCAGGGTCAAGAACAGCAGCGTCAACAGCCGCAAGAAAATCAACAGCATCTTCAACAACATCTTCAGCAGCATCTTCAGCAGCATCTTCAGCAGCAGCAGCAACTTCAGCGACAACAGTTTCAGCAACAACAGCAGCAACAGCAGTTCCGCCAACAACAACAGCTGTACCAGCTGCAACAGCAACAAATGTTACAGATACAATTAGAGATCGCAAGTCAAACTAGTTTACCTCAAAGTCCTGCTCCGTATCCAACGTCGTCTCATTTTGGCAACCATCTGTACACCCCACAGCATGTCTCTGCGCTGAGCCATTTTCCCAGCGGACATTCGCCTGCCAATTCGCCACTATCGCCAGGCAACTACGCCGGCGATGATTATTTCTCCTCGCGCCAAGTGTCACCTGGCCCAGCTGCATCGCCTGGCGGGCCCTCCAAGATCAAATCAAGACCGCGACCATCCACTTCTACTCCTCGTGTTTCTCAAGGAGGCATCAAGGCGCTTTTCGGTCAGAGTCTTCCAAAGAACAATCGCGCCTCTTTGGACCTGAAGACTGAAAGCGCATTGCTTAGCGCTGGTGGCTTGAAGACCCCTCCTATCAAAAAGAAGTTTCCCAACAAATCTCTTTCAGCAGAGATTCCAGTGGTAAGCAGCCAGGCCCTTAGTGCAGCAATGGGCGCAGTAGCCAACGGATCAATTCATGGCTCGGGCACCCCAGCAAGTGAGAATCCCCCTTCTATGACTCTTGCGGAGCGTCGAGCGGCAGCGGCAGCGGCAGCAGCGGCGGCAGCAGCGGCGGCAGTAACAGGTGGTTCTGACTCTGACCCCAAACCCCAACAACCAGTATCTGCACAGCCCGAACAAGACTCCCTTATACCGCCAAATCTGGGACTTGATGTCAAGGCCAATCGTATTGCCTTGCCACTCAATCTCACTCCAGGAAATGAGCCCATACCTCTCCCCAGCCCCGCACTGCTCACGCCTGGTGCATCATCTGCACCGATTCAGATCGAGCGCATTGTCCCACGAAATTCTTCTTCGCATGCACGGACGGAAGAGCAACAAAAGCTGTTGGACGATGCGATGCGGCGCGTAAACTTTGAAGATGTGACCGTAGCAGAACTCAAGGAGATGCTGCGCCAGCGAGGCAAGCATGGTGGAGGCAAGAAGGCAGATTTGATTAAGCGGCTCAAGGATGAGATCGATAGCATTGATAAGAAAGGGAGTGCAGCTGCAAATCGCTCGAATGCAGCAGCGTCGACGCCGATGCCCATCAATTCACCATCAACGCACTCACTGCACCGGACGCTTGGCAACATGCACATCGGCTCACCACCAGTCCATTCCAACCTCGCCTCTTCTTCTGCGAACCTTCGTTACACACCCTATACTGCCCCATTGGGGTCGCCTGGAGGCACAGGGTATCCATTTAGCAACAGTTCAGGACCCAGCCTCGGAGTAATCATGCCTCTCCCAAGCCCAGGCTTGACAGGACCAACGAACGGCACGAGCAACTCGATCAACGGCACAATGGCGACAGGAGTTGGAGTTGGAATAGGAGCTGGAGTTGGAGCTGGGACAGGATTAGGGTCTGGATCGATTCCATCTGCGGTAAATGGACACGCCCCCAATATGCCTAGGACCATTGCTGTGCAAGGCGGACGTGATACCAGTTCTCTTTTTGTGGGCTCCCCAAGAATGTCGTCTCTGCTTGGATCGTCCTTCATCTCCTCTGATGGCACGGTGCACCAAAATCCGGTTCACCCTCATAACCAGCGCCATGCAGCACCGGCATCAGGTTCAGCGGACAAGGCTTCTTCTCCTTCGAATTACTCGAGCCCTGCAGGCAGTAGCCTTAGAACCAGCCTGAGCCCAGAGTTTAATCTAATGGAAGATGTTGAGGGCGGTACAGATGCCTTGAATGACTTCAATCTCTCTATGGAGGGAAAGAATATGGACACAGGGACACCTTCAGGTGAGCTGCCCTCGGATCTTTTTATGAGTGGTCAAGAATATCCTCTGGATCCCTCCTTTTTGGCGACCCTGGATGGATGGCCTTCGTAAATGCTGACAGAATGGTCAAGGCTGAGGCCCACGTAGTAGAAGCGGATATATTGTGCAACAGGGCGCGTCCCATCATCAGATGTCACAAATACATCCTACACACGTATATGGACACACATACGCACGCGCTCTCTCTCTCTCTCGACACATCCAAGCTGGTAGCAACGGCTTGCACATGCCATATATTTATATATTTTATGCGTATACATAGAACACTGAGTGATGAATAGAAAGCGCCACGGCGCGCACATGTCCTTACGCGATCCTGACTGGAATGTTGATCTTTGAGGCCCTGAATGGACCCATCCCAGTCAGTGCATTCTAATGGCATCATCATCCACACCAACAAACACAAAGGGATATAAGCAGGGATAAGCAAGAAAAAGGTCTTGAGCGAATGTAGCGCTTTCGTATGTGTTGATAGGGCCTTAAAGAGCTGTCTTTACCATGTACCTCACTTAAACGCACCATCGTGAGCTTAGATTTTCATTTTCGTGTCACCACACAACAACGAAGCTCCTTTGCCATATGGAAGGAAACGTCTCTTTTGAATGCGTGTATATAATATGCCTGTCCTTCATTTGATCTATGTCCCGACCTTGCAGTCGAGGAGTGCAAAAAAATTGAGAGAAGCTTTCTTCAAATGCAAAATTATGATACTTTCATGTATTCTAGGACGATGTTTGAGCTTGGCGCGATGGAAGCTCCTTAGAGACCTTGCCACCTTTCTGGATATAGTCAAGGATGTGCTCCTTTACGCTCTTAGATACATGCTCCGCTGTGTGGTCCTTGGCATAGCAGTCCACGAACTCACCCTCGGGCGACATCAGGTAGAAGAAGATGGAGTGATCAACCAAGTAGTCCTCTCCCTCGGCCACCTTGGGAGGTTTCGAGAAGTAGACGCGGTATGCCTTCGCGACCTTGGCGATCTCATCCATCGACCCAGTCAGTCCAACCAGGTTCTTGTGGAAGTCTACAGAGCACACAATGCAGAAGTATTACTAAAACCGAGGTGCGGTTCAGGAATTAAGCCGGCGAAGACAATGAGAAAAAGCCTCCTACCTTTGACATATTCCTTGACCTCGGGGACGGTGTCGCGCTGAGGATCACATGTAATGAAGATGGGAGTAATCACATTACCCACCTCAGGATCATCATCTAAACATGACAGCCAGTAAAAAAGATTCGTCGTCAGAATCTTGTCTGTATGTATATCAGTATGGCAATGCCTTTCTTGTCAAGTGAATGTTAAAGACGTACAGACGGTATCTAGGACCTCAGCCATCTTGTCCAATTCCTCTGGACAAATATCCGGACAGTTGGTGAACCCGAAGTAGATGAGCATATAACGTCCTTTAAAGTCCTCGTTCGTAGTGCGGACACCGTTCTGGTCGATCAAGGAGAAGGGACCACCGATCTTGGGCTTTCCGTACGTTGTGTTTTCTCTAGCAAGACGCGCCTCCTCAGCTGCAATGCACCATGAAGCGACGAAAGGAAGATGGAGCGTTGAATATTAAAAAATGTAAGAAGAACGCCATGCATGTACAATGGACTCATTCAATCAATGAGTGGTACACACCTCGGGCGGCCTCAACGCGCTTCTTCTCCTCGCGAAAGTAGTAAAGCAACCCTGCTCCGGTGGCAGTGAAGACAGCCAAGGTCCTCCAGTTCAGGGCCTTTGATCAAATCGAATGCATGAACGTTAGAAGATGTACAGATCGAGATATTAGCCACATGCGGCCACTTGAGAGACGTATAGCTTTTAGGTGATACATACGCCGGCAGCACTGGCGGTCTGCGCACGGGCACCATCAGCCTTGTTGCTATAATACCGAACGTTGGTAAGACCGAGCTGTGAGCGGACAGGAGCGGGCCCTGAAAGCGCAACACCTCTAGCAACGAACTGGCATGCTCTGGGAACTGTCCTGCCGGGCACTAAGTTCATGAATGTGTATTAATTCCATGCGAAAAGGATGGTCAGTCTTAGCGTGGAAAAATAGCGTGCGTTTCATGGTGCAAGATCCTTTTCCAGTCGTACCACTCAGGCGGATCAGGGATCGAAGCATTGGTGAGTATTGCTTATACCAACTATAGGAGTCAGGGGCGAAGGGAGTGGAAGGGTGATTGTGATGCTGGCGAAAGATGAGGATAAGGAATGGGGGATGCGGAAGGGCGAAAAGCGGGAGCTGATCGTCCGCCACCAAAAGAGGTACAACCGAAATATCAAGGCCCAATGTTGCTTGCAAATAATGGGATGAGCGGACGTCACCTCTAGGGTATTGGAGATGTCGAAGGAAATAAGGTACGAATAAGATTCTCTTGCGAGTGAGGTGGTCCGGACGAGACCTCCGATCGGATTTGATTTGATTTCGCTCCCCTTCTCTCATCACTCCTCTCATTCCATCCTCCCTTCAGCAACGGTAATCACATCTTGCTCGTCTTGCTCCTATGCCACTCCTTCGACATGGCAACAGCCCGTCCGACTCCCGTCCGGGATCACTCAGGGACACCCATCCGAATGCAACTCGGGAAAACGTGAAAAATACAAACAACAAGCAGAATCCCGGCCGATCAAACAGCAGTGCAATTGGAGTCAGCCCTGGAGGATTACACAGCAAAGACAAACGCGCGTTGACGAATCAATCAATCTCCATAAAACATGCCTTCGGAAAGCTGTTGACCTTCCATCAACCTCCTTGCCCATCTACACCTCCTATATCGCAATACGGGCGCAGGAACACACGTTGCGGCGCGTGTATTTCCTACAACCTTTCTTTTTTACACACGAAGCACGTACCAACACACACAACCGCACTTTCCCTTTTTTTTTGACCGGTTTAGAGCACCATGTTGTCCATCTCCTCCGCCCGCAAGACCCTGAACCTGGTCCCCACCATCCTCAAGGCCGGCTACGCCACCGCCGTCTCCAAGACCAGCAACGGAATCAAGGTTGCTACCCTCGACGAGAGCTCTCCCACTGCTTCCGTCTCCCTCGTCATCAACGCTGGTGCTCGCTTCGAGCCCAAGGACAAGGCTGGCATTGCCCACTTTATCAAGAACTTTGGTTTCAAGGTATCGACCGTATTCACTGTGGTCCCTACAGGACGTTCACACCAACCCTCGATCGCATCCGACTCTATCGCCATCACGCTGTCCCAGACACATGGGTGCGATTAACTGGATACTATACAGGAAACATTCGCCAGATTGAATGCAGCAAACGACCTGGCGATCCTTAGGATATGGAGATGTGTCTTTGCGACCATCATATCGTTGCCTGCACCACATCTGAAGGGGTTTCTAGGCTATCTTTGTGTCTACAACTACGATCGAATTCCTCAGGAGCGACTTTTCATGAAGACACGCAGGACAATGGAATTACCAGGAACATATGCTACGCCTCGATTACTTTTCTCTTCTTTTCTTAGCGATATCTATATCCCAACACTGTCTTTTGGACGATATTGACGTGCGACGAGCAATTGGGCACTAATATAAACGCACGTCTTCCTATACCTTATTCATCTCTTAGAACAACGGCAAGCGCTCTGCCTTCCGTATCGCCCGTGAGACCGAGCTCGTCGGAGGCGCCATCTCCACTAGCCTTGGCCGCGAGACCATTTCCTTCACCGCCGAATGCTTGAAGGAGGACGTGTAAGTGACCCTGGACCTGGAATGCGTTCTCATTTTTAACATGCCGTACGCCCAATGTCATCCTAGACTCCTAAGCACAGTTCTGCTAACGTATGAACTTGACATTTCAAACATAGTCCGTACTTCGTCGAGGTCTTTGGCGATATTGTTGCCCAGACCAAGTTTGCTGAGCATGAGCTCCACCCCGTTGCCTCCGAGGTTGCCTCCGAGCGTGCCGTCGCCGAGGCTTCCCCCGAAGTCACTGTCATTGAGGCTGCCCACAGCGCTGCTTTCCGCCACGGTCTCGGCAACTCTATCTACGCCGTTCCCTATGCTGATATCACCACCCACGACTTGAAGAAGTTTGCTGCTGACAACTTTGTTGCCAACAAGATCGCCCTCGTTGCCACCGGTATCAGTGAGTCCGAGCTCAAGAGCTTGGCCGACTCTGCCTTTGCCGAGGTCATTGCCGGCTCTGCCGCCACTGCTGAGACTGCCAAGTATTATGGTGGTGATATTCGTGTTGCCCATTCTGGCGAGCACGGCCACATCGCCGTTGCCTTCCAGGGTGCCGCTGCCGGTACCCCCGAATTCTACACTGCCCAGGTCTTGCGCTCGTTGCTCGGAGGCGATCGCTTCGTCAAGTGGTCCACCGCTGGTGTCTCTCCCCTCGCTGTCGCTGCCGCCAAGTTCGGTACAGATACCAAGATCGCTGCCTTCAATTTTGGCTATTCCGATGCTGGTCTTTTTGGTGTGTATGTCCAGGGCGAGCACAAGAACGTCGCCGAGGCTGCCAAGGCTGCCGTTGCCTCCTTGAAGGCCGCTGCCAAGTCGGTCTCTGCTGACGAGTTCAAGCGTGCGTTGGCTCAGGCCAAGTTCGAGACCGCCTCCCAATTTGAGTCCCGCGCTTCCACAACCGAGATCCTGGCTGCTCAGACTCTTCAGGGCCACAAGATCACTGCCACAGAATCCCTTGCTGCCTTTGACAAGGTCCAGGCCGGCGATGTCTCCAAAGTAAGTTGATCGAAGCATGCAATTTATCCGTAGGACATGTATTTCTAAGATGAACATATATTTATTCAAGCCCACTTCCATTCTTTCTTCGTCTTTATTTTTCATAGCTCGCTGCCAAGTTGTTGAGCAGCAAGCCTACCACCGTTGTTCTCGGTAGAACTTCGGAGCTCCCCTACGGAGATGCCTTGTTTTAAGATACACACGCCCCGCCCTCAAGAAAAATAAATGCCACATAGATCCACACACCACCTCCTCTTCTATCCTTCCGACTACTCCCACCACTATGAGCGGCAGACAGAGAGACAGACAGACTGAACAGACTGACCGAACAGACTGACACGCACGCGCCATCAAAATACAATACTATACTATCCGTAAAACTTGTCATAAGGGATCGCTGTATTGCGTAAACTATTCAACGCTATACGTTACTGTGCTGTTATAATCACCGAAATCATATATTTCGTACTTGGAAGATATCAGCGCTGCTTGGTAGATCATTCTGCACTTGGGAGCCCTTAGGTTAAGTTCTTTTCGTTCTTTGGTGGGGAGATTTTGGCACGCTTGCCTTCCTTGGCGGCTCTAGTTGGTCGGTTCGATGGCGGGCAGTAGGTAGTCGCGAAGCTGTCCGATGGGTGCCTCGGATCTTTCCTTCCTGACGGCGGACACTAAGAATGGCTTTGGCTCCTTGGTCGCCCGTTTGAAGATAAGACATCTGAGGGTGTTCTTCTTAAAGCAAGCGAGATTCTCGAGACCGGAATTCTCGGTCGAATTGATGGGCGCAGCAGCGACCTGGGGACAGATCAGCGTGAGGACCAGGAGGAAGGCGATTGCCAGTGGCATGAGAAGGATAGCCATAGTCGAGCGACGACGAGGAGTCCTGGATGTGATTGCGACGGCGGCGCATGCGTGGGTGATTTCACGGAACATGGTAAGGACCTTGGTAGCTTTCTTGAGGAAGGAAAACTGCGTTTGGTTATGGGAGAAACGCGTTAGGGTGAGTGCTGAGCGAGCGCTGAGTGGTGATGAGAAGGGCAAAGGCGGTGGTATCCAGGCTCGGAATTTATATAACCGTGGAGGCGGACACCAGAAGACCACGCGGACAAAGCTATGGCGTCTCTAGAGCCTGGGAGGAGGGTGAGTTGAGATACTTAGGGTACTTGGGACAATTGAGACAAATGGAGTGGCAACCATAGAAATCTATGCACAACATGCATCTTACAGAGTGCCTCTTCCGTATTTGTTAGCCCCCACTATTGTTGAGTGGTGTCGCCACACGAAAAAGTCTTGCATGACCGACCCGCTGTGCTACCCATTCCCCCTGCCCCTTCTCGAGATCGTCTTCCACTGTCCATAAGCCCATCATTTCCTTCCTTCTTTCTTGGACTGAACACAAAGTCGCACCATGACCCAGAGTCCACGCCCTATGGCGCAACAGCACGACAATCCGCCTGTGCCAAACCCCAAGGTATGGCAAACACATTACCGCTGCTTAGATCTGCTGTTATTTTCGATGCATTGTTTTCATATAGACATATAGATATATACGTGCCACATAGATCCACTCCTTCCTGTTCCTGTTGTTCCTTCAGGATACCCCCATCGCTGCTATGAGCAGCAGACAGAGAGACACACAGACTGACGCACACACCTTCAAAGCATAACAACATGTCATCCATAAAACTTGTCATAAAGGGTCTTTATATTGCATGGCCTATTCAATGCTTTGGAGGGCGTTATAATCTACGAAAATAATATACGTTTCGCGCTTAGAAGAGATTGCAGTTTCACTCTGGTCTCGCGTCCTCTTAATCTTATCGAATCCTCATCTTTCTTCGATCATCGCCCATTCGCTTGTGTTTTCTTGGCTGCTCTGGCTTTTACTTGGGTCCGTCGCAAAGCCCTACTTGGTTGGTCCATTGGTGGGTTCGTCAATAGGTTCGATGGGCCGATGTTCCTTGAGGGATTCCCCTGTGATGATGTTGAGATCCAGGGAGGGCTTGGGGTCCTTGATGAACCGTTTCATAACACGCGGGCAGCTAAGGACGTTAAACTTGAGACAGCCCATGTTCTCAACGCCAGAATCCGCAGTCGAATCGATGGGCGCAGCAGCGACCTGGGGACAGATCAGCGCGAGGACCAGGAGGAAGGCGATTGCCAGAGGTATGAGAAGGACGGTCGGAGATGAACGATGACGGGGAGTCTTGGTCGTGGCGGCAGCGGGACTTGCGTGGATGTTCGTGTTCTTGAGGAGCATGTTGTAGGATCGTTTTTTTGGACTTAAAGCTTGATGGTACGTGAAGCGAGAGGGATAACTTGAGTGTGCTTTGGTTGTGAAGCTGGATGATGATGATGATGATGATGATGATGATGATGAGAGGGGAAGATGGAGTCCCAGGTTCGGAGGTTTTTATAGCCTTGGAGCTGGACGCCAGGTGGTTGCGCAAATGAACCATTGAGATAGCTAGGACAATTGAAATGACAATCGCAAAGGCCATGGAAACCATAGAAACTATGCATGTTGCCTCTTCTGGTCGGCCTCCTCTGCTTTGCCTCCACCGCGCTTGTTCGTCTTTGATGGGTCATGTCGCCCCACAAAGAGTCTTACAATTAGATGATAGACCTGTAGGTGGGGAGCGGCATCACTGACTGGATAAGGTGTCCCGCCTCCATGATCGCCCTTTTTCTATTTCTTTTTTTTTTTATTGTTAAAGCACAAAGTCGCAGGGCGTCCAGGCTCCATGGTACCAAGTTATGGTAAGCACATTGCTACTGCTGTCTTGTTTTGTCCACATTGAGCCCATTTCCTCTTCTCCTTTCCTTCCACCATTCAGAGAGGATGAGAAGAATATGCGTAGACGCCGTCAAAGAATACAGCACTTTGTTATACGTAAAGCTTTTCCCTTCTGATTCAAGACTATTATAATTCAATGCTGCGCGTTACATTCTACGACAAATATACGTTCCATGCTCTAGAAAAAGACCAATGCTACTTCAGCACTTCGCTCCGGACTTGAGTCCTCCCACCTCCTCTCGAGACCTTATTTGGTCGACCTATCGGTGGGTTCGTCAATAGGTTCGATGGGCTGATGTTCCTTCAGGGATTCCCCTGTGATGATGATGAGATCCAGGGAGGGCTTGGGGTCCTTGATGAACCGTCTTATAACACGCGAGCAGCTAAGGACGTCAGACTTGAGGCAACCCACGTTCTCAGCGCCGGAATCCGCAGTCGAATCAATGGGCGCAGCAGCGACCTGGGGACAGACCAGCGCGAGGACCAGGAGGAAGGCGATTGCCAGAGGTATGAGAAGGACGGTCAGGGTTGAGCGACGACGGGGAGTCTTTGTCGCAGTGGCAGCTGAGTTTGTGTTTGTGTTCATGTTCTTGCGGAGGACGTTGTGGACGAGATACGTTTGAGTATCGGATGATGATAAAAAGGGAGCTCCGGGCTGGAAATTTATAGCCAGGGAGGTTGGGATACCTGGACGGCTGGAATGACAATCATTGGAGCCATGGATACACCTTATCCCCACCGTTATTCGTTCGTTTTAACGGACCGTCTTGTCTCACAAAAAGGCTCGCAGTTGGACTATAGATCCATACGTAGAGGCCAATCATGACCGACGACACGTACTGTCTCGTCTTCAAGGTCGTTTTTCATCTTTAATGCCCATACTCTTTTTTCTTTTGGAAGAGTTACAAGTCGCGACAACGGGGTGTGGATATTCGGATACTCTGGGTCATGTTGCAACACTTCAGTGGTCCATATGCTCAAATCCAATGCATGACAGGCACGTTGCTGTTTTTTTATTTTTATTCGTGGTTCGATCGGCAGAGCAATAAAAACCAGAGAGAGCTTCATTACAAAGACTAGCAAAGATTCCGCGCTTAAGCCGAGATTCCGTTCTTGGCCTGGAAAGCCTTGACCTTCTGCTGGACCTTGTTCTTCCTCTGCTTGTAGGTGAGACGGGCCTTGTAGTTGGTCTTGACCTTCTCGCCGGCAGCGGGCTTCTTCTTCTCGGTGGGGACGTGGACGGGGTCAGCACGGATGGCGTTGTGGGCCTCCTGGTACATCTCCTCGAGATCATCGGCCTCAAGACCGGCAGCCAAGAACTTGGAGAACTGCTTCTTGTACTTCTCATCGTCATCCTCCTCGAGGTAACGCATGTAGTCGGCAACGTGACCACCATAGATGTACGAGCGGAGAACCTCGGCATCGAGCTCCTTGGACTCAGCATCGTAACCGGGGAAACGGTTCTCACCGTGGGGAACGAAGACACCACCATCGGAGGCTCCCTTCATGGCAGCAAAGACACGGGAACCGGTCGAGGTGCGCTTGAGACCGACATCCAAGAAGCACTTGAAGGGACGGGGGGCATCCTCAACGGCCTCGGTCATCGAAATGGTACCATCGGGCTCAGTGACACCCTCGTACTTGTCGGCAAGACCGAGCTTGGTCAAGACGCGACGAGCGACAAGGAGACCAGTGCAGTAAGCAGCAGCCCAGTTGGTCAAACCACCCTTGACGCCGTACTTGGGGAGCTCGTGAGCGTAAGCAGAGGCAAGAACAAAGTCACCCTGGAGCTTGGCGTAGACAATCTGGCAGACAATGTCGGCGTTGGTGAAGCGGACAACAAGACGGTACTTGGGGGAGTTGTACTTGTTCTTGGCCTGGACAGTAAGACGCTTGCGAGCGTAGTAGTCGGTCTTGCCCTCTATTGTTCCAAACCAACCAATTGGTTAATGCCATGCTTGTTCCTCTTTCCTTGTTCACAATCAAGTTGTCAAAGGGAAATCAAGTTTTGTTGCAGCCATTCGTGTAAAGTATGAGTGTCAGATAGGAGCGAAAGATGTGCTTGTTTGTTCCCCATGGAGACCGGGCGCCAACCCAGTTCTTGTCGGGTGAACTATGTAATCATCAGATAATGTGCTTTTCGTCCGGCTGCGAAACAAGAATTGGAAAAGTGGGTTGTAGGGTGCAGTTTGGTCCTGTTGTCGTTCTTACCTCTGCGTCTGCGGTACTTGACCTGGAAACGCTTGTAGTAAGCCTTGTTCTTGACGAGCTTAATGAAAGGCTATTGAAGATCGAGACCAGACGTTGGATCAGCGTATGTCTTTCACACTCTGATCTCATGATAGGCAAATCTACTGCTGCCTCCAAATATCCGATTCGGGGACCTCTCCTGAGAGCAACTGAATGTGTTGATCGTAAAGCTGACAAAGCGCTGAGAAACCGCCCGTCCAGGACAGTGGTCAAGCAAAGGGACACTAGCCCTAGTCCAGGACGAGGTGAGGTATTCAGGATGATGTCGAGATCAGTTCCAGATCTGTCGGTCATACGCTGTCTGCCGCTGCGATTGATTCCAACGAAGATGACAATGGGTGAAAAGTCGACCGTAGACCGCTCCCATTGATGTTGGATGGATAGACAGGATGGATGGATCGATTGAGGGTGGATGGATGATTGTCCTTCGACTCAATTAGGTTTGCGCGTAATATACCATCTTTGTTAATCTGCAAATAAGAGAAGGAACAAACACTCTGCACGCGCCTAATTGGATTTTATTCTGACCCTCGCAGCAGACGCTTCACCGCCACACGGTGACGTCAATATATGCAAGTTTGGGTTTTCCTTTTCTGGACTTTAACGGAAAACAACGCTCGCTGTGTCCACTGCATCGCTCCTTCCACTGCATCGCTCCTTCCACTCCACCCTTCTTCTTAGCTACAACACAGCAGCATGGTAAGTGCCTTTCTGAGTGCTGAATCCTTGAAATACTCAACTCGCGCTTCCGGATTCGAGCGCTGATCGACCTTTGTTTCTCGGAAATACTAGTCAACACCTCTTTTAATCGGCGTTGGAATCGCCGGCGCCGCTTACGGCACAAGGATCGCACTACGCACCTGGGAACTGCACGGTGCAAAGATCATGGCGGCCATTCCCCGACCAGGAACCATCGGTGCCGGAAAGTACTACAAGGGAGGCTTCGATGCCAAGATGGACAAGCGTGAGGCAGCACTGGTCCTCGGACTCAAGTAAGTTGAATCAATTATCGGCTGCAAAAAGCGTCCTGCCCTGCTTTGTCCTTTACTCTGCACTGTTTTAATGTATTGACCCACTCTATCTTGCTTATTCTCTTTTCGTCTTACATGTACTATTAGGGAGACAGGATTAAACAATACAAAGCTCAAGGAAGCCCATCGCCGGATCATGTTGCTCAACCATCCTGATCGAGGCGGTTCGCCCTTCCTGGCCTCGAAGATCAACGAGGCAAAGGACTTGTTGGACAAGAAGTGATCCAAATCATCTGCATCGCCAACTCCCCCATCCTACTGGAGCAGCAGTCGCCTTTGATCTGCAGTAGAGGACCAAGGAATCATGCCATCTCCGTCAGTCAACATAGAGATACACTCATCGCCTGTAACAACATTTTTTTTTCATCACCACATTAAAGCGTTTTGCATTGCCTTCCAAGCTTATTGCCATCTCCAGTCGAGCAGTGTTTGATATGATGCCCTTTATGTGTTTGTGTTAGACTACATTACATCTCTTCTGTTTCTCCTTCTCCTGCTCTTTCTTTCTCTCTTTCTCATGCAGAATGATAAACCGTAAAAACAACTTTCCGCTGCAAACCGAACAGCGCCGCGGCTTGCTCCCTTGATGCATCGCAAAACGCTCCAGCTTAAGCAGTCTCAGCCTCGGCCTCCTCAGCTCCCTCCTCAGCCCCCTCAAAGGTCGACTTGGGGACAGAGTAAAGGCGGATGACGGGCTTGTTAGGGTCCTTAACCAGAACATACTTGCCCTCTGGCAGCTTCAAAGCCAAGTCGACAACGGTCTTGACGATACCCCAGCCGTTCGTGATCTGCAAGCTCATCTGTGCAGCAAACTCCTTAGGACGGCAGATCTGGGTTCCAAGAATGGCATGGCGAGCGGCATCCTTGGGGTTAGTGCGTGAAACAAATCTATAAGCATATCGTTAATGGGCAAGTTAGCATCTAGGATCGGCTCAACAAAATTCAGTTCCCGAATGGCATTCAAGCCGTAGCACGTACCCGAGCTTCAGGTGGTCAGCGCCAGCGAGTATGGTCTGGACCACCCAGCGAGCCAGTTTACAGCTGTTGTTCTTCATCTCTGTAGCGACGACGGCTCCACGCTGAGAGTCCAGTTTCTGTCTCCATTCCATAGCGCCACCAGCTCCCTGAGCACGAGAGTCAAACTCGTTCAAGGCCTTGAGGGAAATGTAGGTGTCCTCGCCCTGAGGAGACTTGATGATAGCATCGACCTCAGTACGGACAAAGAGCGAGATGTCTTCCTCCTCAGTCGTTGAGAGATCAAATTTGCGGTACCGGTATCCGACCAGTGGAACCGACTCCTCGTCAGAGCCATAGAAGGGGTTGGGGTTCTCCAAGTCAATGACCTGGTCTGCGTTGACAACCTGAGCAGCAAAGTTGGTGTTGATGTAGGTCGCCTCCAGAGATAGAGCGCTGGGCGAGTTAATATTGTCCTTGTCGCCAGTGTCCATGGGTGGATCCGTCGAATTCTCGTTCACAGACACATAGTCAAGCTGGCTGCCCTCCCTGGTATCGAAAATGACCTTGTTGCCAGTCTTGGTGATGACAATGTCCCAGGGATAAACCGAGCGGGGTGCAGTCATCAAAACACCGATAATACTGTCCGTGGCGAAAACCCGCTGCTCTCCCTCAGAAACGGCCTCCGAGGCCAAGTTGCTGAGAACGGGGTCATCCGAAGTCGTGACATTGTCGCGCTCACGGTCCACTTGCTGCAGAACCTTCTCCTGCTTGGTGTTAACGCGATCATACGCCTTGTCGTAAGTCGCAACGGCACCATGAAGAGCACTATATGATAGCAAAATCCAAATATTGATCAGAATAAGACACTCATGGTTATACTCCCAGTAAACATTGATACTCGGCCCTGTTTAGTCGTCCAATACGTACATGTCCTCAGGCTCCTCGACTTCGAACTGCAGCTTGTTGAGACGAGAGAACTCAATCTCCTCGAGCATGGTCCAGTCAGAGCCGACCTTGACAGAGGCATCACGGACACGCTGGTTACGTTCAAAGTCTCTCCAGTTATTGTAACCGCGACGACCACCGCGCTGACCGCCCTGTGCCTGACGAGCGCCCCCAAATCCTCCACGGTTAGCGCCCAAGCGCTGGAACTGGCCGCGCTGCTGGCCCTGCTGACGGAATCCGCCACGGCCACCGCGCTGGTTCGAGGCCGACTTGAAGCCTGTGGTCTTTTTCTGAGCAGCTGAGCGGTTGTCAACAACGGAGAACGAAGCCTCGTCCTCGGTGTGCTGGTAGTTGAATGCGTTGGCGGCATTGCTTCCAAAGGGGACATAGTTGTCTGTGTAGCAAGCAAAAAAAGAAGGATGTGGGTATTATTGATTAGGAAAGCTCTGATGCTCGATTGATGTTTTCTGTCCTGATCTGCTGGGAGGAGAGAGCGACCATAGAAAAAAAGTGAATAAGGCATTGATGGGTGGAGTAGGTGTTGTTGTACCTCTGAAGTTGCGGAAACCAGCACGACCTCCACGCTGGTCGCCGCCGGCACCACGGTTGTCCTTGCCCTGAGTGCCCTCGGGGGCAGACCAGTCGGCGATGCGGCCCAGCTTGTCGGCCTTGGAGTAGGGGGCATAGGGGATGTCGCGGAACTGTGCGCTGAGACCAACAGGCCCCCATCCGCTCTGGGAGTCGGACGCAGTGGGTAGTTTAAAGGCAGACATTGGCTGTGTGGGTGAGGAAGGGGGATGAAAACGAGACAAGAAGGGAGGAGTCTTGCTTGAATGCCTGAAGGTCGATCACTAGAATCAGCGGTCTTGTTATTGTTTTTTTCTTTTTCGCCCAATCACTCTTTGAAGTAATTGAGTACAGAACAATTCAGGCTCAAATACGTCACAGAATGCGTCCTTGCAAGAAAGTACTGCATCTGAACTGTGGAGTGTGCTTGCTGACACACATTTATTCTACATAGTCTATGGTCGCTTGGCCCCAGGGGTTTCCATCCCTTCCATGTGTGAGGCTGCTCGCCTGCGTCCTCCAGCTCGCCCTTTCCCTTGTCCTTGCCCCATTGCGCTTCTGCTGCTGCTGCTACCAGCTTCTGTGTGCGATCGCGCATTCTGTATCCAAGGGTAGTGCCCATTTTTATCCACCAGTTGAAGACAGAGAGGTCGTTGTTGGTTGACCAAATGCCCACGAATCACATTGGCAATGTTGTGCCCCACCACAACATCGCGGTGCATGTAAGGCTTGCAGGTCGAGCAGTATAGCCTGCGGTTCTCGACCTGTCCGACAAACTTCTCGCACGTCGGCCACTTCTTCGAAGTAGAGCACTCATCCACTTTAACTACGGTGTAACCCATCGTAAGTCATAAGATCGAAGTTGGCCTACCGAATGGATTGAACGTGTTCTCGCATCATGCTCAGGTCTATCACAGACGTCGAATCCTTGAGATCTCTCGGCCCTTTGCGCGGCTCACGCCTGCCGACGTTCGAAAGCACCAAACTCTCGATCGTTGGGATGCCTTGGTCGATCTCTGTGCGTGATCTATCTGTTATGAGACCTTTCATCTTTAAAGTCTTTAGCTATTATAGACGAACCGCCAATGTTAGTATTGTCGCTCTTACAACTGCCCTCTACTGGCATGCATGTAGCGACAGAACACAGATTTTGTACTTTACCATTTTCTCGAGCTGTTTGTATTGTTTTTTTATTTTATTTTATTTTTATTTCGCTGGACAGCTACGAGGCAACAGAGCGAAGCAGAGCCGTAGCAAGGCAGACTTCCTGGTCGCGATCGCAGCTCTATTGTTCCTTCTCTGCAGCAGCCCAAGGTCCGCAGTTCGATCGACAAACTGCTGAACGCGCTTACCAACTACATTCGTCGTAATGATGGGGTCGCCTGTGTAGAGATGCTGGAGCAGCACAGTATGGCAGCGTAGATGATCCGAGTCCTTGCGCCCCCGGTCATCATCATCCTTCTCTTCCTCCTCCTGTTCATCATGATTAAACGCATCGACCTCTCTCTCGACTTTGGTCTTAGACGAGACACATGGACAGAGATTGCACAATATATCTCTGTCTGTTGCGTCAGGCTCGCGTGAAGCAAAGAGACTCTTAATGAACCGCCCGATGAGTCGCTGCCCCTACCGCTTGGTGTCAGATACAGCCCGAACAACATCTTCAAAGTTTGCTTCAGTTTGGCAGAAACGGTTCCGACATCGAGGGTCACTGTCGGATGTTCCCAATTCATAGCTCGAACCAAGTCAGCCTTTCCTATGGAGGCGCGTACTGGCTTTGGCGTAGCCTTCTTTTTCTTCTTGTTCTTCTTCTTATTTGCTTCCTTTTTCTTCTTGAAAGAGCCAGGGTCGAGTTCTAAAGGATTTTTGGGCGCTTTCTTCCATGCCTTCCATGTATACTGCTTCATTGCTTCAGGCGGCTCATGCTCCTTGAGTCGTGTGCACTGTTTGACAGAATATCGCGGTCGGTGTTACAGGGGTTTGGTACGAGGCGGGGCAGGGCTCGACTCACTTGTAGCTTCTTCCTGATGTGGAGCAGGGTGATCAATCGTGCGATACCTGTTGAAGGTCTGCGAAGACTTGTGCCGCCGAGTCTTAGTACCGGTTGACTCGCTCTCAAAGTTATTAAAGTTGATAGTGATCGCAATAAGTTAGAGTTAATTTTATGCTTACAAAGTGCCTCGCGTGCCTCTCGCATCTCTTTCTGCATTTGGGAGTACCACAATCGAACTGCTTCCGAAGACTGTCGTAGGTCATGGTAGCTTGAGCTGAGGACGAGGGAGCGAGCCAATCTGCACAGAGGTCTGTAAAAGATCCACAAAAGCCTTATGCTGAGTGGCAATCGTCTCCTGGGCAGTATTCTTGCGCATGACTTGATTATATGTCAAATAACGCGTCGTCATCATCGCAGCGTCTGCGAGCCAAAAAAAAAAAAAAAAAAAAAAAAAAAGCCAAGACGTTAGAATTGATAATACGTTTTCTGCATTAGTGATCTAGACGATGATCTGACTGATCTATTTACCTACTCCATCCAGCCCTTTGATGATTTTGTAGTTGGTAGCACTTCTGAGGGAGAGGATGTTGCGGTTGTAGTCGTGTTTTTTTATACGACACCAAGTACTATAAACTGGACCTGGCTGAGACCTAAAGCCGCATAGACGCTTGGAACGTCGTACACAAGGAGTTTTCCTTTGAGATAGGTCGCCAAATGGTCTCGACGTTCTTGCACGTGAGCATGTCGTTGTCAGGATACAACTATGTCGCCAGGCTTGCATTCAAGGCCCATCGTAAGACCTGCCTCGGTCGAGCACTCGATGACAGTTAATTGTTCTTTGCGCATGTATATGGCAAAGGCGCGTCGAGCGTCTAGAGACCACTAGGAGGCCGAGCTCAAGTGTTTTTTAATGTCGATGAAGTGGCGTTTCCGCACGCGAAGCTTTTCATCCACGCGGACCTCGAGTTCACGCAGATATTTGTCGGTGCGTTCAACAGCTTTCTTGCAAAGGTTCTATCGGTGTATTTGAGTGAATCCTTTTTTCTTCCGAAGGAAGGTCGTCCAGGTGTAGAATCAAGCTCGTCTGGGTCCCAAGCTTTAGTATCTCTCGTTCGACAATGCGGTGAGCATCGTCCACAGGGTGCGAGGAATAGGCGTAGCGAACAGTGACGTAAAAAGACCCAAGGATATCGACTCCAATCACGGAATTGTGATGAATAGAACTGAGGAGGTTGAATAAGTAAGGGGACTGATAGCGAAGAGCGGGTTCATACCCTTTCTTTCTTAGAAAGGGCCACAGATCCTCAATGCCCATGGTAGTCTAGATGAGTGAGGAATATGGTGCTTTATTTCGAGGAATGACAGTGAGGGAAGAATGAGGGTATGAGAGAGGATTGACCATGAAGAGTGTGAGATAAAAAAATTATCTTTGAAGAGTTGTGTTAGGAAGAAAAAGAGTGAAGCAAGCGAAAGATGTCATGGACCTAAATGAACTTGTACTTGGATATGCTTCGAACAAAAGTTTGGTCAATCAGAGAATTTGAGCCGTAAGTGTTCAGAATTCGTAGAACAGGAAGTCGTTTTATTTTTATTTTTGGATCTTCATGTATTGATGTGCAAGAATGTGCAGTACATTTTGTTAGGATATAGACATGAATATAAGACATACCGAGGAGAAAAGAAAGGGAAAAAAAGAAAGAAAGAGAAAGAGAAGGAAAGAAAAAGATATTATGCTGTTGCTGGCTCAGACCCTCCTGAACATCCAGCTCGGTTCTTGGCATTGCCACGGTGGCGACCAAGGGCATCTCGACGTGAAAACGACTTGCCGCATCCGTTGCACTTGAACGGCTTGTCACCTCCGTGGATTTTCACATGCCGCTTCAGATCGTGGTTCCGTGAAAATGCAATCGAACAGGTGCCGCAGATAAAGGGCCTTTCGTTCGTATGGGTCCTTGAATGAGACTTGAGATTGTAGAGCCGCGCAAACACCTTGTCACATCCCTCAAACGTACAAGGAAACGATGGTGCCCCCTCTGGAATCGACGCCGCAGTGTTCTGTGTAGCTGACCCTCCAGTCTTTCGCTTCTTACGCGCAGGTGTCATGGGTGTTGCTGCCGGTTCGGATGCTACGGGGTCAGAAGCGGTGCCGAACTCTGATCCTTGAGCAGGGAACTGGCCCAAAGGAGGGGCTAACAGTCCGCCGCCGGCCACACCCAAATCAGACAGTCCTGGAATTCCGCTCTGTGCAATCAATGTCTGAAGCGCCTGTTGAATAGCGTTGGTGTCCTGCAAAGCACTGACGACGTCGTCCTTGGGGTCCGTTGTCCATTTGATATGTGTCTTGCCCGTAGCCTTGTCGACCTCGAATGTAAATCCTTGTGCCGAACTTGAGGTCGTGGATACCTCACCATTGGTCCCTGCAGCTGATGTGGCATTGGCATCGCCATTGAGAGATGCAGTTTCTAGACTGCTGGTCTTGTTGGCATCGGCATGTGTTGCGTTAAGAATCGCTTGCGCAAAAGCATGGGTGTCAACTAGAGGCTTGGAGTCTGCGGATTGAGAGGGGAAGTTGATAGCGTGCGAGATGGCGATAAGGGATTCAGTAACATCCGGTGCGGTGGTGCTGGTTATGTTTGCTTCCTTCAGTGCTTCCTCCAGCTTGGCAACTGTCGATTCTGTTTCCGTCTTTATCTCCTCCGTCGTCTGCCCATTGGCTTCCATGCCAGAGAGGTCTCCAGACTGGGATGCGGCGCTGTTAAGCGAGAGGGCAATCAGCTGAAGTGCTCGTGCAGCCTGGTTCTGCTCAAAGTCGTCCTGTGCAGTCCTCTTGCCTGGCGGCTTCTGGTTCAGTGTCATCGACAGGGCCTCGTTATAGACATTGTTGACATCAAATGCGGGAGCGGGTACAGCTGAGGTAGATTGTGTCGTCTCTGGTTGCGCAGCTTGGTCGACTCCAGTTCCAGCGGCAACGGATGCTGCTACGGCAGCAACGGCGGCAGCGGCGGCGGCGTGCTCTTCGGCCTCAATTTGCTCGATGGGGGTGGTGAGGGCCTTGGTCAGGGCCTTGATATCATCTGCGGTAGAGTCATGGAAGGCACTGGCAATAGCCTGAGCTGCTGCAGCAGCGGCTGCCGCTGTTGCGTCTATTGCTGGATCTACTGCATCATGGTTCACAGCCTCTGCTACCGTTGTAGTTGGGATGACAGACACATCCCCGGTTTCGGCAACGGCGGCGGCACTGACAGACGTATTGATGACTGTTACGTCCTCTGCTTTCACAGGTATCTCAAGGTCGGTTGTTGTTGCGGCAGGTTTGGCGGTTTCAGCAGAAGGATTGGTTGCATCTGGTTCCGGTCCGTAGTCAGAAGTAGAGGACGATGCGGTTGTGTCTGAGGTGAGATCGGACGCTTTGACAGAAGGGGATTGGATGGTTTCCTTGGGGATGTCTTCGGTGGTGCTTCTGTCCATTTTGTTTCGGGAGGCTTTGGATGGAGGCTTTGATGGAGAAAGGGCGGCCAACCCTGGCCCGTCTGGTCTTTTTTGTTTGTTGAGGACTTGGGATGGAGGTCGCGAGCCTTTGTAAATGAAAACAAGCTGAGTGGGAGCCAAAAAAAAAAAAAAAAAATCTTCCTGGACACAACACCAAACAGAGCATTCCAATTAAAGCGGTTCAGCCTGTTCCATAATTTATAGCTCGCTCCTCAAGACATGGATGGAGCGGAGGATTGTCATTGAAAAATAGGATTTTACAATCAACTGTCTGCTATTTTTGATCCACGGTGTTGGTCCCCAGTGGCATACCATCATATAGATAAAGTGTAGTCTGAGGCACGATTCTAGTCACTCTTGACTGCAAAACATAAAATGCCATGGTCAGCAGAACGAACTAGATTGTTGCTGCTGTCGTAAAAACCTGACTTAACACGAGTATTCAAATCAACTGGCACGACTGTGTCTACTACGTACTGCGGTGTCCGAGACTCAGTTCTTTGTGGAAGAGAGCGATAAAGTTGTCGCGAAGAGCCCTGGTCCAGATCCAGTAGACTATTCATGGGAATAGAGCAGAAGGGAAGACCAAGGTATTAAAGAAAAAAGTGATACGGCCATTTTTTTCCAATGCACTTTATTAGACCATATGTTTCTGTTTAAGTGGTTATTGGATATGGAGTGTTCAACTGCAGCAAGGCGTCCGAATGAAGAAGTGTCAGCAACGTGGAAGTGACCTGCTTGTCCAACTTTGACATGGACATGGCAATCGTACTTGTTACGTTGTAGATCAGATTGGTGGCACAAAGGTTTTGAGCGAGGATGAGCATGCACGGACGTGCAACATGGATCGGATGTGCTCTTGTCTCACGAGTGAGAATCAGGCTATTGGGCTGAAGGGGTAACAGACCCCAGGGGAAGAGAGGAGGGCTACCATCCGGGCTGCTTGGCGCCAGAGACTCTTCTTCTTCCGATGTGATATCGTCGAGGGAAGGCTAAAAAATAAAAATAAAATAAAAAAATAAAAATAAAAATAAAAAGAGAAATTAAGTCCAACTGACCCTGAGCAATTGGCAAGGGGAAACACATGGGCAAACCCAGCGATTAGTAATTGAAATTAGTTTACGTTAATGGCTGTACCCTGGGGAACACTAAAAACGCCAGCCTGGCACTTCAAGCGGCGCACGGACAGCCCTCCTGTTGGCGCATCTTTAGCCGATACGGAGTCTAGTGGGGTGTATTGGGTTATGATGATGGTGATGATGATGACAGATATTCATATTCGTATTAGTATTGAATCCTATCTCCATATTCATATCCGCATATACATATCCATATTCACTCATTCACTCATTCACTCATGCACTCATGCACTCACTCATTCATCCAAGTCGGATGCTTTAACTCTCTTTCGACTCTTTTTGGGATTTAACACTCTGTACACACACCACACACACACACACACACACACTCTCTCTCTCTCTCTCTCTCTCTCTCTCTCCACCTTCCCTTCTCCACATCAACCATCTCCACTCCATCGCCCTCCCTCATCACTCTCCATTCCCTCTCTCGCTCACTCGCACTGCATCTCTCTCCCTCTCTCTCTCTTCTCTCTCATTTCCACATTCAACATCATTGCCCCATCACTTGCCGCCATGCTGTCGAGAGTGGTCCTGAACTCATCCACCACCACTCCTGTCAGCAGGCCTGAGACACCTGCCATGTCCATGCCCACATCCCTCTCCCAGGACGAGGATGACACCCTCGTTGCCAAAGTCCGTCTATGTATCTACCGAGCAAAAGACCTCGTTAGCAGAGACAGGGTAAATGAATTATTTCCAACCCGCCTCACTAATGCATATTGTCAAGTAACACATGCTGCCGCGCGGTTGTTAATTAAAATAACAAACAAAAAAAAACTCATGTATCTCATACTCTCTTCTTGTAAATAGAACGGCTTCTCTGATCCTTATGTCAAAGTATCGATCGGTGGACAAAAGTTCACAACAGATGTTATCAACAAGTCATTGAACCCCGTCTGGGACGCCTCCTTCGACTTTGATCTCGAGGCGCAATCACTACCAGATCAGGCCAGTCTCATGTTCTGGGACAAGGATCGCTGGGGCCGAGATGATTACCTCGGTACTGTCTACATCCCCTTTGACCGTGCATCTCTCTGGCTCGACTCGACGCCAAGGCACTTTGACGACCCGCAAAATGAGGCAAGTATTTATTATTTATGATTAGCAATCGTGAACCAATGTATGGTGCTTGTGTTCCTGTGAATACGGCTTGTTATTTTTATTTTTTTTTAGCTCGTTAAATACCGCCTCTTCTCTCGATCGAATGATGTTGGCTTTCTTAAAGACGCACAGGAGAATTGGTCTGAAAGAGCATGCGGAGCAAATGCAAAGTGCAAATAAAGAGAAAAGAGTGAGCGCAAGAGGATAAGAGGGAAAGTGAGAAAAGAGAGCCGCAGACATTTTCCTGATCGGGACCGATCCATCCCTTTGTTGAGTTCGTCCGTTGGGCTCCATTATTCGCAAAAAGGACAAATGAGCTTGGGCGAATGGTTACCGTTGCTGGAACAAAGTTCGCATCTCTTTGCCCTTTCAGATTCCGTGCTATACCTATGCTATACCTACTATACCTATACTATACCCGCGCTATGACATCCCTATCTGACTAGCGTGTCTTACCGGCATTTCTAGGCTAAATGGTTTCCACTTCATTCGATTCCTGGCAAGTTTTCAAAGGTCACTGGCGAAGGTAATGTGCATCTGATATGGCGATATCGACAATATCGACAATCCTTGTCTATTTTTTGTGTCGCTGTGAACTTGTATTTAATTAACCACCCTAAATCCAATCTTTATAGTACAAGTCAAATTTGGATTCATCGATACCGCCCTGGCGCCTGTACACGCGGATTCGCAGCTGGATTGCGAAAAGGTATGGAGCAGGCTCGCCAGTGGGCGCAACAAGCTGGGTCTTGGACAGCGCCAGGTTCATACTGCAAACAACACAGTCGTCCCAATGGCCGATATACCAATTGCGGTAGGCGAGGGCGATCCATCCATGGGCCTCTCGGCTCTACGACTAGACACTCCTTCGCCTCCGCCTGGCACCCTCACCGCATCATCCTCGACTTCAACCTTGTCCGCAGCTGCTGCGCCCAACAATTTACATGGCATCGTCTTCATGGAGATCACATCTGCCTCGAACCTGCCGAGGACGCGCAATGTCACACGAACTGGCTTTGATATGGATCCCTTTGTAGTTATTTCATTCGGAAAGTACATTTTCAGGACGCGTGTCATCCGGCACAACTTGAACCCAACTTGGCGGGCCAAATTGATGTTCAGGGTTCACCATGGTGAAGAGACCTTCAAGATCAAATACTCAATCCATGACTGGGATAAGCTGAGCGGAAACGACTATGTTGGCATGGCCTCCATGGATGTCGATACTTTGATCAATGCATCCAAGGGACAAGACACTGAACGACCGTCTTCACCGATACCGGGCGTAGAGGATGAGAAGGACATTCCGGACCTGGACATGAAGGACTATACTCTTAAGATTGCAATCGCAAGTAACATCAAACCTCCAGCGGACGATACATCGTTAAAAGTGCGCGCTAAATTTGTGACATACACCAATCTAAGGCGGCGATTTTGGCTCGGGCTTACAAAGGCCTTCGATGCTGACCCGCGCCGAGATCTCTACAGCAAGGTTCTCATCCAGGCCATGCTAGAGGGGTTGGGATCGAATCTCTCAAGCAAGACCGTCGACAGCTTCTTTGCTCCATATTACAAGGACCCGGAGCAAGACGAGCTCACATTTGACGAACTCTTTGAAAGGCTGGAGAGGCAGGTCCGACTGGATGATAGCGTTCCGAGCAAACGACGAAAACGTAGGATTCGAAAATTCTGGGCCAGGAAGTCAAAGGCTGCAGCTTTTCAGGATATGGATGGGAAGGATTCGACATATGGCAAAGAGTCGACGGACGGAAAAGATTCGACAGATGGAAAGGAGGTGACAGAGGATTCCTTAGAGGATGAGGACGAAGAGGAGGACAATGAGCTGTTCTTGCATCTTACACGCAACGAGATCCCAGCAGGATCTATACCTCAAGCCATGGAAATGGTCGAGCCCACCGAGGCAGACTTTGATCCTCAGAGCTCTGAGGATGAGTATGTGATCCGTATTGATGCCTGCCCTATCTGCCGCGATCCAAGTTTGGGCTCGAAGCTGGAAACGGACGTTATCACGCACATTGCTGTCTGCTCTGGCAATGATGGATTCAATCTTGATAAACTGATCCTGGGCAACTTTGTGACTGAGGCCAATGCACAGCGGAAATGGATCACCAAGGTCGTCAACACTCTCGGCTACGGACGCTATGTGATCGGCAAGGTAAAGATGAAAATGCATCCAAGGGAAACTGGAGATGGGTTTGAGATGTTTGATTAAGGTCTAACACCCTTTTTTCATGTAGAATAATGCAAATATCATTGTTCAAGATCGAGCGACAGGTACGATGTTGGAGGAAAAGATGCCGACGTTTATTCGCCTGGGTATCCGGTTGCTCTACAGGAGTCCCGCCCAAAAGATTCGCGTAGGCAAGATCATGACGAACATGACCAGGAAGCAGGGACTCAAGTTTGATGACCCAAGATCCAAACGGAGCATCGAGCCGTTTATTCGATTCCACAATCTCGAGGCACATATGGAGGAGGTCTTAGAGCCGGTCAATAGCTTTAAGACGTTCAACGAATTCTTTTACAGAAGACTGAAAGCGGATGCCAGGACACTAGCCTCACCAGGAGATGATCGCGTGGCTGTGAGTGTGGCCGACTGCCGTATGACATGTTTCCAGACGATCTCTGATGCACAAAAGTTCTGGATCAAGGGCCGGCAATTCACAGTGGCCAAGCTGTTGGATGACGAGAAGTTGGCCAAGAAGTACGATGGTGGAAGCTTAGCCATCTTCCGCTTAGCACCGCAAGACTACCACAGGTAAGTTGCTATGACTGTAAATAATATGACTTCTTTGGCTATGGTCGCCATTCTCTGAAGCTAACGATCGACACTCTGTTTCATTACCTGGTTAAATAGGTACCACGTCCCTGTTCGTGGCGTCATATCGGAGTCAAGATTAATTGCGGGAGAGTACTTCACTGTCAATCCAATGTCGATCCGGAGTCATTTGGATGTGTATGGCGAGAACAAGCGCGTGATATCGACGATCGAGTCAAAAGAGTTTGGCACGGTTGCGTACTGTTCTATAGGAGCAATGATGGTGGGATCGATTGTGCTAACGAGCAAGCCAGGGCAGGAGGTGGAACGAATGGAGGAGCACGGGTACTTTGCGTTCGGAGGATCAACGATCGTAATCCTGTTTGAACCGAACTCAATTCAATTTGACGAGGATTTGTTACGGTCGTCAAAGGAACAGATTGAGATGCTGGTGCGCGTCGGTATGCGCGTTGGTGTGTCGACCAGGCAGTAGTCGCCTCTTCTTCGGCATCCATTTCTTTTCAGTATCTACACGGACAAACACACATCATCACTCATATTCACAGGCATATTCAACATAAATACTACGACTAATACCATGCATGCATCTGTGTGAGGGAAAGAAACAGCTGTACCATCGTCTAGGGTAGACGAGCCTGCGAGTGTTGCTCCTGACCCTTTGATTGTGGAGACGCGGAAATGGTGCCTGGAGGTGGTATTGCGATTGCAGAGGGTGGCCAATGATTGATGAGGGAATCATTGCCACACGAACAGACATTTTTCCTTCAGACATCCCGTGGGTGTTCTTTCACCGATCCACAAATACACACACAAAAACGAGCACCCCACGCACCCCCTCAACCCTTTCCTCAACCCTTTCCTCAACCCTTTCCTTAACCCTTTCTACGCTTTCCGCAAGATTACTTCCCCCCTTTCCCCCCCCCTCCTCACTCCATTCCACTCCACCCCACTCCACTTCACTCATTCCTTCTCACTCTCTCATCCACCCCACCATCAAAACAGCATCTGCACAAAAAAACACTTGTACTGCTACAAACCACCATTGTTCAGGCCATGTATCCTTCACACACAGCCTCATACGAGAGACCCGAGTATATGCAGGAGCAACAAGAACAGCAACAACTACCAGCAGGAACGCCATCAACTGCATCAACCGGTCCAGTGGAGCGGCAACAACAGCAGCACCAGCACCAGAGACAGCCCTGGTCTCTCATTGGTGCCTTGTCGATATCGCTGTATCAGTCCCTGTCGTTTTCACGGTCGCCATCGTTTGAGCGCACCCGATACATTGCCTCGACATGCACGTTTATTGCGATCATCTATCTCCGGACGCTGCACTGTCTCTTCTTTGGCACAGGGGCGCTGTCCTGTGCAGTCCTTGGTAAGTCGACATGGCGATCTAACCACACTGCCAGTGGATCTCAATCGCACGCACCCCTTCTCCACTTCTGTCCCCCTTCGTCCATTATGCAATGCTGTAACTAAAGATATGATGGGTGTGACCCGGAAGTGGAGAGATGAGGAAAAAAATACGCCCACCATACCACTTGCGCCGAGACAATAAGGTTCAAATGCGAGATGACGATGACAGCATAATGCGGTTACGGAGGATGATGATCCTCCGCTCAGCAAACACCCAGACCAGTTGCCGGTACCTGATCTGTACCTAACCGGACCCATTCTCATTGTCAACAACCCTCTATAGCGAAATGCCTGAAGCACACTATTCGACAGCCACGGCCGGAGAGGGTGGACACGACCATCGCCGAGGAGACGGGTTCGTCCTCGGTGCTCTCACAACCAACAACACCAGCAACTACTTTGCCCTCTGTCTCAACAACAACAACAACAACAACAACCACGACAACGACAATGTCCACCTCAACATCTGCAGGGCCCTCATCCACAAAGAACCCACAGACAAATGACGATCCCATTCCCCGAGCCGGTTCACCCACACTCTCCCTTGCTCCAACTACAACCCTACAGCAAGAACAAGTCAACGCCATTAACGCTGCAGCCCCCAAGGCCTCCCAGACCTCATCGTCCGCCTACCGAATCCGGCGGCAGCGACGCCGCGTCCGGTTCTATTTCCGCCCCGACTACGGCATGCCCAGTAGCCATGCCCAACTGGTCGCCTTCTTTGTCTGCTACATCTCTCTGCAACTCGTCCTTATGGAACCCGAGGGATCCCCTGGTCAGTGGTTCTTGATCATGTTGTTGCAGCTCTATGCCTGGTCAGTTGTTTGGTCGCGTATTCGGCTGGGACAACATTCAGTCAGTCAGGTTCTTGTAGGCGCGGTGATTGGGGCCGTCTATGGGATGGTCTGGTTTGCGATCTGGAGCTGGAAGGTTGAGGAGATGATCCAACATTGGCAGTGGATGGACCGGTATGGAGTCATTCAGGTACGGAAGATGTGGAGACAAATGGAGATGGATGAGATGGTCGCTGTAGGTCGAGTTGGCGGGAGGATGTATCTGAGACATGACCAGGCCTTTCAGCATAACGAGCGGTTCTTGAGGTTATAGAAAGATGAGGAGGAAGAGGAGGAGGTGATGGATGAACACTTTGTATATATGTAAACGCTTATGCTGTAAGAATAAATCGTGAACGACAGAGAGATTGAAACACTAAGAAAAAAAAAGGTATCAAAAAGATGTTTATTCTCGCCAGACGAAGGAGCAAGTGGACGCTATCGAAGAAACAGGTAGATATTATCAAAGGAACAGATAGACACAATCGAAGGAACAGGTAGATACAATCGAAGGAGAGGACGTCCCATCTTAGTTAAGCGCATCGGCGCAGTTGATGGTCTGGTCGGCGGTGGGGGTGAAGAACGCGTGCACCGCGTTGAATGCGATCGCTATTTGCATCAGTGGCAAGAAGAAGTAAATAATAAAGAGAATATATCGCCATTAGAACCTTCCACTCTACGTCTTCTTTTGGTATACATGCGGACGAAATGCAACACGACCTACGATCAATGGCCTGGGCGAGATGCTCAGAGATATCGGCCGAACACCAGTTTTGCAGGACCTGGTTGTGCACGTTCGGGTTGTCGTCGCGCAGGAACCCAGTCGTGTACGGCGTCACGATCTCATCCAACCTGTGCAAGGACACGAAGGACAACGCGGTGGAAGGCGGGGAAGTGAGGAAGAGAGAAGGAGAGGGTCAGATTGCGGTACGAAATCGTACTACAGAGAAGGGACATTACGAGTTATGTAAGAAAAAAGAACAAGACTTACTTGGACGCAATCATGAGATATTGGACACCCGGGACGGTATCTCCACCGGCGTTCAGGTTCTGGATGAAGGTGCTGTTCTGCAGGAACTGGAAGCATGAAAGGCAGCCCTTGTCAAAAATCTATATTTTCAGTTTTTTTTTTTTAATGGAAAGAGGGGCATAGAAAGAAAGGTATTGATAAGTGTCTCTCATAAACATTGCACATTTTTGGGCTTGGGATCAAGTGTCACCTGTGGTGCTTACATCCTTCACGGAATCGTAGAGTCCCAGAGGCTGGAGCAGATTGGCCAGACCAAGAAGTGTGGTTCCATACTGGATGGCACCGATGGCCGCGAATTTGTCTATCAGACAGCATGTTGGAGGCATGAGCGCGCAAGAGATGAGCACAGGCACCGTAAGCGCAAAGCACTGTTGGAGACGCGTCAGACCAGTTTAAGGAAGTAGGGGAGTGATACTTGCGGATCTTATCGGCGCCGTTCAGAAACTTCATGTAGTAGCGAGGCATCAGTGACCCCTAAAACAAGAACAGCAACGGACAAGACCATCGATTACTCTTCATATCCCTAACCCTTGCCTACCGAACACCAAATAGAGCGTCTCCATCGTCCCCTCATTACCTGCGAATGCCCAAACAAGTCCACCTGCGTGGTGTTGGTTGCCGTCAGCACCTTGTCCACAAACTCCTTCAGCTGTTGAGCACTGTTCTCCATCTTATCCAGTCCATAAAAAATGGGCACATCATTCAACTGTCCGTAACTCAACGAGAACACACAGTACCCCTTCGCGACGAACCTCGGCGCCATATAGAACCAGTTGTCGAAACTGTTCGCCGTCAGGCCGTGCACGAGAACCAACGGGTAGGGGTGCGCGCTCGAGGGCTTGCAGGACCAGTTGTTCCAGCCTGCTGAAAGGCTTCGCTTTTGAACCACGGTCTCGGATGCGAGGGAGGATGACTCGGGAGACAGAGGGATGGGCGAGGCCTGGATGGCGGGGATGGACGCGACCAGCGCGATCACCGTGGCCATGGCGGCAGAATTGAGGGCCTTGGAGAATAGCATGGCTTAAAAGGCGGGTGGGTTGGCGGAGTGGGAATGTTAGAGGTGAAAAGCAGAGAGGAGAGGAAATCGCTTGTTGCGAACAGGAGACTGGGGAACTTGGGGGCCAGGATCGTGGCGATATTTATACTGCAGACAGATGCGAGGTCGGGCCGTGGGTAGGTTGGTAGCTCGATGAAGGCGAACAACTTTGTGGTATGCACACGAACCGTAGGCCTTGTCTTGACTGTGTATAGCGAGCTGATGGTACATGCTCCGTAGGGGGAATGGGAAAAGCTACATTGACTCGGTTCGCGGTATACATGCTAGGTGTACGCATTTACCTCCACACCGTTATGCAGGAACCCCAAAAATGAGCGCGCAATGTGGAGAAAGTATTGTACAGAGGGGGCCATTGTAGTCATCAATTGACCAATCGCATTGCTCCGATTTTCACGCTAATAACTCAAAACACGGGCGCCAGAAAAGAAAGCGCGATGTGGTGCGGTCGAGTAATTAGACTATGCGACTATGTAGCCCGAGTTTCTGTATCTGCATTTGAGATGAATAATCAGAACGCGGGTCGAGCTAGATTGAGGTGAAAAATATCTAGGTCGTTCAGTTGAATATTCCTGGAGTGCGTGCTTCTGTCGTTTGACTTTTAATAGATGAAACTTATCATTGGATGCCGCATGCTCTGTTTACGCGCAAGGATCACGCTGCACGCTTTCAACAGCGGAGAACACGCTAGATGTCTTTATAAAAAGACAACCTATTCATCCGCATGGGGTATGGAATCAGTCATCACCGTATCCCGCTGGCTTGTTTCTGTACGCTGCCGATAAGTTGCGCGCACACATCAAAGACCCTGTTCCTGCTTCTAAACTTTATTATGGTAAGTTGCATCATATGTGTGGAGCGCATTGACTCTCCCCACAATTAAATATTACAAAGCCGGTAAGTTTGATTAGCTCACAAACTCGGCTCGCGATCATACTTCATTCGTTCTTTTATCTCTTCTTTTATGGAGAAGAAATAGCCATGTCCACCCAGGCGTAGGTGTGCATGATAAAATTGAAGTGCTCCGAGGCACTTGCCGACTGGGTACATTACACCCAGCAGTCTAGGACAGTTTATGAGAAGGAAATATGTCGCACTAAATACATGCAAAAGAGGGAACACCTTTGAGGCCGCGGAATGTGAATAAAGTCGCAGTAACTGTGCGAAAGTAAGAGCACCTTACTTAAAAATCCTGACTCTTGGGAATCGTTTGGTGTGTTCGGCTTTGTTGAATGGGCAGATCAAGAAGGATTTTGGTAAAAAAAAAAAAAAAAAAAAAAGGGAAACGTGAGCGCACCGTGTGCGATGCTATGGATCTTTGGACTCAAACTTTTCATAGTCAAGTCGTACCCTGGTGCAAAACTAATGGTACTTTACTTAGCGAACCCTACCTTTTCTGGATCGCACGGTGTGTTTGATGCTTGACTCAATAGATTTCAAGAAGTGGCGTATCCAATGAGACGGAATGGCCTTTTACGAACGGCCTATTCGCATTGCCATTAGGTGCCCGTCGATATCAGCCTTTTTATTCATATACCAGTCTTTAACGGGTTCTTCCTCACTGCTTCTGTTTTCTATCCTCCTTTTCATCGCTCATAGAAAACTATTCATAGCACGATTCTTATATCGTCTTTCATTTTGTCGTGTTGTTGACCAACTTAACCAGACAGGGACAAGATATAACAAAAAGCCTTCTGATTGGACGAATTTGATGCGGGACTTCTTTGACATAATGAAGTTGCGACCATGCGCAAAACAATAGCCCCTTGTTAATAAACCTCAAACACGTTGCATCGCTCAATACGTCTAGTCCCCGGATGGGTTATTGCACTCATAACGACCAGGTGGAGCCGCTTCACCAAATCCTACTCTCGAAATACGGCTCCTTTACCAGCCCAGAAAGGAACGCGCTTTTAATTTGACGGCAACACAACTCTAACGACGTGGATTGGTCGCGTTGTTGGTACAGAATACTTAGGGACGCCAAGTCTCTTTAGACTACTACGGGACAATGAGCGCCCTTAGGTCCTCCATTTGATATAAACAGCCAGCATCAGACTTCGTCTACTGTATGCGATCCTATCTTTTACTCCATTTCCACGACATTGGCTATTGTTCGCGCTTGGAGTCATCCGGTTGTGTAAAAGGTGGTCGCACAAAAAGACCGCGATACAAGAAAAAACGGCACTTGTGCACTTTAGCAGCTCTTCTTTCACCTTTATCCTCATGTCCTCCTCCCACTATCTTCTACCCCCACTTTACTCGTGTATGAGACACCAAGACCATGGCAACACCTGGCGGAGACGAGAAGCACGAGCAGCAGTGTCGGACCCAGTCGACGTCCAAAGCGACCAAGATCCCTTCTCGCCTCGACAAGACGGCCGGTGAACGCTACAACCTGTGGAGGCACATTCAGCTGTATTACAAGAGCGCCATTCTATCATGAACGATGAGAGTATTGTCGTGTTCATGACAGATGATAATAATGAAGAGCAAGCACAACGTTTCTATTCACTCTACTGCAGTAGTATACATATGGTAGGCATAAAGCGCAAAGCTCTAGCAACTGTATTTGTCCTTTTTATCAGTCTTACACTTTTAAGTATTAGCTACTGTCCAGGGGTCGTGCTTGAGGTGGTAGTGGAGGATATCAACCGAGGGACCATCGCTGTACCAGAGGCCGCTTCCCACCACACCACTGGATCTGCCGTTAATCCTAGTACTTCGTCCGAGTCGTCCCACGACATCGTGGCATTCAAGAACTCTTTAGGTCGAGATATCGCCGACGAGCTACAGCATCGAACTGGTGTCATGATTGCGCCTAGGGAGCCGTTCGAGCAGAACCGTGTCGTCGAGTCTGTCGAACTGAGAGCTGTAGTACGATATTCTCTCCAGGAGCAACTCTAGGTCCACCAGTCGTATGTTGGAGCCAGCATCCCTGATCTGCCGCAGATACCCGTCGCATCACTGTCTTGTCGATCAAGCATGAAGGTCCAGCAGATTTCCCAACTATTTGATGATTCAGACAAGGGCACTTCAATCTCAACGCCTGCTAGCTTCAACCCATGGAGATCCTTGAGTCGCATTAAATTCAGTTGTATTCAACTTGGGGCCCAGGATTGGAAAGCAGTAGTCGAGACCCTCGACTTTACAGCTCTGGAGCGTTTGGATCTTTCGGGTACTAACTTTACATCGAAGCTGCTTCAGGTTCTTGCCAACCGCGCTTCCCAGGAGAGCAATAGGGCGACATCATTCACGATTGGGCTTTATCTTACGAACTTCCACGCTGATATCGCAGTGCGGCAGTGGGGGAGTTCACAGCTACACTCAAAAAAAGGCGTCCTATGCCATCATCACCTTTTAGTCATTCGGAGGAGTCGTGTCGATTTAAACATCTCTATAAATTATGGCTCTGTTTCGAACAGTCCGTTTAGGATCGATACTAATGGTTTGCCCGCAATCCGCTCTTGAAAATGCGGCGGACAGGCACAAAGGAGCCGCACGACATTTGGCACTACAAAAAAAAAGGAAGAAGCCACTGACAATGGCAGCGTAACTGAGATTACGTTTCATATATACAGTGGGCTGTATCGTTGCTTTTGAGACTAGCGGGTGTGTTGAGCGCATCTACCACAGCTGTGGACAATGCTAGCTAAGTGCAGATGCTCCAGAATTAAAATCAAGTGCACAATTTGACGCGACGCGACACTTCATAACACATACGCACGGTAGTAGGCCAGAAGACAAATATACGCCACTAACCGCACCTATTCTATATTACTCCATCACGACCTAAAGAACTAACCCTTATTCCTTGAGCTTCCGATGCCCACTCCTCATGCACCCGATCCTACTCCCCTCCTCTTCTCGGAGGCGTTAGGGGAAGTGACAGTTGGCTTACACCCGAATCCTCGGGTCCATTCATTGCTCATGCGATGGCAGTAGTGGCGCCATTATTCTCTTCCCCTCTTGAAATCGAGAAAAAATGGGGAAATTAGAGTTTCCGAGGCCAGCAACTTCCATTCACTTCCTTGCTCGATCGTCGTTTTTACGTTGGAACTCAGCCCCGCATTTTTCTGGTTTCTTTTTACTTGTTTGGGCCAGGCAAAAACGTGGGGAAGTTGGCTCGCTTTTGTTCGCTTTGCACTAAAAAACTGTTTGTTTGTTTACACCCTGGTCCATATTCTTGCAGTGTTTGCAGCATGATCGTTTTGCGGGTCGTGCCCTTTTTTTTTTTATAACTACAAAAAGCGGCTCCCTATCCATGGATTACTAATGACCGGTCTCCAGGAAATGGTCACTGAAAAAAAAAAAAAAAAAAGCAGCCGGGCTTGATAAGAAGAACAGATACACCTTAAAAACGGTTCAAAAATATGACAATTTGCCGTTCGGTTACCTCCGTTTTTTTCGATTGAAAATATTTGCGGAGTGGCAACATGGTACCGTGCAAAATGTAGACAACAAAACTATCAAACGGATCATTTCGTCCGCCACAAGTGCAGATCCCGTCGCATGGTCAATTATACGGCAGGCACCAAGCAATTCGGCCGCTCTACATGTATTCATCGCAATCTGATAGCTTATAACGAATAGATCAGAGCGGCCAAAATAAACAAGATAAACAAACAAACAAATAAAAAATGCGGGAGAGAACGTCGCCAACTTGACAATAGGCGGGCCAGTAAAGAGAGAGACATCAGCTACATTCGTCTAGAGCGCAGTGCTCCATCCCTGAGCAATTGTCGGAAGAAGGTGGAGAACATCGGAACAAAGCCCTGTGCTGATTTGCTGGAGGGGATTCAACTCTGCTTGGCGGTCATTAGAAATATCCCTGTGCATGCCTGTGAGTGGCCCGAGGATTTGATCTCAGCCCGCACGCGGGTTTCAAGGAACGAGCAAGAGCAAATACCAAATGAGAGGAAATGGGTGAACGGATTAGAACTGAATGAACTGTAAGAAGAAGAATGTATAGAGATAAGGGCCACGAAAACTCAGCATTGCGAAATCCGTGTTGACGATGATGATGTCCTCCTCTCCCTGAGATTCCGCCCTGAGCATATCGGTCGCGGCCATTTACAACCGGAGGGTATCTCCACTGTTTATGAACAAGATCGTAACAACATTCGTGTAGCCAAATCCCTAGTCAAATCCGCAGAGGCCTTAGACTAACAGGGTAGCTAACTGATCGTAAGCTTGCATGGCGACCCTTTTTAATGCAGCTGTGCTTGAGAAACCAGACCTGTAAATAAGGACAGCAATTTTTTTTTGCTGGGCGCTACAGAAGCGAGAACATGTAAACAAAGCAGATTTGCGATCAGACACGATGGAGGGGACCGTTCCACGTCTACGAGAAATGAAGTTCCAGTTGGTAATCCTGCTACTACAGAACCAATAAAGAGCGAAACACGGGCTTCTTTGTTCTCGATGTGGATGGGCTTCCTCGTGATAAGTTTAGTCAAATGCGTATGCCCCGAGGATGTTACGTGTAATGACTACGGATGAGTCTCGCTCATTAAAAGTCCACGTAGAAGTGACACGTTCAATCCCCAATGCAAGAGGGGCTATGGGAAGACTAGGAACTTGTGAATGGACCAGCAAGCATAGGAAGATCTAGGAATCGCAATACGTATTAGATCTCCTTTTCTGCTTGCGGGCACGGGCGAATATGGAAGCATAAGACAGAGTCGTATGGTGCCATTTCTGACCTCTGGCTTTGGTCCTTGCACAATGAAAATGAGTTCTGCCTATGCATTGGTGCACATATGTCTTGGTTTGGTTTCCCCGGAAAGCATTTTGTATTGTCAAGGCATCGAGAAGAATGCAACCGAATCATGAAATTATAAATAAAATGTTGCGTATACGCGGGCACCTTGATGATGAGCGATACCTTAAGATGAAGCACTACATTGCAGTCGTGCGGTGGGGTCATATGCATAAGGAGAAAGCGTAAGGATAGATTTTTTTGCGGCTCAAACTTCAAGCGCTCCATCGACATAAACAGACGCATCCTACGCTTACACAAAGCACATCATTAGAAATGATAACTCCCTTTCAGAGGATAAGGAAGTGCATGCGAGCCAGGTGGAGGACAAGGAGAGATTTGGAGCTGTGGGATCCTATAAATTCCTAGACAACACAAGGGTGCGTGTGCGTCCACAAAGCGAGGGTAGTAAAGCGGCAAGACAGGCGTTCTTTTATTTCTCAGGAACAAGGAATGAAATAGCACACACAGACGGTGTGTTTTTGTACGTGCGCATGTGTCTAGCATATGAGAGTGAAAAAGGGAAAAGGGACCTTTGTACCCCCACACACTCACCGTCGACTTGCAAAGTGCAGTTCCGGTTGCTTATTGCTCCTATTCAAAAGCTCAAAAAATAAAATGAGTTCAATTGAATATGGGTTGGTCCTCTCTTCCTTATCGTGCGTAAGTGGGGTCGGAGTGGTCTTCACAATACGAAAGAAACAACGGCAAATGAGCCTGCGCGAGATAAGGCAGGCGGGGGTTAACCTTGTCCGTCTCCACTTTTTTGTCCCATGATGGACAATACGGACAAAACCCGCGCGGGCTGGAAATGGAAATATCCTCACAGCTTTCGTCTTCCTTTTCTGCCCGTATATAAACACCACTCCTTTTCCCCTCCTTCCACTTTTTTTTCTCGGTTTTTCTGGCTTCTGGTTCTCTCTTTCTTCTTTTTTCTTTTTCATTCTTTCACACTCTTTTTTCACACTCGACCTCTTTTTTCATTTTCAGCCCATTTCGTACTCTCTTCAACTCGATCCACGATCCACGCGAGTAACGTCCTTCTCTTTACCTTCCACATCACATACTCCCTCGAGCAACTCCAAACATCCTCAAACAATGAACATGACAATGATGATGGCAGCCGACCCTGTGTCTTCGCCCAAACAGCAGAAGCCAGCAAACTCAGCCGCAGTCCCCAGGAGCGGCCAAGACGCACCCCGCCCTTACAAATGCCACATCTGCACAAAGTCCTTCCACCGTCTTGAGCACCAGACCCGCCATATCAGAACCCATACCGGAGAACGCCCTCACCAGTGCTCCTTCGCCACCTGTCAGAAGCGCTTCTCCCGTTCGGATGAGCTGACTAGACACATGCGCATCCACTCAACCACCAAGGCAAAGAAGGAACGCTCGACCGCACCGCCTTGCCACATCTCGATCAAGCCATTCATGAAGGTCGTCATGGTCGCGTTCGACAGCGAGAACAACCAGCAACGCGCCACGCCCGCGTCGTCCTCAACCATGACGCCCTCTCCTTCGCCCTCACCCCGGACATCTTCTGCTTCGGTCAAGCAGCAGCGTCGACAGAACAGGGCCTCGCCTTACCCTCAAGTCTCCCATATCAAGGAGTCCTCACCGCCAACGATGGCTATCCAACAACCCTCGCCATCCCTGACGGTCGCCTCCTCGCCCGCGTCTCAGCTTATGTCAGACTCCGAGTCCGATGCCACGACTTCGCCTCTCTTCACGCCGGAATCTTCGCCTGTGCCCCATGCCCCATACCATGCTCATAACCATAACCATTTCTCACAGCAGCAGTACCAGCAGCAGACACCAATGCAGTTCCAGTTCCAGAACACCAGCAGCAGCTTTTATCTCCAGCAACACCAGACATTGCCTCCTCTGAGTCCTGTACAAAGCCCCAAGATGACTTCAAAGACATTGTTGCCTCTCCCAGTCTTGGCGCCCTTCCGACCAGCACAGGCGGTGACCCTGCCTCCTATCTCGTCCATCATGAGCTCTTTGTTCATCTAGGACAATGCGACGATGCGACGATGGAATCAACATACCATTTTCTTTCTTTTCTTTCATGCTACGTTTCCTTTTGCCTGTGACATAGAACCCTCTGCCCTCTGTACATATAGAACACATTGCCCTTGTCTTTCTTTTTTGCTTGCCACACTACTGCTACAAATATTTACGACTACCTGCTGCCAGTAATAGGATCATATCCTTGTAATATTATACCCACAATACAAAATATTTCTTTAACCAATTGAGCATATGAATGGTGCAATTGAGAGGGTTGGTGTGAAATTTCCTTATGTCGAAGATCACGACCCGAACTCAGGTTTGTACCTCTCCCCCGATCATGCCCCCCCCATGAACAACAACCCCTGCAGACAAACATGGTGCTCATCATCTCTTGTCTTTTGTTTGATTCAGCATGCCTATGGACAGAGAGTAGTATCAAAGATCGATCCAGTCTCTTGTGCCCGCCCATCGATGTGATCAATGATGCTACCACATCGTGTTTTTGTTCTACTTTCTCGGTCGTCCATAAGAAGATAGCTTGTCGACACGCAGCAACGGTAAACAAAATAGCGGAGTGCAATTGGAGTGTTGCAGTTATCCATTGCCTATGTACCCGTCTTTCATGACATCCCCTTGTTGTGAACATGTACGCTTCTTTGGAGGGCATATTTTTCTTTCACTCCCCTTGATTGACCGGAATCTGAATAGCGCTGGTTGGTTCTTTATTTCACAGTTTCGATCTAAAAGACCAGGCAAGCATTTTTTCCTCGCCTTCCCCGCATTTCCGTTTTATGGTTTATTCGTGTTTATTTCTATCTCGTAAGGTTGAGTGTGGGAGTGTGGGGAATGTGCTTTTTTCTGATTGAGGCCAAACCTTCTCTCGATTGGCCGTTCGGAAAAGAACGTAGACATCCTTTGCATAGTTTCTACTGGGGCCAGGGGAAAAAAAACCCCCCAGTGCCAATCCCCACACCCGCCTTTGTGATCCACTTTGTTTTTTAAGATTTTCGCGCCACCAAAATCCGTTTTGCTCAAGATTCCCTTGATATATGGCATGTATCCACTTTAGGTCCCCTACGCATCGTCTGTACCGACCTGAATCCACCTGAACCCATTAGAACCCAGCTAAACCTATTTTGCGCTTCTTTCAATTGTGCTGGTTTATTGCGCTGAGCTCCAGTTTTTTAAAAAATGCGCGCGCCTTATGACAACTACCATCCAAGGCATGGATTAGCATAATGAAGCACATATAAGAAATTCGTGGTTCCACTTTTTCCATACAAATAATTATAGAGCGGACTGTCGGATCCACATTTTTATTCATTGCTCGCGTAAATCGACAGACATGCATTGGGCCAATCCGACGAGGTTGAAAAAAACCTGGGGCGGGAGGCCAAACATGGATGTGGGGTATTAAAGCACCGCGCCAATGATCCGTAGCACTCAAGATAATAAAAATGAACGCGCTTGAGGTAAAGATACTTACTAACACGATATCGCGTCTTAGAAACGCACCGTAATCGAGAAAGAACAATTTCGTCAAAAAACTAGGCGCAATAAAAAGCTTTTACTTGTCAACGATCCATTTTATTGGTTAGCAACGAAGTCATTCTGCAAGAAGCAGTCGGCTCCGCATGGCTGGTCCTTGCAAAAGAGCTGTTCAGTCACGATGGGGTTTGAAGGCGTTCTTCTCCTTACGCAAAAAGTCCTTGATGAGCTTGCCTTGATGGCCAATAATCTTCTCCAGATCACCAGAGACAAAGTTGGCCTCGCCTCTCTTGATAAGCTCCAGTTCGTCGAGGAGCAGGTTGGTAGTCGACTCATTGGGAGCATAGTGGGGGTTCCCACCATCATGATCGCCGCGATGGTCGCCGCCCTCAACATGGACAGAGCCGCCAAGAAGATCCTGACACTGCATGACATAAATCTCCTCATCCCAGTGATCGCGGTGCTTGAGCTTCTCTAGGTAACGCTTCAATTCCTCGCGAGAAACCTCCTTCACCTCGATTTCTTCACCAGTGATCTCTCCGATCTCGCGGGCCAACTGCTCGAAGTTGATCTTTTCAGGGCCGGTCAAAGTGTAGGTCTTGTTTGTGTGATGATCGAAACCGCCAAGGTCCTCAGAGAGCTGGCCTGCCTCCTCTTCCCTAGGGCGCTCTTGTTGCTGGAAGCCCCCCTGGCCACCGTGGCAGTGATCGATCACAATCTTTTCGACGGCGCAGACGAGATCGCATATGTCGAGGGGGGTCATCTCACACTGCTTGGTAGTCAAGGTAGGGAACTCGCATTTCTCCTGTACGATCGGCGACCAGAAGAGGAAGCATTGGTTGAGAATGCTCTTGCGGAGGATGAGGTGCTCATCACAACACTCCTTGACGGTGTTCTCAATTTCGCCAAACGAATGAAGCTCCTTCAGATGGGACGACTCGCCAGCGCCCTCGACGGAGATCATCATACAGGAGCGGACACTCTGGTTCTTCATCGCCGTGAGGACGTTATTGGCTTGCTTGACGCGACGCTCGTTCATCTCTGCGATGAGAATAGTGCAGCGGACACCTCGGATGGCCTTCTCGATGGTCTTTTCGTCGTCATAATCGACCTCCTCAATACGGACATTCTTGTACTTCCCGAGCCTCTCAAGCTTTTCGGGCTTGCGGGTCAAGCAGACAAGCTGAACGTCCTTGCACTTCTTCTCAAGCTCTTGGGCGAGGTGACATGCGGTGCAGCAGCCGAGCCAGTTGTCGCAACCGGTGAGGGCAATCCTCTTGCTAAAAGTGGAGGTGGAGTCCATGGTAGAATAAGGAGCTAGTTGAAAAGCGGTCCTGTTTGTGTATGTGCGGGGAACAGTTCAAATGAAAGCGGTAGGGGAGAAGGAATATGGGTCCTGAATGCTACCCCCAGGAAGCGCGGTTTTTATAGTGAAAAGAGCATCGATACAAGGCTAGCATGGGCCTATATAGGAAGCTCAAGCGCGCTCTTTTTGTTTTGTCAGCCCACCACTGCCATCTCAGGAAGGGTGATCATGATAAAACGCTTGGTGATCGTGTCAGTTCATCCTATGGATTTATCATGGCGAGTAAGAAGTGATATAGAGATATCGTTTTGCCTGAGATAAGTATACCCAGGTATTACTTACTACCTATACGTAAGACTTCATGCAGGGAGGTAGCCACCATGGCAAGGTGGACGGACTTGACTGTTGATCCTTGTCGCGTACCATAATCGCGCTGCGCAAGACGCGTCGCGTAGATGATTTAAAATAGGTGTGGCTTTGGATAGATTCCATCTGCTTGACCGCCGTCGTCTCCTGTTGCTGCCGGTTCAACCGCTTCGCATCACTTCACCGTTCACCACATACTTTCGTGCCTGGCCAACGCTCAGCGTTAAGAAACAACAAACATGCATATTCTCACAAGAGCGGAGGAAGAGTACCTCTTCAAGACCCTGAAGGCGAATGCGCTCAAGGAGTGCGATCCGATTGTCAAAGGTTCTTAGAATCATCAGTGTCGTAGATCACCACGATTTCAGAATGCAATTGCTAACCGCTAGGGCTTTGCCACCAAATAGAATTTGTCGAGTGCACACACGGAAAGCTGGTCACCGTACTGTGGGGTTGCAGGGCACAACACAAGGCGATGAACAAGTGTCTAATGGCATTGTATGTTATCTTTGGTATCGCATGGACATGTCCGATCCTTGAAGCGTCCTTTTTGAGCTCTCAATGCTGACTTGAACCTTTTATTCGCACTATGCACCATCAACCTCTTTTATCGGGACAATCGGACAATCGGACAATCGGACAATCGGACAATCGGACAATCGGCACTCAACAGGACAACACAGGCAGACATGGATAAGCTGAAGATTCAGTATCTCAACGACCTTGCAGAGGGCAGAATCGACCACGCGCAGCTGCAACGAGAACAGAAACAAAAGGAAGAGGAACTCAAGAAGAAGCACAAGAGCGCTGGACCAGGTGTGCATTAAAATATAGACCCCGGTCATGGACAATAAAGGACTAGAATTTTTTTAATGGATGTCAGCGCAGGACCGAAAGAAGATCGGCAGGGGCATCATATGTATTCCTGAGTCAGGACTGAAAAAGTCAAGGATCCAGCTCAAAAGCTTGGCCAGTCATATTCGACAGCTTTATTGTGTATTTGCAGAACTCAAGTATAGTGGTCGATCTGTTGGACGAACGCTCCGACATACTGCTTCACAACATCAGCATGTCGCAAGGCCATCTCTTGATCGAAAGCTGCCTTTGCCTCGTCGATGTCCATCTGAAACGCCTCCTTCGACAGCTGTGTTGCAGTTGCTGCCTTATCCTTATTCTAATAAAAGCGGGACCTGGGGTGTTAGCCATCAATGAGATTGGTCCAGCCATTAGTGTTCTTGAGAGAACGTCTTTTTTCAATGCTGTCTTACTTCGGAGCCCATAGCGATGGATTGTTGCAAGCGTTGAAGCCTTTCGAGTGTCATTTTTGCTGTGTGGTAAGAAGCACAGCTGATCAATATCCTGGCGCAGGAACTCATACAGTGAAAGTGTAGTAGAGCTCAACAATGTCCAATGGTGTTTCCTCACCTTTGTCACCAGTGCTGCCGAGCCCGGAATTGAGGGTTTCCTTTGCTTCATTCAGTTGAGCTGGCGTGTTTCGGAGCATGGGCACAATTGTATCATCCCCGACCTCAAGCGATCCGCGCTTAGTCTATGATTCCATTCAAATGTCATTTTCCTATGCGCTTAGTACCAGTAAAGTCGCGTGCCCTGAATGAAGTACATATACCGCATACACCGCAGTGAGCAGTCAGCAGTGAATATTGGCCCTTACCTCAAACTCCTCGACAAAGGTCGTGATGGCCCTTTCAACGTTGGCCTGAGGGTTGCCTAGGAGGCGCGAATACAACTCATGGACATCTGCGTGAAAACAAAAAACATATCCAGTGAGTAGACAAGTTGGGTCCTGCTTCTACTGGGTATGCTTCCACTCTGAGTTGGTGGCTCGTCCTGGTTTTCTGTCTTTACCAACATCCGTGGTGGGTTCTGGCATCCTTGTCTGCGCATCGTGCATGCAGTCGGGTCCATTTCTCCTTTGCTGTATGGTTTTTAAAATAAAAAGTCACGCTACCAAATCACCTGCAATCGGAGCACGTCTGCACGCCTAGGGGAATATAGCGTCAATAATAAAAAAAAAAGCGTAGTCGGAGCAAGCGCGTTGCTGCCAGAGGAACCCAAGGAGGCGGGACTCAAGAAGGCCCAGCGAGATCAGGATGGCGGTGTTGCAGCGAAAGAACCCTGCAATGACACTAACCAGCTCCCGGCCCCGCCACTTATTATAATCTGGCTGCGAAGCAGAAGGCTGTCTACCAACCAATCTTCAAGTACCGGCGCTGGCTGGAAGAGTGCAAACGAATGGTCCTTCCTGGCGCAACAGAATCCATTAGCGACATCGAGAGTAGGCTACCATCTCTTTGAGTCGACGATGCCAATTTTGCGAAATATGTGACGGAACTTGGGAACGCAAAGGAGCAGCTCGACAGCTCTTAAAACCACAGCATGGCTGTTAAAAAGCACCAGTGGGATGCCGGGAAGGCTCAGGAAGCAGAGTACGCGATTATTACGAACCGTCTGCTCAAGATGGTCGGGAGCGCAGCTGGTAGACAGAGGATGAAGCGAACAAGGTTGTGATTGGGGTGGGCCTTGGACAGTTTTCAACAAAGTCTAATATCTTCTCCTTGCATACATCCTTCCAGTCCTACTTTGCCCAGAAAGAATGTGTACAGCGTCACTACTAGGATCTGTGGAGAGTGCCGCTTTTTCTTTTAATTGTCAATGACACTAATGGAGGACTACCTCCTTTCTTTAATAGGCACGTTCCCTCAGGTACATCGTTGTGAGTGAACGAGTATTACGCCTCCAAAAAATACGCAGGCTATATTGCAATCCTTCACGTGACACCTTCGTATGAGCTGACGTAGTTTTAGCTAGGAATCTGGGATAATGGTTCGTGTCTTTCGCTTGCTTTCTTTCATGACCCTCCTTTCCCCCTGACTCCATCCATCGCCTACCCATCTGTTATTCTGTTATTTTTTCTGTCCGGCCATTAACAGCCATCGACTTATCTCTTCTCCAATCCGCCTGTCACCGTGTAAGAACAACCATTCTCTTCATACACGCTGCCTGGTTATTGATGGAGCTTGCGCATCCATTAGTGGTGGCGCTGCTCTTTTTTTCTTCTTATGACTAGTTCATTGACTTGAACATCTACTCCTCTATCAAATCACTGTGGATGCATCTTGCCGTGGGACAACTTGGTTTTATTGTGAAGAGTCAGGTGTACATTCATACTTAAGAACAACTATCGTGCCGCACTGTTTCCTAATACGCTTGAACGTTTTTGAGCTAGCAAGCCTTTCCTTTATACTTGGGAGCAAAGCACACGGTTGCGATCCTTTGACTAACAAAATGTCCCCTGCGATCTTTCTTTTGTTATGTACTTTTTAGTCCCACGACATTTTATTTTGCAGGACCAGGACGACTCATCCCCTTTTTCCCATCTTCAGCGTTATCTCATTTACCGAGTATCGCATCTTCGACTCTTCACCAAACAGCCGCGCAAGGATAACGCATGGTCAAGGCTCGGATCCGGACACGTCTATTCTTCACAAAATCCAGAAAAAAAGCAAAAAAAAGCGTGCCAGTATCGACCACCTCCAGACTTGAGCAATGACAGAGCAGCATTACAACTCTATCCTCTACCAGACCCTTTCCAACGGCCCCAACGCGGTATACTCACCTGCCCAGTCGTCGCCGGCCTCGCTCGTCGGCACGCCGGCGACCTCTGGGTACCACATCGGACACATGGCCATGTACAACGGCGGAGTCCCACGTTACCCTGTCCAAATGAACCTGGCACAAAAGTTCCAACAGCAACAGCAGCAGCAACAACAACAACAACAGCAGCAGCAACAGCAACATCAGGTATTGACTCACCAACACCTACAGCAACATAGCCATCACCAAAACCAAATTCGTCAGCAAGCAGGGCTCTCCTCGCCTGCAACTATCCCTGCTTCGCTCACCTCTCAACTTGGAGGGGCGGGATCGCACTATCAGCAACAGCTCCAATGCGCGACTGTCTCTCGCCAGTCATCCACGCCCCACTACAGGGCTAGGGCAGCAGCAGCCGTTGCCAGGAGTTCTGGATTGAGCTCAGCCGTCACTATCACGGACCCTAACAACCCCTCAAAGAGTACTACTGTGAATGGACAAGGCGCGGACAAGACAGGTGGAACAGCCACTACCAATGCTCAACAGTGGACGACTTTGGATCTGGGCGGTATGGGTCTTAAGAACATTAGTCGGGAGCTGTTTCGGTACGGATCCTTGACAGCGCTATACATCAATCACAACGACCTGCATCATCTCTCGCCCGAAATCAGCCGCCTGTCGAATCTGACCATTTTGGATGCCTCTGGAAACAAGTTGTTGTCTGTTCCCCCAGAACTCGGAATGCTAACGAATCTCAAGGAGCTTATGCTGGTCGATAATAGCCTGGTGACCTTGCCTGCCGAGCTCGGGACGCTTTATCAACTGGAGATCCTTGCTTTGGAAGGAAACCCATTGAACGAGAGCCTCAAGAGTCTACTTCACCAGGAAGGAACCAATGCTGTGATCATCTATCTTCGCGAAAACTGCCCTGGTAAGTGGTAGACATTGTTTGCATCAAATACAACCATGAGGGTTAAATGGTATTAATCGCTAATTGAGAACTCTTTACCTTGCCATGATTTTGACTAGTCCCATTGCCTCCACCTGAGAGAGAGTGGATCACTCTTGAGGATGACTCTGGAGCGTCGTCGAGCCAGGACACATTCACAGTATTCTGCTACAATATTCTGGCAGAAAATTACGCCACGCCCCAGATGTACGGATACACTCCTTCATGGGCCCTTACATGGGAGTACCGCAAGGAACTTATTCTCCAAGAGATTTTGGCCTACAGTGCGGATATCGTCTGTCTCCAGGTAAGCGATTAGCTGTTGGCAACAGACGGTCTTGCTCATTCCATTAATGGCGCTGTGCCTTGTATCATCGACTCGATTGATCTAACGCGTTTGCTCTGGAATGAATCTGATCTGTGACGAACATCACTCATAGGAGGTGGAGCAGGGACAGTTCGAGGACTATTTCAAGGAGCAGATGAAGCAACAAGCTGATTACGACGGCGTTTTCTGGCCAAAGTCACGCGCAAAGACAATGCCCGAGAAGGATCGTAGGGTTGTGGATGGGTGTGCAACGTTCTTCAAGGCATCCAAGTAAGTTTCGACCCATGGAATCCAGAAACATAACTCCCATGCTGGGTTGTGTGCGCTCAACCATTGAACACGCCGTCGGCCTGATTTCTGAGACTGGCGCACTGACACGCAGCACTTATTATCTTATGTCCCTGTAACCCTTTAGGTTCAGCATGGTTGATAAACACCTCGTTGAGTTCAACCACGTTGCCCTGCAGCGGCCTGATTTCAGAGAGACGGACGATATCTTTAATCGCGTGATGACCAAGGACCAGGTCGCTGTCATAACCCTTCTAGAGCACAAGGATACCAAAAATAGAATTGTAGTCGCCAACACACAGATCTACTGGGATCAGCTCTTCAAAGATGTCAAGCTTGTCCAGGTGGCAATGCTCATGGAGGAAATCGACAAGCTGTCAACTCAGTGGGCACATTTACCTGTTTCTGGGTCAAACGCACTGCCTTCCAACTCTTCCGGCAAGTTGCCGACCCTTATCTGTGGCGATTTCAACTCTGAGCGATCTTCAGGAGTATACGAATTCTTGGTCAAGGGGACAGTTGCGCGAGGACACGACGATTTCGGCAACCATGCATATGGAACATACACCTCTGAAGGATTGTTCCACAAGATGACGCTCCGCTCGTCTTATGGCGATGGATCTGAGTTGCCCTTCACTAACTTCACACCAACATTCGTGGCTGTTATCGACCACATCTTTTACTCGTCGAATTACCTTTCTGTCCTGGGATTGCTGGGAGGCGTCGAGAAGGAGTACATGAGTCGGGTGGTTGGTTTCCCGAACGCTCATTTCCCCTCGGACCATGTACCGATCCTAGCGGAGTTCAAGTTCCGATCACAAGCGGCACCGAAGGGAGCGACACCCAACTTTGGCAGCACTGGATCTAATAACCATAATAGTGGCAATAGGAACAGCCATAACGGCAGCAACAGCAAGCAATAGATAACCGACCATACAGATAGAATTTGGTTGTCTGCATCGCTAGTATTTTCGGTCACTGTGTGTATTATACCGAGCAAGGAAAGGTAGCACGACAAGGACATTTGGCCGGTTCAGGGTGTTTGCTTGAGTCGTTGCGCATCATACCAGGTGGCGGAGTTTTTGAGCACTTTGAGATAAGGGCGAGTCGTTGATCTTCTTGATATTGTCATTTTTAGGTTGTTGTTTTATTATGGCGTCTGGAAAGTATTGCTTTTTTTTTTTTTTTGTTAATATTGCATGTAGCCTTAGTATAAATATATATTTTCATCATACATACGCGATTAGTACATTCATACTGTTTTTAAAAAGACGTTTATGGGTATGCAGATGTTGTCTACAAAGCGGTCGGATCTAATAGTCCATGAACCGGTCTGGGAAGATAACAGGCGCCAGTAGCGAAAAGCTGTAGAGGCCATAGCAGATCCATGACGAGACGATCTTGACCCAGACAGCAGGCCAGCTTTGTCCAATGAGGATCAGATGCTCCTCGCTCTCGGGTTGCTGAAAGGTGTTCCAGTTAGTGAGGACCATCGAAATGTACATGGCCGCGAGCGCGAAGACGAGGTGAAAGAACGTGTAGTTGTACTGGCATCCGTTCTTTTCGTCGTCCTTGACATCGTAGTTCTCGTCATCGTCATCGTCATCGTCCTCATCCAATGCTGAGACAGGCAGTGCTCTATTGTTCATAATGAAAAAAAAAAAAAAAAAAAAAAAAAAAAACTTCCCTTGTTAAAATGATGCTGGTTATGAGAAGCCTCCGTTCAGTAGTCCATATTCCATCCATACCCGCTCTCGACAGCCGCAAGCAAAGCGTCTGATCTGCGCATGGAAGATCCACCAGGGGCGCTTGTGACCAAAGGAACCGCAGAGTCTGAGTTGAGAGGTGCATAGTCGCCATTATTGATCATCGCCTTTCCTCCCTGCGTTGCTGCCCTGGATGTTGAGTAAGCGACCGCCAAGAAGGTAAACACAGCTCCCATCAGCACAGTAGTTGTCCTGGTTCCACGAGCCTTGTTCAGCGGGTTACAATTGTTTCCCTCATCCGGCTCATTCGCGACGGCACTCAGGACTAAGTAGGCGCAGTAGATAACGACCATGGATGACTGAGCCAACCCCGAGCGTGGGTTAGCCTCCTGGACCGTGGGCAAAATACCGATGGTGGTCACGGCAACTGCAAGGATGAGGTTGAAGGTGATCCAAAAGATGTTCTTGCCACATCCACTATTGGCGAAGTAGCCGTACATGATTCCCGTGAGGATGATGGCGCCCAAATACATGATCAAGGTCGATCCGACGAGAATGAACTGCCATTTGTTGGTGTCGGATTGTTCCCATTTGGCGATACAAGTCTCGGACCAGGTATGTGCAAAGTCGACGAGGAGGATGAGGCCAAAGAAAATGAAGATGCTGGCTCCCATAAGAGCGATGTAATTTCCGTAGAACATAAAGAATCCAGTGGGGATAAAGAACGAGGCGATGACGAGCCCAATCCAGACGACGACTTTGGGGCCCCACCACCTACAAGGTCCGTGATACCAAAATAGAAGATTGTTAGCTTTCCGTGTCTTGGCGGTAGTATGTTCATGTATTGTTATAAGCATCCGATGGTCGTGCGTACCCGTTCTGGAGAGCAGCGCGCTTTGAACGCGAATCGTGGACTCCGATTAACAAAGCGCCGAGGATGAAATGGAACAACGCCAAGGCGAACCCAACTCGTTGCACCTAAGAGTTTGTGTTCATGTCAAGTGGTGGTAAAGTGAGGTGTCAGGACTGGAATTCAATACGCACATCGTGTGATGCAAAGAGTAGAACGCAAGACAAAAAATAAAAAAAAAATAAAAAGCGAGCAGAAGCCTACCCCTAGAGTTCCGTAACATGATGCGTCCTCACAGTTGAGTTTGAGGTACCCGTGAGTGACTTTTTCCAATTGCGTTGATGCCCAGTCTGACAGCAATACCCAGGCCAACTAATCGTCAAGGATACAGGGGAAACAAACATCGGTGTTCAGTTTCTGTATCTTTCACTGCGGAATAGATTGTCTTGGCGATGATTGAGCTTCGCAACAGCGATATATACCAGCGAGTTGACAAGCATTATGAGCTAGCAGTCCAAGAATGCAAACAGAAAAGAACAAGAGAATAAGGAGGTATTAGTGAAGGATATCATCGTCAGCCAGAAGGATGGTTCAACTTTTTCAGGCACAAGAACAGGAAGACAACTTACAGCATAGCCGACGCGGGTGGCTATGGAGTTGTTGCAATTGCACGACCGACAGGCAAGTGAGCATGCGGCGGCAGAGAAACAGGAGGCGAGGATTGACCCAATGCCTCCGATTGCAGGCCAGGCCAGCAAACTAAGTGCTGCACCCATGTAGACAGGATCAAGTGTGGAAAAGACGAATGAGGAGAGAAGGAATGAATCGTGAGCGCTCGACTGGTTGAGATCGCTGGCTGTGCGAAGCAAGGAAGAAGAGTGTGAGGGACGAGTGGAGTGGAGAGGAGAGGAGGAATGGGAAGAACAAGACCAAATCCTCTCAGGGCATCCAAAGGAACTATGGAGCCCGCTGGTTATCTGTGCATCCAGAAGTGGTCGCATGGCTCCTGTTTTGGATGTTCCCCCCCCCCCTATGACGTGTTGCATCTGCAAACCCTGTCTGCTTCAGCTTAAAGTCGATCTTCTTTCCCTTTTTCCCTTTTCCAGATGCGATGCTGCAGATCGTCGATCGTCGCAGTGCGGGTCGGGACAAAGGAGGCGACGAGAGCCCAAAGTACCGACACGTTGTCCCATGTGATTGCGTTATAGTCACGTACGTGCATTTCATGAAGATCTCTGCGTGTGGGGAAGAGGGCACGGCCCATCAGATAGAAATAATAAGGTCGCGCGGTAAGCATTTTGGTTTTGTCGCGGACGATGCATCATGATGATGGCCCTAGTTTTCGGCTGAACCCGCGTTGGAATGAAGAAAATACTGGGTGCAGGTGTACAGCCATCGAAGAACACTTGAGTTCAACCCAACCAACCCAACTCAGCTCAGCTCCACCCTACACTCGCAACCCCCCCCCCCATACCCTTGGAACCACACTATAGCCCCCACCCAACTCCATCCTATCTTCCTGTTCAGCTTAACCCGCATTGGCACCCGCTCTTGAAGAAACCACTGGTGGGCGACTTGCACACCCACGCAACCAAGGACGAAGGATGAGTCGAGTCGATGAGTTGCTTGATTCCAAACTCATCTCATTCAACAGCTGCACGAACATACCCTCTATTGGCCGTTATTCTTTTTTCTCCACTGTTCCACTGTCATTACGACCCTAACATGTCCAACATCGATGTCCTACCTGCAGAGATCCTCGCTGACATCTTTGGTCACGAAGGTCTCGCCGACATCACTCGCCAGGTCTGCAGACGCTGGCGTAGGATCGCTCTCCCTATCTGGCTACGACGACTGACCCTCCTGCCCAGTGATCCCTTCAAAGACTTGGGCATCCTTTCCTACCTCAAATCCCTCCCCCTGGACGACCGTCTCTCTATCCGTGCCCTCGACCTCAGTCCCGGCCGCCAGCACGATAGCGTCAGCGTTAGTGCCTATTTTGAGGAGGTCGCTGATCAGGATTGCGTCAGGAACGTGCTCTTGATCCAGTCGCTTCTGGGATCCAGGATCATAGATTTGACAATCAATGATACAGGATGGGCGCCTGATAGCCTTGTGGATATCTCACAGATGGCCCTCTTGACGACCCACCATCTCGCTTGTTTTCAGATCTCGCTGCTCGCGGTCGAATCCTGCGTGATGCCTGAGCTGATGAATTCTATCCTGGAGCTCTTTCGACGCGACGCAAGCCATCTTAAATTCCTCGTTCTGGACCTCGCCCAATCGCTGGATACGGATCACTGGGAGACTATGGCAGACTGCACAGAGCTGCAATCCTTCCATCTGGGGCTCCATCGATCCTCGGAACCCATCCTCACAAGCATCTTGGAAACTGTGCTTCCCAAATGGTCCTCGCTCACGTCATTGTACATCTGTCAACCGCGCTTTGTCTCTGCAGAAACCTTACGATGTCTTCATAGAGACCTCCCGCGTCCAGATCGACTACGAGAACTACATTTGATCTTTGAAGCGTGCCAGGCTTCGTTGTACGAGCAAGAGTTCATCGAGATGGTCCATGCAATGCCGAACTTGCAGATCCTGGAGGCGCATTTGGATTGGACGAACAGGATGATGGAACATGTGGCGATTACGCTGTCGGATCTGAGGGAACTATCGATTACTTGCTCTGGGTTGGATTTTACCTGCAGAGGAATCGTGGACGTCGCATGGGGTCAGGGACTGGAGAAGGTGAATATGAGGACTTCAGGAAAGATCTGGAGTGGGTTTCTGGAGGCGGTTCGGAAGCGGTCGAGGCGGGTCAAGATTCTGGTGTATGGGTCGATGAAGTGGGGAGGATCTGTAGATGAATGGGAGTAGCAAGGCCGAAGCGAGAGAAGCGACCTTTGTTGCGCGACGAGGGGAGGGGTTTACGGGTGTGATTTAGGGATGGATATCTATCTCGACGTACGGCGCGAGAAACATCTTTAGTGCATGACTTCGTAGTTCGCATGGCCCTAGACTATAAGGCTGGGCTCCACGGATTAAATGCCGCTAACTCCTGTCACAGCAGTCGCACCTCTTAACCTATTAAAGAGTTATTCTTCACTGCGGGATAAACTGAAACCAACGTTTTCTTTTTTTTTAGGCGTAGAGTATGGACGCTGACAAAGGAAGAAGGGGTACATGCAGACCATGGCCGTGCTGCACTGCACAGAGCCCTTCTCCGTCGACTGCGCAGGTGCGCTGTCCGGAGACCTCTTTTGGAAATCATATGGCGCAAGTCTCCGAAGTGAGATGCAGCATACTGTCAGATCGTCACTTGAGTGCAAGAACCGAAGGAGAAAAGCAGGAGGCAGCATCATCGTTTGGCTTCGGAAAGCTTGAATGGATTTAACACCCGCGCTATGTTTCCGAGCATTGCGCGGGCACTAAAATATGCTTGGGAATCCGAGGTCGGACAAAACTCGTTATATAAACCTAATGCATCTGTTCTTTCTTCTGGTCCTTCTCTTCTTCGCAATTCCCTTGTCTTCGTATTTTCACCACTGAAGCCCCGACTCATCCGGCACCAGGACCAATTGAGCAGACTACAATTACTTATCACTCACACTCGCGAAAGGACTAACGACAATTAACATGGCCATACTCGCCCTGGCCACGGCCGCAAAACAGTTCGTTGAACGACATCTGTCGACCGGAAATCGCTCGCCCTCTCAGGTCGCTGCTATAGCCGCTCTTGGCATCCTTATTGCTGCCATTATAAGATACCCGGACACCGCACTCTTCGTTCGCGATAGGCCCGATTTCAAGAAGAAGACCATCAAGGGCCATCCACTGGTCGGAAACATGCTCCAGGGGTTGATGGCCAAAGATCCGCTCCTCCAACTCAAAACTGGTTTCGATACCTACGGCGACATCTTTTCCATCACGGTGCCCTATCGAGGTCGTATCATCATGATCAATTCCCCAGAGCTGATTGAGCACATCTTGAAGAGTAAGTAGCCGAATCCACCCCTGATGCCAATCGTTTGGATGACCAGTGCTGATAGTAGAGGAGCAAGCGTAACCTCGAGCGGGCTCTCGAATGAATTGCTGCACCTATCCCACAAGATAATCTAATCAGAGATAAACACATATGCCTTCAAAATCAATAGCCAACTTTGACAACTACATCAAGGGTAATGTCTTCTCGGATCAGCTCAGAGACATCTTTGGCACCGGCATTTTTGTCTCCGATGGAGAGCGTTGGCGATGGCACCGCAGGATCTCCTCCAACATTTTCACCGCCAAGATGTATCGCCAAGTGACCGGAGGAGCCTTCATCGAGAGCGCTAGGGCCCTTTGTTCTGTCTTTGACAGGAACGAAGCCCTCGGAAAACCCATGGACTTGCAAGCACTATTCCTAAAGATGACCATGGATGCGTTTGGCAAGCTGATTATTGGCGCCGATTTCAACACGCTCACTACAGAGGGACCGCACGAGTTCGGGGATGCATTCGATTACTTGGTAGCAAACGTTGACAACCGGATCGCAAATCCGTTCTGGCAATGGACAGACTATTTCACCCCAGGGAAGAGGGCTAACCTGAAGCATGCCATCGGTGTCCTGGATGGGTTCGCGAATGAAGCTGTCAGGAATCGTAGAAAGGAAACTGAGGAGGAAAGGGCAAAGAGACCAAAGGATTTGATTGACCATTATATCGGCCGCACGCACGAAGATGGTACCGCACTGACCGATACTGAGATCCGGGATGTCATTGTCAGCTTCATGGTGTAAGTACAAAGTGGTATCCACGGCAGAGCTGATTACGAATACAGCATGCAGAGAAAAAAAACGGCTAACGGTCAAATATCCCTCTTATTTGTTTAGGGCTGGTCGAGATACGACCGGCTACACCTTGACCTGGCAGTTCTACGCTCTCATGGCCTACCCACGCATTATGAAGAACGTTCTGGAGGAACTTAAAATCGTCCTTCGAGGATCAGAGGACTATACCTACGAGACCATCCTGCACGAGTTACCCTATCTCAAAGCGGTCTTCCACGAGACATTGCGGCTGTACCCATCAGTCCCAAGAAATATCAAAGAGGCGGTCAACGACGACGTCTTACCGGATGGAACTCGTGTTTACAAGGGTGACCCTATTGCATTCTCGACCTGGTGCATGGGCAGGAACCGATCTGTATGGGGTGAGGACGCAGAGGTGTTTGTTCCTGAGCGCTGGCTTGTAGACAACAAGAGTGTCTCAGAGCCAGCCGGGCCGGCTGCTTCAAATGGCACACATGGAGTGAGTCCCTTTGGAAAGTTCAAGATGGAGAGCCAGTTCAAGTTTAACTCCTTCAACGCCAGTCCTCGATTGTGTCTGGTGAGTTCGCTTTCTCTTTTTGACCGGAAAGTCATTCTCTCTTGGCTTCTTTCTTTCTTCCTTTTTTTTTTTATTTCTTTATTTTATTTTATTTTTGCTGACACGATATCTTTTTTACCACTAGGGCCAGACAATCGCTACACTGGAGGCAATGGTAACGAGCTGCATGCTGCTGCAAAATTTTGATATGGAGCTCGTACCGGGTCGCCCAGTCCCCGAACCCAAGCCTTCAGCAGCGCTTCCAATGAAGCATGGATTGCTGATATACGCCAAGAGGAGGCGAGGACATGTGGTCTCGGTGGCTGCTTGATCCCAGTTGAGCGCTCGTGCATGATAGCCGGTTTTTTTTGGTGTTGTTTGCACGCGTTTCCTTAATAAATACCCCACAAAGAGGATGTCGTCGACGTGTCAATGTTTATGTGTAGGCGAGCGAGCGAGCCGAGGAAGGATTGTGACTCTATCCCTGGCAATGCACCGAGCTCTTTGACGTCTGCACCATCTTTATCTTGTGAGAAATCGAGAAGCCTGCGACTCAATGACCCCTCTCCCCTTCCAAAGAACGACTGCAATAAGCGGGAGCCAAACGCCTTGAATCTGGACATATCTACATATGTTTAATTGCGGATCCAGTGTCCGCATCAAGGCGCTGTCCCAATTCTGGATCTATCCCCGGCTGCCACGCTGAGATCCGTCGATACGCTCTTCTAGCTGCTGACACCAAGTAGAGACACGTCCAATCCATGTTAGGGCGCTGTCTTACGCACAAGGCGCGTTTTGTTTATTTGTTTATTTGGTGGTCAGTCCGCATGGCGATCCCATCAAGCGAGCCGAAGCAGCTCCTCCTTCCTTCTTTTGTGGCTGTCTTGTTGGCCCCCTGATACCTCTTGGTAACGCCATCTGAAAACGTTTGCCACTTTCCTTCACCGATATTTAAAGAGTCCGCTTAAGGCTGCTTCATTTATCTCTTTTGGAATCCATCCAAGCTCATCTCTGCGCGACTTCAGCTTGAAAAATAAAGCTTCTACTCCACATTTATTTCACACAAATCCACAAACATGACCGCCAACACCATGGCCCTGGTGGGCCTGCGTCGGTACATTGATAGGCAACTCAGCAAGAACAGAAAGCGTTCACCCTTCGAATACATCGTCCTCGCGACCCTCGGTATCCTTGTTGCCGCAATCCTCAAGTATCCCAACCGAGCCATCCTCACTCGCGCGCGACCAGACCTGAAGGACAAGACCGTCTTTGGATTCCCTCTCCTGGGTAATATGCCTCACCTGCTCCGGAACCGCGGGGATGCTTTGAATTTGATGCATGATGGATTCAGGCACTATGGCAATGTCTTCTCCCTGACGGTGCCGTTGTTTGGGCGAATCATCATGGTCAATACTCCCGAGCATATGGAGTATGTCCTCAAGAGTAAGAGCCAAGCCGAACCCTTTTTTTTTTTTTTTTTTTTTAGCTCTCCTGTGCTACTAATGGGTGGATTTGTGTGAGAGAAGATATGCGTAGCTATACATGTTCTTATGACTAGAATACTCACACGCGTAAGTTGTACAAACCACTTTATTATTCTAGCAAACTTCGATAACTACATCAAGGGCAAGATCTTCCGAGACCAGCTCACGGATATCCTCGGCCGTGGGATCTTTGTCTCGGATCAGGACGCCTGGCGCTTCCACCGCAAGACCGCCGCCAACATCTTCACGACAAAACTCTACCGACAACTAGTCGAAGGAGCCTTCCACGATACCGGGCTTGATCTCTGCTCTGTGCTGGAGAAGGATCGATTGGCGCAGCGGCCCGTGGATCTGCAGGAGCTGTTTCTGAAGCTGACGTTAGATGCGTTTGGGAAGCTGACGTTTGGACTGGAGTTCAATGCGCTGACGTGCGAGGGCCCGAACGAGTTTGGGGATGCGTTCGATTATCTCACAGCGAATGTGGATACACGCGTCTCGAATCCATTTTGGTTTATCACAGACTGGATCCTGCCTGGGAAGATGACCAAATTGAGAAATGCGATTGGGGTGTTGGACAAGTTCGCGAGTATGGCAATTGAGAAACGGAAGGGTGAATCCGTGGAAGAGAAGGAGAAGAGACCGAAGGATCTGCTGGACCATTTTATTAACCATGTGGCGGATGATGGAAGCAAGCTCACGAATGTCGAGCTCCGAGACGTGTTTGTCAACTTTATGATGTATGTGCCGCGCTGTGGATGTCAAATGAAGTACATGTCTATACCTGCCACTACATGTTAACGCTCTTTTTTTTTACTGTAGCGCTGGACGTGATACAACAGCACAGGCACTGACCTGGCAATTCTACTCGCTGATGACCAATCCACGGGTGATGAACAATCTCGTACATGAGATTGATGTGGTCCTCCAGGGCTCTCAGGCCTACACCTATGAAATTATGACCCATGGGCTCCCGTACCTGAAAGCGGTCTTTCACGAGACGCTACGTTTATACCCGCCGGTCCCCAAGAATGTCAAGACAGTAGTCGATGATGATGTCCTCCCCGGAGGCGTGCGTGTTTATAAGGGCGACGTGATCGGCATCTCATCCTGGTGTCTGGCCCGCAACAAAGAGGTCTGGGGCGAGGATGCAGAGCAGTTTGTCCCAGAGCGCTGGCTGGTGTACCCGTCTGCTGACTCGACCTCGAATATGAGTAGAGATGCCAACTCCACTGCGGACAAGACGAACTTGAGTCCGTTTGGCAAGTTTAGGATGGAGAGCCCTTACAAGTTCACGTCATTCAATGCAGGACCGAGACTGTGTCTGGGTCAGACGTTTGCGACTCTGGAGGCATTGGTAACAACGACGCTGCTGTTGCAAAAGTACGAGTTCGGACTCGTTCCTGGACAGCAGCCTGCAGTTGTGAAGGGCTCGGTGACGCTGCCGATGGCATATCCGCTGATGACGAAGGTGACCAGCAGGGTCCGCGCTTAGAGGCGTTATGAGACAAAAGACACCAAAGCAGCAGAGCATCAAAACAACGTGTAGTCTACATAGTCAACGGCTATAGTCTTTCAATTGGATTTATGAATACATGGCAGCAAATATACGGAAGAAAGGGTCTTTCCTTAACAGGAAACGAATTCTCCGCATTTTGCCATTCACCATTCGCCTTTTCATAAGAAAGTTGTTGGGCCAAGCCTATTGAGAGCACAACGATGAGTCCACTCGCGGTGGTCTTTTTTCTTTTTTCTTTTTTCTCTTGTGGAGCAGACCATGTTGTGCACATCTCTTCCTCTTTTGGGATGTTGAGAAGACATCAAGAATGAGGCGAGGCCAAACTGCAAGTCCACGGAGCAATTTATCGGCCACAGCAGTTGTAGCTGCTCTCATTTCCGTTATCTAGGCACTAGAAAGAGTTTGCCAGCATCTCGTTCATTGTACTGCAGATAGAATATGCCTCGCCCTTGTCAAAAAAAAAAAAAAAAGCTATCAGTTTTTTTGACCTTGTATATGTGTTTGTAAGATGCCCACACTCTTCCTGGGAGATGTTCTCACAACATCCCCCTAGACCACATTTTTTAAGAGGGGTTGGCTAGGCGAAATGTCCCTAATGAGACTGAGTTTCTCAGTCGATGGCCCCTTTCTCGGATGTAGTGCGACTGAATTCCAGTCAAGGAAATGGTTTCAGTCGGCAAAAAGGGCTTCTCGCCAAATGTCTACGTCCATGAATGACCGTTTGCTTGTTGAAATGGCGCGGAGAAAACAGATGAACCACTCAGCTTGGTAGTAAACAAAGCAGGGGAGTCAGAATCGAGTAGACAATCTGTTTCATCTAGCACGCATATAAGATTGGGCAAACATCTGCCATGCATCTTCCGGTGATCCCTCGCCTATTACGGCATGTTCTTGCTAGACGGAGTGAGAAAGACAGAGGAAGATGCACTTTGTGTTGTGCCGTTTTGGCACCCAAACAACCCAATCTTCCTCCAACATAGTCCAACATCGTCATTGTCCCACCGCTACCATGCAGCGTGGTAATTTATTTTCCCTTTCTCTTCCACCTTCGCGGTCGCTCTGGCGGCATTGCTCATCTCTCTTAGGAAAATTAATAATCTATGCACGACTGCACGACTGCAGTGATATGGAGAAAAAAAAAAAAGAAGAGCGACTGGAAATGTCGAGGTACAAAATGCAGCTCGCCTGTGAAGGAAGGAATGAGGGGTCCATTCGAGGAATGTGATCGGGGATTAGCCTGAACGTCTTCAAATGAAAATCTAAAGGCGATAATCAGTCATCCCTCCTTGGATATGCAGTGCGAGTCTGGCCGCTGCTTTTTGGGTTCCCAGCCAGCTGTTGGCAGCTACACAAATTGCGGCCTTGCTGGGGCTCCCTATCCTTCTCCTCCTTCGGCGCCGTCAACTGCACCTAAGTGAAATCAGACTTGCGATTGACTTTATTGTCAAACCTTGATTCCTCAGCGCTCTATTTCCTTTCTCTGCTGTTTAGAGCGTATGCATTTTGCTCCACTCCACTTTTGCCTGTTGATCACCCTCAACAGCGGAGGATGCAGATGGTCTAATGGGCCTCAGTCCTGTTCATGTAGCAAACAAACGCACTGTTGCTTGTTCCGCTCCGAACAAGGCAAAAACAACAACAACAGGCTGCCCTGCTTAATTTTCTGGCTATTTGTGGTCAACTCATTCCACCGATCATCAACAAACAAGATATGGGAAAGAAAACAAGAGCCGTTAACCTAGTCTAAACACGACCTTGCGAGTTGGAAAGACTGGTAAGCAAGCGGCCATTCAGTCTTGCATTCATTCGCCCACTTACCCATTCATCCATTTATCTAGTTAGTAAGCTAACCTGTCTTTCTGCAGCCAAGTGGAGGTGGGGTCACCTTGGCCGCCTGTATTATAAAGCCAAGAGCTCAGTCTGTGTTCACCCCTCTTTTTCACATATCCCTTGCCGCGTATCCTTTCTTCCGTTCTCATCATCGTAATCGCCATCGCCGTATTCTTCTCCTTCTCCTTCTCCTTCTCCTCCTCTTTCTTCTTTAACCATTACTATCGCCACCGCCATTGCCAACGCCACGCTTTCCTTCTTTCTGTCCCGTTCGTCCACTGCCACTATCAGCTTGCTATCTAGACTCAATTAGCTTAATTTCTCCCCCTTTTTTACGCCACCATTTTCATCCTGCCTGACCACTTACTTGAATCGGGATAATCCTATACCCTTCTCATTGAACAGCACTTCACACACATGGGAATCTTCAACAAACCGCTCTTGCCAGCACACTACGAGAACGAGGATGTCCAGATCAGCGCAGAACTATGTCCCAACATTGCCATCAACGTTGTTGGTCTTGCCAAGGTATAGACTATTCCTACATTCTATACAGCCTCGGCTCATATTTTTCTTTTGGAGGGATTCTTCTAGCACGCCTTTATTGCTTCTAGTGCGTTATTTTATTCCTATTCCATCGCGCTGCCCAATCTTATTCCTTAGTCCTATGTACCCGCAGATCAAGTTCAAAGGTGCTGGGTTGATCATCTTGCCTGAGAAGCTGCTACATTATGAGAAAAAAAAAGTGCCGGGGATCGTGGTATGGATCTTGGCATAGTCTATACTACGCCCCCTCTCTTTTTTTTTTTTTTTTTTTTTTTTTCTCGTGGCGCCGCAGCGTTTTTTTTTAAGTGCTCTCGGGCGTGCCTTTAGCCTTTCCCACCTTGTGTTCTCGCTGCTGAGAATGCAATGAATGCAATCTATCTTTCTGGACACATGTCCGATTCATTTTGACAAACAAAACAAACAAACAAACAAACAAACATGTAACATCAACACCGGCATCATCATAGCCGACAAACAGCGGCAGCAGCAAACATCATTTAATTAATCAGCTCAATGGGCTTCCACGACAGCTTCCCCTGAAAAGGAGTGTCTTGTAGTACAAACAAGGATTTGTTTGTTCATACCTTGCTTCGACTCTTCGGCCTCGATTTCTATGGACAGCGCCCATGCTGTCTGTTTATGGATACCATCGCCGCTGGTTATTTCCTCTATGACAGCGGCAGATCTCCGTGGTCTTACACCATCGTGCCCGGTGCAATGGACTTTTTACCCTGTCCCTGCACAAATACACACACACACACACACACACACACACACACACACACACACACACACACACACAACACACACAACACACACACAACACACACACACACACATACACGCACACACACACGACGATGCAAGCAACATATTTACGCAAAAGCGCACCTCATTCACTCCAAGGGCAAAGAACCGCTTCCCACACTCCACAGCTTTTCTCACAACAATGCTCCGCCCATTCGATCAATTCCCAATCTTGGACTCATGCTGCAGCGCATCCAGTTCGGTCGTCACGCCCCATATCACGCGTACCCTTCCTCCCCTCTCTCATTTACAAAGACGCAGTCTTTGAGCCCATGTTGTTTGAGTATTCTTTTAGTCCTTCTATTCCGCTGGCCTTTGTGTCCATGTATCTCAATGAAGGCAAATCGAGTCTAGAGCGAGGGGGAGCTTAGTCGCGACCTTTCGTGCACGCCTTCGAGCTGAGAGCCCTTGTTCCGGTCCTTGACCGTTGCCATTTGGAGCTTTGATGTCTCGGGCCAGAGTAGTGCCGTGACAGGAGCCTCGTGCCGGTGTGTGCGGTGCTCTTTGACTTTGTAGTGCCAAACAGGTGCAATGGCAGATAACTATTCGCTACCATCATTTGTCATCCCACCCACGGCTACGCCTTCTGTCTCTGGGCTGTTGAGGGCGTTGTCTTTTGAACTGTATGTGGAGAGGGGCTATTGCTGTCATGCAGAACGGGTTCTCGATTGATCCGAAGGGTCAAGTTATGTTGGCGCCCTGCAGCAATAAAGGAGCATTCTGGGGAAGGGTTCCTCTTGGGGTGATGGTGCCCGATAACCATCCGCCTCATGGGGCTTCATGGGAACGAAAGTTTAGTTTGTTTGTCGCACACACCTTGTGAATCCTATCTGGCATGCAGCAGCAAATGCTTTTCACACGCGTCGCCGTCTTTCGTACGCGAGCCTGGCGATCTCTTTCATTCAAACAGCCGTGAACTCTATTAATAAAAAAAATGCTCTCTGTCTTCCAGGGCGAAATCACGATTCTCAGCGGACATGAGGACATGATCCAGATCAAGACGAGTGTCCAGGCCAAGGAGGCGATCATCAAGAACGCAGCAGCACTAGAGCCCATCCAGGACGGCAACCAATACACCTACACGATCCACACGCCGCTGGAGGAGAAGCTGGAGAAAGCCGTTACGTTCCAGGTGTTCGTCACAATCCCACGCCATCTCGATAGTCTGGAGTCGTTCACGATCGAGGGAGTCAACGTCGAGCTGGCGATCGGGAACATCAGCCATACCTTCATCCGGCACTTGACCATCACGACCGGCCGGGGAGACATCTCGATCGACGTAAGTTGTCGTCGGAGCGAACCCTTGGCGGGACCATGAGAGACATATATACCCTAGTCCTCATCAAACTATTGCTTTACTCAATCCTCAACCTGACTTTCATAGAACTTTTACGGAGAAATTGCCACCATCACAAATACCATCAGCGGCGGCATTAGGGGCAAGTACAGCGTCGCGCGGCTATTCGCCATCGCCAAGTCCGGTCGCATCAGCGCAGATGCAAAGCTGCTTAACACGGACGACCAAGTACCCTCACCCAAAGTTATCTGTTCGACCACCAACTTCCGAATCGACCTCAACGTGGATGGCACCGACCTCTTTGGCCCGTTTACAGTCGAGGCCAAGACCCAGTGCTCACCCTTGGAAGCCAAAGTGCTCCTTGCGAGTAAAGACCAGAAAGTTCTCGGCAACTTTATCAACTTTGGTGGCGCGACCCGGATCCGTCTATCAGGCAACTACCAGGGCAGGATCGAGACGAGAACGCATTATGGAAAGATCTACCTGGAGGAACCAGAGTTCATCAGACTAGAGGGAGCGACCTTGACGTTACCTTCATTGAGTGACCGGACTGTTCCGACTCTGACTCCGTTTCCTCAGGGGCACCAACCGCGGGCTACAAATGGTACAAAGTCATCGTCGTCAGCAGTATCTCATCACTCGAATGTGATCTCCTCTAGGACATCGTCTCACGGGACAGCCATGTCCTGGGGAGAGGAGCAGTCTCCTACGCAGGTCCCGCATAATGGACACGTTCAACAGCCGCCGTCGCCTAAATCTATGAATGGGTCGGTACATGGCTCGAAAGCAGAGTCTACGGACGAGTCTTTGGCAGACGCTCGGTCGGTGTCGGGGCATTCGTGGTCAGAAAAGCAGAGGAAGAAGGAAGAGGAAAAGGACTCGGTGATTACACGGGAAATGATCGGCGTCATTGGCGAGGGACCTGGATTGATCATGGCCAAGAACAGCAGCGGGGACATCTTTCTCGAGTTGATTTAGACAAACATTCGTCCTGTACATTTCTTCCTTCCCTTCATAGACCACCCTAATATCCATTTTAATACATATAGCGCATTGAGTGTTGGCATAATCTCTTCTAGAAAGCAAACGAAGATCAGATGAGTGAGGCTGAGTTGAAGAAGAGAGACAAGAGACTGAGCACTGTCACCATATCACGTTTCACTTGGTTCAGACACCACGCTATCTTGCGTTATCTTTCGCTCGTCTATTTCTGAGCAGGCACTGATAATGGCGCGCAGGAAAAAACAACAACAACAACAACGTGGTGAAGACGAGACGACTGTGCGGGTACTGCGTTTGTCTGTGGAGAAAACAAGTTGGAGCAACAGATAACGATCTCCCCGCCGTCTTTATTTTTCCTTATCAGCTCAGAAAAAAAGATATTGTACCCCTGTCCAACGCGAGATGGACGCGAAACATAAAAAGAGGGTTCGCAGTCAGAGACATGATCTACGCTTATCGCTGCACGACACGACACGATGGATACATGATACGCCATGTAGTGAGTGTCCCTCTATAACGATACATATATTCAAATAGCAAGATAACACCCTATCCCGGTACATCAGCAATATGAACATGCCAGCTTCTCTTTCGCCTCCACTTGATAACTACACACGTACATCGTTTCTGTATTGATGATTAATGAATGCTTTTATTGCTGTTGTATATACAATATGTATTTTGGACAAAGCCCTTTGGGCTTTCAAGGAAGGCGGGAGGCGATAATGATTTAGTGGTCCTTGGTGTACATGTACTCGATCAACTCGACGCAGCGGTTGGAGTAGCCGACCTCGTTATCGTACCAGGAGACGAGCTTGACGAAGGTATCGGACAACGCAATACCGGCCTTGGCGTCAAAGATGGACGAGTGGGTGTCACCGATGAAATCGGTCGAGACGACCTCGTCCTCGGTGTAGCCCATGATTCCCTTCATCTCACCCTCGGAAGCGGCCTTGATGGCAGCCTTGATCTGCTCATAAGTAGCGGGCTTGGACAAGCGGGCAGTCAAGTCGACGACAGAGACATCGGGGGTGGGGACACGGAAAGCCATACCGGTCAACTTGCCGTTCAACTCGGGGATGACCTTGCCGACAGCCTTGGCGGCACCGGTGGAGGAGGGGATGATGTTGGCGCCGGCGCCACGTCCACCGCGCCAGTCCTTGGAGGAAGGACCGTCGACGGTCTTCTGGGTGGCAGTGGTAGCGTGGACGGTGGTCATCAAGGCCTCGGTGATGCCAAAGTTGTCGTTGATGATCTTGGCGAGAGGGGCCAAGCAGTTGGTGGTGCAGGAGGCGTTCGACACGACGTTGTACTCGCTCTTGTAGGCATCCAGGTTGACTCCGCAGACGAACATGGGGGCATCGGCAGAGGGGGCAGAGATGATGACCTTCTTGGCACCACCCTTCAAGTGGAGGGAAGCCTTCTCGACAGTGGTGAAGACACCGGTGGACTCGACGACGTACTCGGCACCAGCCTCACCCCACTTGATCTCCTCAGGCTTCATGCTGTTGTTGCAGTAATCAAAGAACCGGCATTAGATAACACGATCAAGAAAAAACGCGACGCGATAAATGATTGTGATATGAGGAAAAAGAAAAAAAAAAGCTGGGGTGATAAACATCTTGGAGTCATGATCATATCATGATCAACAAGATTGTTTCCCCATGTCATCGCCCTTTCTTCTTCATCAAATAGACGGACAGAGAGGGTAACATACCTGTTGAAGACGGCAATCTTGTGGCCATCAACGACCAAGTGACCATCGGCAGCAGAGATCTCACCCTTGAAGCGACCGTGGGTGGAATCGTACTTGAACATGTAGACCTAAATTAAGCAATATTCCTGTCAGTTTATCGGTTCGATGTTCCACGATCCCACTTTCGATATCAGAAGGCACTTGGCTTACCATGTAGGCAAGATCGATGAAGGGATCGTTGATGGCAACGACCTCGACGTTCTTCTTGGAAAGAGCAGCGCGGAGAACGAGACGACCAATGCGTCCGAATCTGCAAAAGAGAGTGAAGGAATTAATGCACAGTCAGTTAGATTGGCTTTGTGGATCGTCCGAGCCATGGACGCGCTCAGCATAGTGACGCAGTGGGGAATTGGAAGAGGAGGATTCCTTTTCGAATGAGTGACCCGACACGCGAATGAGGAAGGTCCCCGCAGGAGGGCCCTCCTCTCCTTTGGTTCCCCAACGAAGGGCAGGAGAAGAGCGACAGGGAGCGAAGCAGCTGAGGAGGACGTACCCGTTGATACCGATTTTGATGGCCATGTTGAGGATGTGTGGTTGTTGGTGAAGGGGTGGGGTGGAAGGAGAGTGTTTGGGGTTGCAGAAGAAGGAAAGGAAAAAGGGAGAAGAGAGAAAAAGAACGGGAAAGAACAACGGTTCTTATGTAGAATTAACCCCATCATCATCGCTGAAAAAGTGACTGGGATTAAATCCTTCCCAACGTCATGATTCAAATTTCGCGGTTCATTCCGTAACCTCCCCCCTTGGAGCAAAGTCGCACGGTCTTGGGTCCCTATCCACAGTCTTGCTCTACACGCTTTCGATCCTTTTGTTCGCGTCCCAGAGGTGTCCATCCGTCTTGTCTGTCTTGCTGGTCTTGCTCGGGATGCATTGAGGTCTTCCTTTCTCACCCACTCGTGCACACACTCTCCCTCAATTGCTTCGCAAAGACCAATTGCACGGACGTCTTCACTTGATGGCATAAATCAATCAGCGACACTGTCTGTGCTCTTGCCTACGATTTCTACGCGTAAAAGGACTTTCGCAAGAGAGTAGCCCTCGGGTCAGGCCTACGGTCTCAAGGTGGCTGTTATTTGCTAGTACGACCAAAAGAGGCAAACCCGCGTTGCTGCAGAATGGAGTGTATATTAGCTTTTTTTAACTTTTTGTTTTTGCATCTGAATGGGAGTGGAAGACCCAAAGAGACAAGACCGACGAAGGGGTCGTGAAAAATGCCCACGGACAACAAATAAAAATGGGTGTTGACATCGTGCGAGGAATGCACTCGTGTCTGTGTTTGTATTTTATTGCTGGGGCAAAAAGAAGGAAGAAGGATAGGAACCATGGGAACCACTGGAATGAAAGAAAAGAGCCATCCACTCTCCCGCAGCCATGGCGACGGCAACTCCAATTGGCACCAGGGAGGTATTGTGTATCTCTGCATTAGCCTTTCCCCGCATTTTCGCGCTATTTTTACATTTACAATTCCCAGTCCGTCCTCTACCTTCTTCCTTCTTTCTCTCGTTCTCTCCGGCTGGTGGCGAGAGCATACCTCATGGTCTTCTCCTCTTCGTCTCAGTGGTCTGAACTTCGCCATCTAATGCTTTATGTTTCTCGGTACCGAGGCAGCAATCCTGACGCATAACACGAGAGACACGAACAAATACCTGTTGGGATTGGGCACTGCACCACCGTGCGAAAAAAGGAGCGAGTCGAATTGCCGAGTTCGGGCTGACACTGCCCTTGGTTGGATCATAGAGTTCAGCAGCTGCATGCAAACGCCGGAAAGTGTCTGTGCCTGAATTCGATTTCGCCACCAATGTTTTCATAGATGAAAAGTGACTTGTTACCCTTTCTTTACCTGCCAAAGATCCCTCTCCAGCCTTCTTCATGCGCCCTCCACTGTGATTACCTTACTCCCTCATGAGCTCTGCAGCACCACGCGTCCAAGTGCCCGAGGTGCTCAAGCGCCGCAACTGCTTCATACACATCGATCTCGGTAGAGACTCTCATCTCGACATTCAAAAGGAAGGAGCTGCATTTTAGTACCGTTTTGCCACCAATTTTTGACCAATATGCCTCGATTGCCTTTTTTTTTCTTTTCTTCATGCTTTTGTCGTGTGCACATTGCTTGTATACAATAGATTGCTTCTATGCACAAGTAGGCAAGTTCATGCTTCCATTCGTTCTACCACCAAGCAGCTATATCTGATACGAAAGAAATATAAAAAGCACTGTACTGACGCGGGGAGCATGGCACTTGTAGAACAAATTAGACTAGGACTGACAGCCGATGTACCCCTGGTATCGCAGCAATGGAACGCCATTATCGCTGTCAACTATGCTGCACGAAAGTTTGGCATCACCCGCCTCCACCACAATATCTTTGACGCGAAGCAGCTCTGTCCAGGTGCGTTTTCTTTACGCCATTTTTCGGCATGGTCTACGAGTTGTTTTTTCTTTGGCTAACAAAGGTCCCATGAATGTGTTTTAGAACTTGTCTGCGCCCATGTAGCAACACTGGGACCTGGGGATTCAAAGCCGGATTACTATCCTTCGCCGTCACGGTACACACACAAAGTCTCGCTGGACCCCTATCGCAAGGCATCCGCCAAAATCTTCAATGTATTTCGAAGATTCGCGCCCAAGTTTCAGAAGGGAGGATTAGATGAAGTGTTCATGGATGTCACAGATATTGTCAACCGAAGGATCATGGACCGATACGGAGACGATCTGTCGAAGTGGGATTACGATTCGGCCGAAATGATCGACTGGAAGAGGGACCATTCAGACCTCGGAGTCGTTTTTGGTACGCCACGGGATGGAGACTCCAATGAGGGCACTGGCGGAACCGGGTATCCAGACGATGACGATGAAGATATGGACGAGAGTTTAGATGGCATCCAGACGGACGAAAACGAGCATGACATGGAGAGCGATAACGAGGTTGGGCCCGACATTGGACACGGCAATGGGATTGGTCCAGAGGACGATCAAGCATTGGAGGACGACTTCGATTTTGGCCTCGAGCAGTATCTAGACAGTGATTTTGATGATGTCTCTGCGATCGCGCAATCTAATGAAGGGCTAGAGAACAATGGTGAACCCTTTGATATGACTGCGAAGACATCCGGAGCAGCTACTCCTCAGGCGCAGACACCTGTTCATGCTAGCGGGCACGAAGCGACACTTCCCATCGAGGAGAAATCCGAAGAAGAGCTTAGGCGCTCAAAGGAGGCAGAGGAAGAACGATTTCGACGAGAGAAGGAGCAGCTGCTTCCTTACTATGGTATCCCCGAAGGTACATTTGAGGAAGAATTCTGGGCCGAGATGCAGCTGCTCGTCGCAGCAGAATTCAGCAAAGAGGTACGTTATGCCGTTCGAGAAGAACTCGGCTATACCTGCTCTGCTGGCATCGCGAACAACCGATTGTTGGCCAAGCTTGGATCTGGTATGAACAAGCCCTTTCAACAGGTAAGCAATATGCCTGATTTGAACTACATTACCAGTGCAAACTCGATATCAATACCACTACATTTTATAATTTTGGCCGATAGACGATTGTGCTGCCGAAATTTATACCCGATCTGCTTCATGGAATTAAGCTTTCAAATATCCGTAACCTGGGAGGCAAATTCGGGAAGCAGGTCAGAGAAGACTACAACATCGAGAGGGCATCCCAACTATGGCCCGTGCCCCTGCGACAACTGCAGGAACGATATGGCGATCAAGCCGGTCTGGAACTCTGGCAATGGTGTCGCGGGATCGACCACGTCGGGGTTAGAAAAATCAAGTCGAAATCGATGTGCTCCCACAAATCGTTCATCCCTGCCCTGAGTGATTTGGAAGAGATTCAGTTCTGGATCACATCTATGAGCCTTGAGCTCGAGTCGCGAATGCAGGCAGAGTACGATGAGACGGAACGGTGGCCCCGGACGGTCTCTTTGGGTTTTTTTGGTGGACGACGGGCCCAGCAGGATCAAATGACACAGGAGCGCAAATCGAGCTTTCGAGCACCCTATAAAGGGTCAAGATCCATGCCCCTTGGAAGCCGATTTGAGTATGGAGGCGTCGAGGGCATCGCGAGGAAGGTGAACGGCTTGCTGGAGAAGCTGATCAAGGAGTCTGAGAGTGGAAGGGGACGCCCGGTTCTACCGCTGATACTGTTGACGATCACTGTATCTAATTTTTCTGAGGGGCATGAGAGCGCGATGGGCGATATCACAAAGTTCTTTTCCAAGACGTCGTCTCTACCGCAGCAGCCGCATAAGCAAACACCGCCTGAACAACAGCATTGGGATGAAGCGAGCGGAGATAAGGAGCAACAAACTACGCAGGTTGCTAATACCGAGGAGAAGACAGATAAAACAACCACTGTGACATCGTCGGAGTCCAGGATAACGGATGCCAGGCGGCGTTTCTTTCAACCGCGAACGACCGCTAAGGAGATCGAAGGGGTCTCAGCAAGGTCTCTCCCAATCCCGGAATCTCCCCGATTGTCGCCTACGCTCGAGTATCGAGAGAAAGATGTATCAAAGAGACCTACACGGACGCTCATTTGCGAGCAGTGTCCAAGTCCTGGTCAACACATTTTGATTGAGGAGTGGGAGCAGCATACGGACTATCATTTTGCACTCAGTTTACTGGAGGATGACAGGAAGCAGCAGCAGATCGCGCGGCAGCAACAGCAACAGCAACAGCAACAGCAACAGCAACAGCAACAGCAACAGCAACAGCAACAAAACCAAAACCAAAACCAAAAAAGCGTCAATTGTCACCACCAAGGATCAACAAGCGGCACCAAGCGCAGTTCGCCTGCTTCCTTACATCGAGGAAAGCGCAAGAAAGCAGAGTCATCGTCATCGTCATCATCATCATCATCGTCATCTTCAGCTTCAGCTTCCTCCGCGACTCCAATTGCAAAGTTCTTTAGGCCTAAACCGAATTGAAGCTGATTGCTTTTCGCTTTTGTTTTTAGACAGCAACCTATACTTTGTAAAGTAGTAAACACATTGTAACATATTGTACATGCACATTCACATTCCAGGTAGCCACCGCAGCAGATCAAGAAGAGTGTAATGGCTATGGTTTTATTTTTTTTATTTGTAATCTGTCTTTAAAGAATGGTGCATTCACCCTTCTTTTCCTCCGGCACTTGGTCGGTTGATTTTTCGATTTCGGCAATCATCAGCTCGAATGCCCGTCCTATATAGCATGCAGAAGTGAAATGACAAGGAGTGGGGTAAAATAAAATGAATGGTTAGTGCCATGGTACCATGGGGCAAACGCAAGGAATGAACATAATTGACACAATAGACAGAATATTAATAACACGCGCGCTCATACACCGCTTCGTTCCGCGCGTGTGTACACTGTATCCGCTTTCTTCCTATTGTTTCCTTGTGGTCCTGCATCCAGCCTTCCTTCATATATATATATCGATGTTGACAACATACCGATGTTCATATTAGTCTTGGCAGAGGTCTCGCAGGAAAGACACTTCCATCGAGCGGCTAGATCCTCGCCATCCTCTCGGGTGACCTGTCTCTGTCCCTGGAGATCGGTCTTGTTGCCGACAATAACGATCGGTACCCAATCCGTGCCCGTGAAGTTCAAGATCTTGTCCCGGATAACGCCAATCATGTCAAAGCTCAGCTTGCTGGTCACAGAGTACACGAGCACGTATCCGTGTACGTCCAATGCGTGTTTTCCATTGAAAATTGAGAACTCGTCCTAATGGGAAAAAAAAGCCATTGAGGTTATGAGTTGGGCGTGGCATTGCGAAATGGACATACGATAGTGATACATAATATCGAGACATATAAAAAGTCGAGATGACAGTGCCACAGCCGAACGGCAGAACAGCATATTGCATGTATGCTGAGGCTGAAAGCAATTAACAAAAACAACAACAACAAAAAAAAAAAAAAAAAAAAACCAAGAAAAGTGTTCTGCGGAGAAAAAAGGAGGAAGCATAACAGCATCGTACCTGCCCAGCGGTGTCAATGATCTCGACCTCGTATTGTTGCCCATGATATGTAATCGGTTTTGTGAAGGTTCGTTCGATCGTAGGGAAATACGAGTCCACAAAGACGTTTTCGACAAACTGGATCACCATCGACGATTTGCCTATATGATTAAACCATAGAAACATTTAGCACCAATACAAGGCGGTGAAACAAAAAAGACACACAGACATGCATGGACAATTTTCTGTGTAGTTTTTCATTTCCGACATTGTGTATTCATTGTCTGTGTGTGCGTTCGTGCGCGTTTGTGTAGTGTCGTTGGTGTGTGCTTGTGCCCATGCTTTCTGTTTTTGCTCGTGTTCAGGGGGAGGGACAATTGAACAGGGCGCCAAGGAATCTTTTTGTTCGTCTTCCGAAAAGAACGGATCAGGGATCTACTGATCCACTGGAAACAAGCAGTCTGGCCTTCCTTTCCGATAACAACACTCACGCGCACACTATCTGACATATCGCCCAAACCAATCATAGCACCATGTGAAAAGAAGAGAAAACGAGATAGCGGGCCTTCAAAGATGTCGGTCGAAGGGATTGTCAATGTCTGGCGCTGTGTGCGGTCTGCAGTTTGTCTGCTGGAGCGATGCGGTATGTGGCAATCTGTTCCTATCGTCCAAGACAAAGACGTCGCCCTCAACATGTGCACACATACACACGATAAGAAAAAATGGACGATCTCTAGCCGTGTCGAATATCCCCGTAACCCCAGTCGCCACCAATGATAAGGGATCGATTCAAAGATTGTCAATTTCTTCACTCCATCGGGGGGTAGCATATTCTCCACTTTGCAGCTACCCAACATATGCATACATGCAGTCCAATAAAAAAGAAGTTCCTGAGGGCCAATCGAAGAGCAGGGTCGGATGCTGTTGGTTTTTTGTTCATTCGTTTTATTAGTGGAGGACAGCAAGGAATAAGCCCGTTTTTACCAACAGCGCGTGCGCCCAGGAGAGCAATGCGTCTCAGCTTTGGAGCCTTGACGGCCGTGTTTGCGATGGCTGTGCTCATGATATATGTGATCTGGGGGAGAGGGGGAGAGGGGAGTGGGGGAGTGGGGAGTGGAGAGCGAAGGTAAGAGGACGAAAGCGGAAGCGAGGGCGAACAAAGGAGGGGCTGGTGGGGGGAGGAGGGAGGAGGACGGTAAGGAGCGAAGAGGCAGAGGAAGAAAAGTGCGGTCGGTGTAAAAATAAAAAAAGAACGGCGTCACAGAATGGACCAATGGAATCAGATCTCTTTCCCCGCACGATCTGCATCGACCGCTGTCCTCGCTTTCTCGCGCACGAGCTTGTCTTCTTCTTCCTGCCTGCCTGCCCCCCTCCCCTTCTTCTGTCCGCGTCCATCTCTGGCCCTTGTCTTTGTCTTTTTCAAGAAGAGATGCATACGCCTATTGCGACAAACAGCATATTGAGAGATCCATCGGTGCGAGGAGCGGAGACACCACTAACCACCCGTACCTTCCTTCTTTTCTCGTCCATCTCCGTCTCTCCTCCTCTCAAGGGCTTTCGTTTTCCATACTGTATTCCGTTTCAATGCAGATTAAAATTTCTAACCTCTCTCACCTGCTCAATGGTCAATCGCATCTTTTGTTGTTGTCTTTTGCGCCTTTTTTTTTTTTTTTTTTTTTTTTTTAATTGTCCGTCTAAGCCTACGGCGTCGTCGCTTGCCTGCATGGCAGCAACTTTTTATTCCTCGCTGCATCATGGGAGCTCAATAAAACAAAAAGAATACTGTTGTCCTGTGGTCAGATGAAAGAAGCGGGGGGGAGAGAGAGAAAGATGTAGATCGCAAGACTAGCCGCAGCTATTGTTTCCAACATTGCAATGAATTCCTATATCTCTTCAAATGTATTCCGCATGGATCGGTCGAGGTGGGGGGGGGTTTTTTTGTCTTTTGTCCTTCAATCTTCTTTGTTCACTTCCTGAAGTTGAAAATGTGCTAATTGCTGATCCTGTCTAACGCCTCCAGAACTAGTACGCTATTTCCACGAAGAACCTATTGACGATACGAGATAAAGGTCTTATTAATATTTCTTCCTGCACCGCTAACAAAAAACAATCATAAGAAGATGAAATAAAAAGAAGGATACAAAAGAAAATACGATGCAAGTACAATATAAGAGAAAATTCAGCCTAAACTCACAACCATGCCGATCGATGTCTTGTCCGTTGGGTTGGTCTCCTCAACGGCCTCGTCTAGAACCAGGTTCATAAAGGGATCGAAGCCTCGGAGAACGCCCGTCACTTTCCTGGCACCGTTCAATTGCACAAACACACGCTTGTCCATGTATCTAAGTATCGAGTATATGAAGCACAGCAATTAGACACTGGATCAACTGAATCCCTGGCTGGTGGAGTAGTCCATGTAGATTCAATTGTATTCAGTGGCTCTTTTGGTCCGCAAAGAGAGAACAGCTCGCCCATCTAATAAAAACGACGCCGATCCCTTGTTCTTCCATGTTGAATCAAATTGTATGGCTGATCAGCTTCTTGCCCTCCTGTAGCAAAATCCTGTGCTTGCCCTTGCAGTTGAGTTCCGGTTAACGTACTTCTTGAGTTCCGGTGTTGCTGCTTTCGAGGACATGGCTTGCTTGTGGATTCTAAGGGATAGTAGACAAAGGGACGATCGCAAAACGAAGTACCTTTTTCACCGCACCGCACCTGCTCGTCCAACGTGACGTGGCCACCCAAGGACTGCTTCCAAAACACGAAACCCTACTTTTGAACGGGAGCGTGCAGCCCCACACCTCCCCGGGCTCCCGTCAAACGACCACGACCTCAACCAACACGACCGCGCTCATTTCGGCACTTACAGGGAAACCCAAAGCATAAAAGACAATGAGGCTCCTTCACCAAGCTGGACAACGCGCCTGGGGCGCCTCCCGCGCACTTTCTTCCAGAACCACCGTTCTCTCGCAATGCATTCACCACCAGCGCTCACAGATCGCCCTCAGGACCTCGACCTCTGCCTCGGAGAGACAATCTCTCAGGAACATGGCCACCGAGCAATCTAAAGGCTCGAACTACGGCTCTCAGAAACCCTTCAATGCGGCCGGCGCTTTGACTCACCACGCAGAGAAGAAGCAATGGAAGGATCTCAGCACGCCCGAGAAAGGTGCGTTTTCTTTCTATCATGTACGATCGATCGATCCGTGAGAAAACATGACTGGATATTCATATCATTTTGTCTTTATGCATGTTACTCAATCCAGTCGTAACAGCAACAAAGGCCACTACCAACTATACAGTCATCGCTGTAGGAGTCGTCCTTGTCGGTAATGTCGCTATAACGTGTTGACTGACAAGCCGATCTGTACCCTTCTCCTGATCCAGAACCTTAACGCCTTGGAAACCCAATCTCTGTTCTTCTTTGTCCACGCCCATATGCGCATTCAATAGGAGCTATCGGATACGCCATCGTCTCAGAACTCTTTGGGCCCAACAGCGACACCCACGTCTTTGGCGATGCGCTCGAAAAGGTCCGCAACAACGAAAGGCTCCAGGATGTCATTGGGTCCCCCATGAAGGGGCACGGAGAGCCCTCCTCTAGCAAAAGACGCCGGAATCGTCGTATCCAGTATGTGAAGGAATTAAGTTCACCACAACGCTATTTTCTTTGTATTTTGATTAGAACAAGAGGAGTTCCTAATGTCGTGCTTTATATGATACGATATGATAGATCGCAAGTGGTTCTGGACGCAGAGGGCAAGGAACATCTTTTGATGCGGTTTTACGTCGAGGGACCCGATAACGAGGGAACAGCACATTTGGAGATGGTCAAGGATCAGCGCAGCAATTGGGAGTACAAGTATCTCTTTGTTGATATCCCAGGTAACCGTAGAATCATGATTCAAGGCCACGAAGCATGGTGTTTCTGTACGAAAGGCAACATTAACACTGATGTCTGAATTTTCTCTTCTATAGGTGGCGTCAGAGCTGCAGAACGCGTTTTCGTTGAGTACAATAAGAATGCAGGAGTGCCTGCCATTGAACACAAGTAGAGGAATGTTTGCGGATCAAATGGATCGTCGGCCATTTATTGTCAATAAAAAGGACTCGGTCAAAATGAAGTATGTGTAAATGCGTTTGTACATGAGTAAAATCCTTATTCAAGACTTGATTATAGAGGAAGAAGAGGTACATTTGCAAAGCAACTCTCTACGGCCCCGAAGTTGATCCCGCGTTCGGTGCGGCCGTACAGCTAGGCGCCATCTGGCCTCGTACCGGCACCCCTGAGACGCCTGTAGTCTGACCAGCGTGTACAAAGCTGCCCATGTGAGGGACTTCACCTCCACCAGAGTTTGGTGGTGAATGAGACAGTAGACACATATCCCTCTCCTCTAGTCCATCATCATCTCTGTAGGGGTCCATCTCTTGATCTTGCTGTTGCAGAGCATTAGCGCTCATCAGGGGTACTTGCTGTTGCTGCTGCGTGGGTGCATAGGGGTTGTATGATCGATGCTGAGGGTACTGGTAGTTATCATGGATTGTTGATTCGCTGGCGCGGGGTACAGTCGACAGATCGATCTGGGTCTCAAAGGCTCCCTGGTTTTGGTTCTGGCTCAACAGTGTCATTCCTGAGAGTCGCGAAGCTACAGCAGCAGAGCAATCCGTCGCCATTCCAGAGCCCGAATTGGGCGGAGCCGTAGAAGCCAGGAAAGGCTTGGTGGTGCGCTTCCTGCCTCCTCCTCCTACAGCCGCTGCAGGCACTTTAGTAGGAAGTCCTCTACGCGTGTGCTTTCTCCAAAGTCGGGCGCAGATGGAAGCTAGCACGAGGATGAGAACGAATCCTGCGACAGATCCACCAATAATGGCGACGGCGTGCCTTTGAAGGAATGACTGGGTGATCACTCCAAACTGTGCTCCCCAGGTCGATGATCCAAGATCGTAAACCATCACAAATGCATTTTGTGCAGCCTTGGTCTTGGAGGTCTCAAACTCGAATCCGGACAGAGACAACAAGGTGTTGTTAGTATTGATCAGGGTATGAGAAGCACGACCAAAAGAAGAGCTGGGTCCACTAGTCCATTGCCATGTCGTGGTATCCAGGATCCAGAGGTCTTTCGCGTAAGAGTCCGTAGCCACGGTCTGTGTCGTGTTGCCGCCATGCATGTAAATCTTGTCCTCAACTATGGTTCGATCCGCCACGATATGTAAATGCTCGGTTAGCATCCCCTTAAGCCTGAGTCATGTTTTCCGGCTTCTGACCCACGAAGGGACTTACCCGTCAAAAGGGCAGCGAGACGTCTGGGCAAGGGAAAAGAGCCACCGGGGGCAGTCTACTCATATATCAAAAGATTCAAATAGAAAAAATTAGCGCCAACTTGTTAATGTATAAACAATTCGTATTCGATAACCGCAATATATCATTTATCATACCAAGTTGCGGATATTCCACTCGTTCGTGGCAATAGTGTATACCCAACAGCGGTCCATCTTGTACCACCCAGAAGCTGAGTCCACACCATCTCCGGTCAGTGCTACGCCTGTTGTCCTTCCACCTCCAATCACAATAATGGTTCCACTGTGGTAGATCGCACAACCCACGTCCACAAATGGGGCCAGCACAGTCTGTGTTGTTGGTGGAGACGTTGGCACTGTTTCATTCGTTCCATTGGTTGGAGGGAGTGGTCTCGGAGGCCGAGTTGTCAACATAGTTGTGTTCTTTGCAGACTGTGCAATATTAGCAGGAGGGTTATCTGTCGAGAAGGACCACAGTTGCATGCCCAACTGAGGATTGAAGGCGTCATAGACAAACGTATATGCCATATGATTTTGGATATCGACGACCTGCACAGGGACCGGCATATCGTCCTTGACGAGACGAGGTCCGAGAACATCGGCCGCTGTGCCTGTCTGGGACCACTGACCGCCTTGTGAATGGAATTGGACAGACCCGGAGCTGACTGTGAGAGTGTGTGAACTATTTGCGTCCTTGTCCATATTCTGCGGACACAGGGACTGACCATAGAATAGGAGTGACAATCCATCTGTTGACCCTACAGCCCACGAATTCGTACTAAGGGCAGGGGAAGGTGTGCTGCCTTGCTCGATGTTGTTCCAGGGAGCTTGTCCTGCCACCCATCCGTTTGCTGGGTCGAGATGAAGACTGTAGAGATCTGAAAAGCATTCGCCCGTGCTTGCTGACCCTGTTTTTTTTTTTTGTTACCCAGAGTACAAATATCTGTGAATATAGCAAGGGACTATTTGTGCTGACACAAACGCGTTTACAATTGAAGAAAACGAACACTTACCTCCATAAAGATAAACATCGTTTCCGATGAGGGCGATAGCTTTAGTCGCGCGCGCGGGCACGGTCTGCGGCTGGGCACAGACCACAGCAGCGAAGAGCGATAGGACGGATACATAGAGGAGAGTCATTTTTGATTTCGAAATAACCTTGTCCTGCTTGTTTGTCCTGCGGTCAAAAGTCGAAGAATGCCTTGACATACGTTGTTGTTGCTGTGTGTATGCGTAGTTTTCCTGCAGGTGGGCGAATGTACAAAGCGATAGAGGCACAGCACACGAAGGGTCGCCGATGACTTGAAGCGAGCGAAAGGGAGGGGGAGAGTATGGGGAATGGATTGGGTCGAAGAAGAAGAGGAAGGAGAAAGGCGAGTGAAGAAGGAAAGAAGGAAAGAAAGAAGGAATTGGGGGCAAGAGAAAGGGCGAGGGATAGAATGGAGAGTGATAGGGAAAAAGGAACGAAGGGAACGATAAAGGGGGCGGTAAAGTCAAGGCTGCCTAGAAACTAATAAAGCCTAAAGCTAAAAGGCTAGAAATGAGGCAAATGGGACGAAGAGCATGGGAGATCGGCCATTGGCGTATACACAGGGTGTTTAAGTGTTCAGGTGTTTATGAATGTTTGTGCACACGAAACAATCGCTTCCACACTCGCGGTCTTTTTTTAGCCCCCACTCACCCGCCACACTGCCTCAACAAAACGCCTCTTCACTCTTGACAGGACAGAGGGCATGGCAGAGCAAGACAGCACATGACATGACGAGCAATTGCTATTCTTCCACCCATCAATCGGCACTGCAAAAGACTTATGCTTATCAAATGGCATGCACAGCCTTGTCTACACACGCCTAAGGTGCAACTTCTAACTTGTCCATCAGGACAAATTTGCCATCCTCCAATGCTGATCCTTCGTAGGTCATGATGCCTGAAGCCTTAGACATTTTTGCAGGGAGGGTTCTGTATCGCCTACCCCTAGATCGAGAATAGTCAACTCCTCTCACCTCCTTGATTTCCATCATTGCTGTCTGATAAATAGAGAACCACTTTTTATTATTTATTATTGATGACTACACCAATTCATCTAACAGATCAAGCCTCGCTATCCTCTTTCATGGCTCTTTGTGCATGGTCGTCTGCATAATCCAAAATCGCCCGATCTTGCTCTAGCGTGTTTCCTTCATCCGCGAATCCTCTCTCCTGTAGCAGTTGCTAGAAAGATACCAAAAAAATAAAATAAAAGTAATTATTAGCGATCGTTAGCAATCGAGCAAGAGGAAGAAACGTTAGGAGAATATCACGATAAGCAACATCGTATTCTTCAACGCCCTTTCATTTCCTTTATCTTTCACTCACCTTGTTCAGCCGTAAACACTTTTGCAATTGTTCCTTGGCCTTCATGCACATACTCGCGCGGTCCCACCACGTCCCCGATCTGCCCAACAAACAGTCTGTCAACTCCATATTTATATCTGCACAGTTATCCAATGCTGCGTTCTGGATCGCGTGCTTCTGATGAATCGCATGCGCATTGGGCATAGGATGAGATCCAATAGGGCTCTTGGGACTGAACGCTTTCTGTGCTGTTGATTCCTCCGAAGGTGTAGAAGAAGAGCCCTGACTTGTGTTGGTATCTTTGGGTGAGGCGGATGTATGCGTTGTTCCTGTTGATGGCGTTGCCGCAGCGCCCTCTGAAGAGAAGGAAGATGTGTTCTGGCTATGACTATTGGGATCATAGGCAGGCTGGTTCTTTTGGAGGAACGAGTTCAGATCCTGCGACTGACTGAGCCCTGACATGTACTCGGACATAAACCCTGCTGGCTTTCCTGACGGTGCATTTGATCCTGTTGCTGATGAGGAGGCCATGATGTCTCTGTTTGTGTGATGTGTTCCTACTGATGTCTTGTTCCTGAAAAACGAGCTGAAGAAAGTGATTCGATCCTGCTTCCGCTCTAGTCAAGGTAGCTTAAGGGCTTTACCGCACTAAAGGGTCGAAAAGCGTCCAAAGCATTTTCCTTACGCGTCTTTACATGAATAGTTTATTACATATATTAATGTATTCATTATGGCTAAAAACATGAGACCGCCGAAGATCCCTCAAGGCACATTGCGAAAAAAATCGATCATATCGTGAGTAAACCAAATTTTCCGTGTCCTACTGCTTGCTCATCTGCTCCCACTGGTTCGTCTGCAAGGGCGTCATCTCGTGTGGACCCTGCTGCGTCGGCATAAAGATCACTCGCGTATTCGATCCCTTTGCCATATTCGTCATCGTCTCCAGATATCGGATCTGCATCGCCGCAGGAGTGTTCAGAATATCGGCAGCAGCTCTCATCAGCTTAGCACTGTCGACCTCGGCCTGAGCGCCAATAACCTTGGACTCTGCCATTCTCTTTGCTTGTGCAGCTGATGAAAGCGACTCCTGAAGTTCCTTTGAGAACGTAATATCTTTGATCAATACCGACTCGACCTTCACACCCCAATTGCGTGCAGGTGTATCAATGACTTCTTGGATCTCTTCGCCAATTGCCTCGCGGTTCTCGATCAACTCCTGAAGGACTCGCATACCGAGAATGTGTCGAAGAGTCGTTTGGGTTCTAGATGTACAAAGAATGAGTAGGATAGATGCATTGCTTAGCGATTTTTTTTTTTTTTTTTTGAATTGGCAATTAAAAAGATTGATGTGATTTGTATGTACCTTTCAATCAAGGCGGACTCTACATTACTGACTCCAAAGACGGACTGCGAAGGGTTGATAATGTGCCAATACAGGACAGAATCGATCTGGACGTTGACATTATCCTTGGTCATGATGACCTGCCGAGGAATATCCGCAATCTGGATCTTAATGTCGACCTTGGTGAGTTTTTCGGTCACTGGGTTGATCTTGGTCAAGCCCGGGTCTAGTAAGGCCATGCATTGCAGGTAACAAGCGAAACAATAAGGTGACATGGCGGAGTGAGCAAATGTACCCCATCGTACCAATGGGCCAAATTGTTAACCACTGTTGCATGCACTTACCGACAATCTTGTAAAACTTTCCAAAGCGGGAGATGAGGCCAACGTATCCTTGAGAAACGGACTGTATCCATAGAATGATACGCAACCATATCATGTTAACGAAGTGTAATTGGGGGAAGGCTTATAGGTTAATGGTGCTCATTGAAGAACACACATACCTTGTATGGGTTGGGACAGCAGAAGCAGCAAGGGATGGCTCCCATGGCGCCCATAACCTCACCAGCAGCATTCATAAGACTGCCATATACGCCGTGGTTCTCATCATCAGGAGAAAACTCTAATTAAGCATGAGATAGGGCATTGATAGAACAGAGGATTAAGTGTCGACTTTTCGGCCAGTTCCATAACATGAGATGTCTGCTAGTGCCGCAGACGAGGGCGAGTGTGATCGGAAGGCCCTCCTACCTGTAGCAAACGACCGCTGCATGTCATGTTGACCGAGGGGCTGTTGTGAGACCACTCCTGTGGAAGATGAGGGCTGTCCCTGGGAAGTGCTGTTGTTCATGTTGATTTGCTGGTTTAGAATCTTGACGAGTGATCAGAGCTGTGGATGTGAATGTTACGTGCGGAAGTGAATGAGCGAGTGAGTGAGTGGATGTGCGTGTGTGAGTGAGGAAAGGATTGAGATGAGGATGGGGCGAGATGGAGGAATCGCTTTATGCACTATATATGTCTCAAGCGCGCCCTGCGAATTGAAAATGCTGCCGAGTGCTCTCTGAACAGTCGAAAGTCGAAAGAAGGCGAGGTTGCACAGAGTCGAAACAGTCTTCCTGGTGACCACATTGTCCACCTGGATATTATAAGCGCGAGTAATGTCCCCGTGCTGTACACACATTCCTGGAAACGTGTGTGACTATGCGCGGGACCTCATCTTTGGCAATCCATTCATCTGGCATTATTAGCGTGTGTGGAGAGCGCTGACGCGAAATAAAGAAACAAATAAAGTCCAAATACCATGACAAAATAGCTAGATGCATCGGCAGGTGGCGCCTTCAGTTTTATCAATTTTATCGACAGGGACATCGGTGATGGATCGAGACCTTGGGCGCAGCACCAAACACATCAGCCATGGCTGAGTTTCCTAAAAGATATGCACCAAACGAAAAAGGCAGCCCTTCTGTTGTTTCCATTCAGATAAAACTCTGGTATCTTTAGATGGACGAGCTTGGCGTATTTTTTTTTTGGGCATCTTGATATCGCGCGTTTCCTAGTACCTATTTGTCGTGTTTTTATAACTTGTTGAAGCAGGCAAGGTTCTTTGCTCGTAAGCACAGATATGGTCTGTCTTCGTGCTTTTCATCCAAAGCCCCTGCCTGAAATGACTTTTCACTCAGCTTGTTGTACTCTTCATAAGATGGTGGTTAGTCTTGCAGCAGATGACAAGCTGTTGTTCCAATCCATTCAGGTTATACAAAAAACGAAGAAATGATAATTCTGGCTACTAAAATTTGATTTTGTATAGGCTCAATGCATCGCCTTGCTAATATCTGCCATGTTTATGCCTTCTTCTTGATCACTGCGGTCAATCTTCCTATTGCGATATCAGCGTCGATGTCCATAAGATAAAGTCCAGTCGTTAATGATGTCGCCCTATTGCTCCAATCTAAGGTCTTCCGTCTCTGGCAGGTCATGCCTGCTCGGACACATCCCCGCAGCCAACTCTCCGACGACATTCCTTTCAACCTCAGACTAGCCATTTTCCTCCTATATCGACCAAGTGCCTGATCCACTACCTGCTGTTTACTCCTCTCCTCCAGGTTATTCAATACAAGAGGGAGCTATACAAGGTATCGCGATCTTTCAATGACTCGATTCATGCACTCCAGGCTAGTAGACATCAGTAGAGTCGGATCCAGTCTTATCGACCGCTTTTCTGCGATATCGTTCAGACGCATCACAAAGCTGTCGCGCAGGTTGGGCCTAGTGTAATGTGTCCAGGGGGATCGTTCCTGACTCAGCAGTTCTGCAAATACCTCACGCTCAACCCTGAATGATAGCTAAGTTTTAAAAGTGTAAGACTGATAAAAGGGACAAGTACAGTTGCTAGAGCTTTGCGCTTTATGCCTACCATGTATATACTACTGCAATAGAGTGAATAGAAACGCTGTGCTTGCTCTTCATTATTATCATCTGTCATGAACACGACAATACTCTGACCGTTCATGATAGAGTAGGTGCTCTTGTAATACAGCTGAATGTGCCTCCACAGGTTGTAGCGTTCACCGACCCTCTTGTCGAGGCAAGAAGGGATTTTGGTCGTTTTGGACGTCGACTGGGTCCGACACTGCTGCTCGTGCTTCTCGTCTCTGCCAGGTGTCGCCATAGTCTTGGCGCCTAATACACGAGTAAAGTGGGAGCAGAAGATAGTGGGAGGAGGACCTGAGGATAAAGGTGGAAGAAGAGCTGCTAAAGTGCACAAGTACCGTTTTCTCTCGTATCACGGTCTTTTTGTGCGACCACCTTTTACACAACCGGATGATTTCAAGCGCGAACAATAGCCAATGTCGTGGAAATGGAGTAAAAGATAGGATCGCATACAGTAGACGAAGTCTGATGCTGGCTGTTTATATCAAATAGAGGACTTAAGGACGCTCATTGTCCCGTAGTAGTCTAAAGAGACGGCGTCCCTTAGTATTCTGTACCAACAACGCGACCAATCCACGTCGTTAGAGTTGTGTTGCCGTCAAATTAAAAGCGCGTTCCCTTCTGGGCTGGCAAAGGAGCCGCAGTTCGAGAGCAGGATTTGGTGAAGCGGCTCCACCTGGTCGTTATGAGTGTATAACCCAACAAACGACGCTGCATCGCCTGGAGCGCTGACGCCTATGAGCAGGATGGATCATCATTCCGACGAACCTGGTCGAACCTTCACCCAGTAATAGCGAGTTGGCTAAGCAGGCCTGCTGGTCAATAACAATGTATAAAAATTGGTGGCAAAAACTGTGAAGGAGCAGGGACGTTTCAGACTCCAGATACCATTACAAACGGGCCCCCCTGATGTCTTACTGGGAGAACTCAGCTCTTCTGCACCATTTTGTACTATGGACTCCCCGGATGAGTAGATTACAAAATGGCGCCAGGACACTGGTTTACTACACAGCAATAGGACATGTGCCTCGTCCAAAAAATGCGTTCAAAGTTGGAACTGTGCTCTCCATCACCACCGGAAATGAGAAACAGATACAGCAGCACACTTTCCCTCTGGAGCCTTTTCTGCAAGACCCTTTCCAGGCATAGCATCTCCTGCCTGCATGCTTGTATATGCGGCGCACCTTGGGGCCCTTGCGAAGAAGCAAACTTCCAGGGTGTTATGCCAGTCGTACCATTTTCAAAGGCAATTGGGTGTTACTAACAGGCTATTGGAGGTCGGGGCCTACAATTTACATCGTCCACTGACTGTGCGCCAAACGATCGGGTGGTTATGGCTGCTGGAACAATTTTTCTGAGGAGAGCGATTGCTGTTGGAGGGTGGAAGGTGCTCTTGACCCATGCCGCCCACACCTCGTTCCTTCCCACAACTCCCCTCCATCTCTTGCCCATGAGTTCATCGCCACGCTCCTTCACCTTCTCGGCCTCCAGTGGCACGCCCACGCCCACCACCCCGACCTTCGACCTTCACTCCTACCCCAACGCAGCATCCTACTATGAAGTCCTCAGACAGTGGGACGACGAGAGCATCGCTGTCTGGCTGCACGACAACAAGATAAGCCAGTACGACAAGCTGTTTGTCGGTAAGGGCCATGGCCATGAGCACCCACATTCAAGATGGCATTGCACCTCATCGAAGTAAACCGGTGCTTTCTTGTCTGTCTAATAGCCTGCTCTGTACTTCTCTAGAACACTGCGTCCGAGGAGCCGCCCTTCTGGAACTTGATCACTATGCCCTCAAGGAGATGGGCATCTCTCAGCTCGCAGACAGAATTAGAATACTGACCGCCGTCAAGGCACTGCGCGTTCGCTGTCTCGCTGTTCACCCGCACACTAATGGCAACAGTAACAACAGCAGCGGCCATTATCACAGCTCTAACAAGGTATCGGACGAGAAGGCACTCCACACCGCATACCGAATCGCTAGCCTGTCCTCCATATTCTCTAACATGAACCCGCCTCTTTCCCCCCTGCCTGTTTTACCATATGTTTTACTCTGCCCTAACTTGTAGGAGAAGTTGGAGGTGCCGCCGATGAACAAGAAGGAATCAAGTGGACTCAGTTTGGGAGGCGATGGTTCCTTCCTAAAGTCCTTGAAGAGGTCTGGGTCTTCAAAAGCCCTGAATTTGAAGCGTGCCAACTCAAAGTCGCTGGCCAGATCCAATTCCAAGAAGCAGACCCAGTTTGAAGAACCCACTTCCCCGAGAACACCGGTAAGCATCGAGCGCCAGCAGCAAGTCAGGTTGTTGTTGAAACACAAAAGGTGTGGGAGTGGCGCGCTGACTCATGTTTGATTCCTCTAGAGATCCTCGCATGAAGGTGGTATCATGTCTCTGGAGTCTGTCAAACATGTACGCTGAAAGCATTTATCGGTCGCTAGTTCCTTCGCCCATGGATGGCACGCATACTGAAGACGACTCACTTACACCTTGTATACATTCACTTAATAGCGCTGCATTAGGGTTTTTGATGATGGAGGTCAATGCAGTATTGTGAACGTTCACAATGTTACCGACGCAGGAGGAATCTACACACGGGTGCTTCACAAATTCAACATCACAGACGAGATGGAAAAATATTCCATCTTTACCCTCTCTGGCGAGACGGGCGATGGTACGTGTATCAGAAAGGGCGCAGCGTCAGGCACGGATATTCATCAATGGGTGGCCTTTTAACGCTTTTATCTTTGTATTCATTGCAATCAGCGCGGAGCCTGGCGGACGACGAGCTGCTTAATATCTGCAAAAGTCTGGATAGACCAGAGAAGGAGCGATTGATCCTGCGCAAGAAGCACCAGCCAGTCAGCCACGATATCCTCAAGCGACGTGGGACAGCAAAGAGGCCAGACAGAGGGGAGCTCGCTTCGCCCACGGCAAACTCCTTCAAAGAATCATCACGTATGCAAACATTCTTTGGACAACGTCCACCGGACGAGATTATTGAAAGTAACTTGGCAGAGTACTTTCCTGGACACCGCAAGGAACTGTTGCGGGAAGTCAGCAATGTCCGCAACTCGCTTCTGTTCAGGAATTCACAGTTTATGAGCCGCAATTCCTTCATCAGTCGCAATTCATTTATTCCTCGCCATTCATATTTGATTGAACCTGGTGCGGCTGATGTCCTCTCTCAATCCTTGGCTCATCTCTCTCTGCAAGAAGCAGAGGAAGCAGAGGAATCGGAAACCGTCGCAACTGCAGATGGTGCTACTCCTGGTGATAAGCATTCCCTTCATGAGAGCGATGACCAAGAGACAGAGCAGGATCGTGGATATAGTTATGGCCATGACAACGTGCAGAAGCAGTCGTCTGGACAAGCAAGAGATGACTTGCAGACTAAAGATAGTACTGGAGAACGGGACAGTAAGGAAGACAGCATGAAAGAGGTCAAAAAGGCTGTTATGAACGACGAACCAGTATCTACTACCAGTACAGTTCCAGGAGTTATTGTCTCGGATCACACCAGCGGAGTAGCAGATTCCATATCGAGCCCAGCACCCGTTTCCGATCTTCCTTCAAAACGAGCCATGGCAGCACGCATGTCGCGGGTTTCACTTGCAAGCCAGAGATATCACAGCTCATCATTGAACCGACAATCGTCAGCCGGGTCGATATCGTCGTTCTCTGCAGCCGCGCCCAGGGTATGGTCCAGTCCTACGTCCGAGTCTGAGATTATACCAAGGCCCCGGCAGAATGCGCTCTCGGACCTGAAGCAGCGTGGTGCCTCGGAGGGTGGTGGACGTACGGCCAGGGATGTCGCGGGCGTCGTTCCTTTGGAGAACGATTATTCATGGTGGATTCGTGGCAAGTTCATTGGCGTTGGCTCGTTTGGGCGAGTGTCGCTAGGATGGCACAGGCAGCTGGGAACGTTCATGGCTGTCAAGCAGGTCGAGTTGCCTGTCAATAAGTCTTACAAGGAGGACAAGCAAAAGATCCTGGTCGAAGCACTGGAGAGAGAAATCGATTTGCTCAAGGAGCTCCACCATGAACGAATTGTGCGATACATTGGTTCGGATATTGAAAAGGGACACATTAACATTTTCCTGGAGTATGTGGCTGGAGGATCCATCGCCACACTGCTGTCCGACTACGGTCCTTTCTCAGAGATCCTGGTCCGGTCGTTTGTGAAGCAGATCCTGGAAGGTCTCGATTACCTCCACGAATGCGACATTATCCATCGTGATATCAAGGGAGCCAACGTCCTTGTCGACGTCAATAGCTGCATCAAGATTTCTGATTTCGGTATTTCGAAGAAAGTCGAGGACCGTAAGTTACCATTGACGATCTGTTATTCTTATCTGAGTATGGTACTCAAGATGGGCATATATTCATTAACATAAGGAATGCTCTACTATTAGATCTCAAGTCCATCCAAGTCAAGCCATCACGGCCTTCGCTGCAAGGTTCAACCTTCTGGATGGCTCCGGAAGTGGTCAAGCAGATCGAGACGACATACAAGGCTGATATCTGGAGTCTTGGCTGTCTCGTTGTCGAGATGTTCACAGGCACGCATCCGTTCCCACAGTTCTCGCAGATGCAGGCGCTTTTCCAGATCGGTTCGAACTGTACGCCCGATATTCCCGAGGACATTTCTGACGACGCCAAAGACTTTCTCAAGCGCACCTTTGAGGTGTAAGTGTTCTATTTTTTGTTTGTCTTGTTCGCCGAAAGTATGAGACTGAATGCTGAAGATACTGATACTGGCGGTGACTTTGCTTCGTTTCTATAGGGACTATCATGTACGACCTTCGGCGAGGATTCTCCTGGGACACCTATTCATCCAGCAGCTGTCATAGATGTTGCAGCTGTGTAATAAATATGTATTGTTCACAATTCATCTCAATGACGCGTCTTGGTAAACTTGGTAAAATAACCTGTGCCGAATGTATTACGTGAACCCATTCCAGCCCGCAACCTCAACCGCCATTCACCTTACCATGGACCAGCAACACCATCAGAAACGGCACCGGATGCAAGTCGACCAGGCGGGACAACAGAATTCACATGCAGAGTCAGGGGAGAGTCAGAGTAATGCACAGCCTTTCCGATTCGAGGACTTACCGGTTGAGGTCCAACTCCAAGTTGTACAACGTATCCCCACTGACCCAGAACTGCTGCAGCTTCGACTGGTGTCTTCAGGGATAGATGCCCTGGTACTGGAGCCAGTATTCTGGTGCGAGATCGCCTTCTCGAAGCGGCTCTGCTTTAAGGCCGGCCACGGGCCGAGATCTCATCGCACAGCCATGGGCACCAGTAGCACAGACCGTGGGTCATCTATAGGATCACTCTTTTATCATAATTCTGATGCCAATATCATGGTGCATCGGCAGTCGTGGGCGGCCTCGATGATGCAGCATCCTACGGTCAGAGATATGATATCGCCGACAGAACCCTCTCTGACGATCACGGCCAATATGCCAGGAATTCTACATTCAGGACCTCTTCGGTTGGCTTCAGAAAGAACCCATCCGTCCGCACCTTTGGAGGGATTGTCGCCGTCCTGGTCAAGCATTGAGGATTCATTTCTGATGTTCATATCCCGTCTTTCTTCCAGGGCCAGGGCAGCCCATGGAATCCACAGGATCAGTGTCGAGGATTGGGAAGGAGAAGCTACGATGGCGCCTTTGTGGATCGCATTCCAGGCGTTCGATACTCTGACAGATCTATCGATCAGGAACTCGGTCCTCAAAGAGCTAAAGCCAGCAACTCTTTCTTCGGATGTCTGCGCGCCAGCATGCTATTGGGAACAGTTAACTCGTCTGGATTTAACAGGATGTAGACAACTATGCAACCTCTCCGGGATCCTTCAATGGATGCCACACCTGCAGGATCTCAGTCTCGTGGAGTGTTCAGAACTCTTGGATTTCACGCCCCTGACCCGTCCTGGACCGACTGATGATAGTAATAGGGACCTGGAGTATCGAAGGATTAATCTGACACAAACAAAGATCCATGACGCGGAGCTTATCGAACTGTTGAAACGATCGCCACACCTCCAGGAACTGCGGCTTGACCAGTGCTATGAACTCACAGACGCATCGATAGTGACCATCGGTCGCGGAAGCCAAGAATCCGCAGCATCAACATTAACATCAATACCAGAGGGGCCTATAGCTGGTAAGAGTCAAGCAGATGCGGACATGATGGTTAACGATCAAGATCAGGACCAGAGCAAGACGGTATCGACCAGCTCGTACTGCCCAGCACTGAAAGTCCTGTCGCTCAAGAACTGTTACGACCTAGGAGAAGAAGGTGTACGGGCTTTAGCAGGATGTCGTCAACTTGAATTGTTGATAGTCCGAGGTCTGCGAGGTGTCAACGAGCAGACAATTGAGTGGCTGCATGCTCAGGGAGTTCCGCTTCGGAAGGCGTTGAGTCCACTGGGCCAGTGGAGGCATTGGAGTTTTTAGTTTTATTATGATAGACTTGACTGCACTATATAAAAAGCGGAAATGCAGTTGTATGGGCATTGCCGGGGAATAAAAAGAAATGCAAAGAAAGATGATGGAGGAGAAATTGGACTCTTTGAGAGGTCATAAATAAATGATTAAAGAAAAGGCATTATTGAACAGGATGGGAAGGAGTAGGAGAAAAAATGAGAAAATGGGTGCGATGTCGTGAGCACGACCCTCCCATGAGATGCGAGAAGGCCTCCTAGGACCATGAGACGCCCTTATAAGATGACATCCATGGTTACGCGCTAGTTCCACATGTTGTCCGGCTAGTTAATGGCGATTCCTCATTACCCAGGATCAATAAAATCTGATATCCAGATTACTCGCGGTCCTCGTCCTGGTCGTCACCCTTGCCCAAAAGGTCGAACGAATTGGCAACAACAGGTTTGGGGACCTCATGAATCGCTGGACCAAACTTCTTGGGCTCCTGCTGCTGCTGTAGCCGCTTCGCAGCCTCGCGTGCCCTCCATCCACCGCTAGGTGCACCAAAGAGTGGGGGACGAACAGGTTCAGGGGCCGAGGGCTCTTCCTTTTGTCCAGGACGCTTCTTGATCGCAAAGCCCTCGCTATCAACCTCGACTCCCTTGTTGTTAGCGTGGGATGACCTTTGTTGCTGGTATTGGGCAGCCTTGCGAGCACGGTAGGCCTCTTCATCGCGGTGGTACTGAGTCTTGAAATAGTAGTCCTCCTTTTGCCAGCGCGGAGCCTGAAGGTTCTCTGGTTTCTCGACTTTATCCAGGCGCTGCATGATCTCACGGACGGCCTCATCCGAATACTCGGATGTGAGCTGGGGCTCGATTCGCAAGATCCTGGAGAAGCCCTCAAAGTAGGTGGGCAATGTCATCATATCCAGAAACCTGAAGAGGACATCGACTCCGTTCTGACCATCGACCTGGGTCGGGTGGTTGGAGCGGGCGAGAATACGTTTCTTGCAGTCATAGAATTCCGTGTCCATGATGATGACATCAACCTCGGGAACGTTCAATTGCCTGGCGATCCCGACCCAGACCTTGCGTTGGTCCTGATCAAAGTTGCAACGGTCGATGACGACGGATTGGGTCCTATTGTTGGCCTGGAGAGCGCTCATGGTCAGGGCCTCACAGGCGGCTCTGTCGCCGAGGTCGTCCTGGTTGATCCGGACGTATTCCTAGATACAAGCGTTAGATGGCATTAGCTGGAATACAATGAGAGAGAATGCAGAGGAAGTATATAGCAGAAAGTCAAATTTGACAAAAAAGAGTAGGTGTGAGAGTGAGCATTTACAGGAAAGGCCTTGGTCAAGGCCTTGGCGAAGGTTGACTTTCCGGAGCCGGGGGGTCCGACGAGGAGAAGGACCTTCTGGGCGGCAGTGGATGCAGACATGGCGAGGGAGGAGGAATGTCACTTGGACTGGAGGATTCAAAAGATCGATCAAGTGGGGGAACACAACTAGGGAACATAGGTCCTGCTTGACCTTTGTAAGCAGAAAAGATAAATAACAAGTTTGGCTAAGCATATTCTAATTAAAGAGGTTTGTCGCCACCAAAGCACATTGTCCACACTATTGATATGTTGATGGCTGGTCATTGACGGGGCACAGCCCATGTCATTGCTGATGACATCTACGAGGGATGTTCATACTAGATTTACATAAATTGGCAATGGCACATGGCCCAATATCTATTCTTCATACAAGAACCAAATGAAGATGACAAAGCGAGACCAGGGTGTGGGCTTGACTAGGATGCATGCATACGTTGCTACGACTGGAATGGAAAACAAGGCCCCATGTCTTCATATTCAAACACTTTACTGTGCATGCCAAATCAAGTCCGGGATCGTTTACTTTACCGCGCACTTTGCTGTTGTGGATGCCATGTGTACGAGCTCAATTGTGCTATGCTTACTCCCCTCCGCTGTATCCCCACCTCCCCCACATTGTCTCCACAATTAAAATAAAATAAAAAAGCGTGTTTCATTTCAGGGCGGACAAAGCCAGGAAATGAAGTGCCATGCGGATCTTCTCCACATGGATGGCTATCTTTTCTTTCTTTTTTTCTCCGGGGATGCTCAGCATGTCGGTCGGAGTGGTCTTGGTGGGAAACAGCGACTAAGAGGTAGCCTATGTCATAGGGACAACGATTATGCCCCGCTGCGTGGCGACACTTGCTTTTTTTCTCGACCCAACGGCGCTTAGGAAGAGAAGTTTAGTCAAACGGGCAACCTCAATAAGGCAATTGCTTCCGAAGTCGAGCACTGCGAGGAGAAAGAAGAAAGGGCCCGCCCCATTGACGACTGAACCTAGGGCCGCGTGTGGGTCGTACAGGAGAGCATACAAATGGAGAGCAGCCAGGGAAATAAGGAAAGTGCCCCGTCTTTTCTTATCGCACTCGGGATCTTGGTCTAGGAACAGAAAGATGACGATGGCACAGATAGACCATGCAGGTGCCTGTGTTTTGTAATACTATAATGGATTTCATATGATGATCGTAATGCGGGGTACCTCATCCTCATCCTCATCCTCATCCTCAGTCAGCCCTTCCTCTCGCGCGCGCGACATGTTTCATCCCCCCCCTCCGTTTCTTTCTCGCGCCAACCCCTCTCTCGATCTCGGCCTCCACCCAACCCTGGCCTTCTTTCATATTTCTTGGTTCCTTTTCTTCGTCTTTTTTTCCGTTTCTTCTTTCTCCACGCTCCGCTCCTCGTCTTTTCTTTTTTTCCTTCTCCTCCACTCCCCACTCTTCAATCCACTCCCCACTCTCTTTCTCACACCTTTGCATTTCTCTCTCCCCACTCTTCAATCCCTACTCCTTCTGTACATATCACTGTTCATCTCTTCTGTTGCTCTTGCCTGTCTGCACACTCCCCGCTTCTCTCCCCACTCTCTCTCTCTCTCTCTCTCTCTTTTTCTCCTTCACTACCATGCCTCCCCATAACAACCTCAATCGCCCATCCATGATCTCGTTGCTCGCAACCAGCCCTCTTCCGAACCTCAACAAGTCCGCAGAAAACTCTCCAGCGGCTTCGCCTGTGCTCTCGCCCATCCAATGCCCCATTGAAGTGGCCCCGATCGTCTCTGTCATGGACAAGGGTCAGGCCGAGCTCCCCTCGCTGCCCATCCCCCCTCTGGACCAGACCCTCGATCGATACCTCGACTCTGTCCGTCCCCTCGTTACCGATCAGGAGTACGAGCAGACCGTCGCCGCAGTCAAGGCATTCAAGGGCGATGCCCAGGAGCAGGGCTCAGCTCAAGGAAGGGATCTGGATCGTCGTCTGAGGGAACATGCCAAGGCATGTGAAGCACGCGGCACCAGCTGGCTGGCGGAGTGGTGGGACGACTGGGCGTATTTCTCGCACAGGGATTCTTCCACGTTTTTTGTCAATTACTACTTTGGTTTCCAGGACGATCCCCGCATGCCGACGCAGACTGCGCGAGCTGCACTATTGGTCAGTCTTGCCCTCGAGTTCCGCCAGCTCATTGCAACGTAAGTCACATATTGTTATCGCAATGTGATGGACAAACCAAGAATGGCGGGAGTGCACTATGGAGATTTAAAGATGGGACATGGACGTCCACATCTACGCAGCAGGGCAATTTAATGCATGTGCCAGACAAGCTGGGCGTGTAATCATGGCGGTGCTCTTATAATTTTTGCCACTGCACGCGCATATGTCCTATTTTGGATTTCCGGCCGCGTTTGATCGCCCATCACGCTTTTGAATACCATATCGGTTTGCGTAATCAGCAGTATACTAACGGGTCTCTTCGAACCTTCGTGCACATCCATGTAGGCGCACGCTGACCCCAGACATGGCCAGGAACGCGCCCTTCTGCATGAACATGTATCAGTTTCTCTTTAACAACTCCCGTATCGCTGGCTCCCCCACAGACAAGGCTGTTGGCTTCCCCTATGAGACCAACAACCACATCTGTGTCGTCCGCAATGGCAAGTTCTACATCTTTGAGACCCTGCATCTGCCCTCGAAGCCGTCCTCGGTCCTCAGCCCACGCGAGATTATGATCCAGTTGGAGCGCATCAAAAAGATGGCCGATGACGATCACTCGACCGTGCCCGAGATTGGTATTCTCTCGACAGGTCAGCGCGACCAGGCTGCCAAGGACCGTGTCACTCTCTTCGAGGCCCATGCCACCAACAAGGCCCATATGGCCAAGATCGAGTCCTCGATGTTTGTCCTTTGCTTGGACTCGACCTCGCCCTCGACCTCCGAAGATTTCTCGCGTGCCTGCTGGCATGGCGACGGGGCCAGCCGATGGTTCGACAAGTGCTTCCAGCTGATCGTCTTTGCGAATGGTCGTGCAGGCATGAACGGAGAGCACTCCAAGATGGATGCAACCCCGACCTCGCGTCTTTGCCGGTTCATGATTGACGAGGCCCAGGCTCGCAGCCTTCCTGATTTCCGAAATCTAAATGCCGAGGACCTGTACGAATGTGCCTCTGCACTGGACAAGCCTGAGCCGCTCAAGTTTGCGTCGAGCGAGGCCCTTGACAAGGCCATTGAAGATGCGCATGCGTATTTCAAGGCGACGGTGGAGGCCCACGAGATGGTTCCGACAGAGTTCAAGGGATATGGCAAGGGTCTGATCAAGGCCTTCAAGATGTCGCCGGATGCGTATGTGCAAATGGCCCTCCAGCTGGCGTATTACCGTAAACACGGCGAATTGGTGGCGACGTACGAATCTGCGGCGACACGCAAGTACCGCCATGGTCGCACAGAGACTGCGCGCTCGTGTTCCAAGGAGAGCAAGGCCTTTTGTGAGGCAATGGATAACCCGGAGATGGGTCTGAAGGCCAGGGCTGCAGCGTGCCGTGCAGCAGTGGCTCGACATGCGCAGTACACCGCCTGGGCAGTCGATGGACAGGCGATCGACCGTCATTTGCTGGGTCTGCGATTGATCCGCAAACCGGAGGAGCCAGTACCGGCCATGTTTGAGGATCCGGTATTTTCTCGATCATGCCGGTGGAGACTGTCGACTTCACAGATCTCGGACGATTGTTTTATTGCATACGGATGGGGCGAGGTGGTTCCTGATGGGTACGGATGTGCGTACATGGTGAAGGAGGCTGAGCTAGACTTCTGTATCACGAGTCTAAAGCTGGGATCCAAAGAATTTGGACAGTACATTGTGGATGCGTTGGAGGAGATGCGGTTTACGTTTGAGGAGGTCCGCAAGATCGAGAAGGCCGAGGCAGCCGAGGCAGCACTGGCAGCGGCAGCAGCGGCAGCGGCAGCAAAGGCGGCCGCTGCTGCAGCCGAGGCAGAACGTGCTCAGGCTGAGGCAGAGCGCAGGTCGAGCGAAGAGACGGTCCCAACAGCAGAGGGCGCTGGGGCGATGATTTCGCGTAGCCCGACTCCACCTTCGCCATCGAAGCCTGCGCCGAGAACGAGTCTGTTCTTCCAGAAGCATGACCCGGTTCTGCGAACGGCAATGGCGCGGAATGCGATGGCGGCAGCACAAGAGAAGTACTGGTCGGGGATTGAGGAGATTGCGTTTGATGATGGTATACTGGGATCGCCCAAGGCCAAGACCAGCCGTCCCCTCTTACCGCTGAACGCGAGCGCCTCTGGGTCGATGTTGTCGCATTCATCGTCGTCTTCTTCGCTGATGTCATTAAATACTATCAATAGCAACCGCAATGGCAATGGGACACGATCGAGATCGTCGAGCCAGCAGAACGGGTTGCGACCGAGGAGCGATTCGGGGGCACAGAAGAAGACGTTCTTGGCAATCCTCATGGGCGAGGATAGTGTCCTTCGCAGGCTCCGGACCCGCCGGGGCACAGTCCTCAACGGCAGGAACATCTCGCCCGGTTCGCCTACATCGCCTTCAGGTCATACTCCTTCGTCGCCTACATCGCCTTCGAGCCGCGCTCCTTTGCCCTGATCGAAGATGCAGAGGTCTCTGTTTCAGACCAATGCAACAACAACCCACTCATTTTTGACTTCATATCCGTATTCGTCTTCATATTCGTCTTCATATTCATATATATTTCATATTCACATATATTTCCATGTTCATATTCGTATTCAGATTGACAGATTTCACACAACAGCAGCAAGAGCGAATAAAATAAGTTTGTTTGCTTAATAAGGGGGTTATTGAGAGCCTAGGGGTCGCTGATTAGCACGTACAGATGGGTCCTTTGTGTGTACGTTATGGTGTCGTGGCAAGCCCCAGGTCAAGGTGGGGACCACAGACTTGCTGATGCCCCCCGCCCCCCAATACAAATAGCCATCATGTTACATGGGCAGAAAGGGGGAGGAGCGAGACCAAGCAAGGCAGTCTGCACAGCATGTATACCCATAGATACCATCCATGCCTGTGTATAGCATGTCAATAGACATGGTCTATGGTGGTCTGTGGTCTCTGGTCTATGGGCAAGGGCATGGGCATGGGCAGTATGGTATATGGTACACATCCCTTTCTTTCTTTCTTCCTCTCCTCCTCTCCCCTTTGGCTGTCTGCTGCTGTGTCTTTCTTCTGAGTCTTTCCTTTCTTTCTTCCTTTCTTTCTTTCTTTCTTTCCTTCCTTCTCTTTCTTTCATCCACCATTGGCCACCAATACCATCGAGCCCATCGCCCACCGACCATCCACTCGATCCTCCTTTGTAACCCTTTGCAAGGGGACCAATCCTTCTTCTCCCTCTCCTTCTTCTGTCTTCTTTCTTTCTTTCGTCCTTTCGTCCTTTCGTCCTTTCCTCTCTTTATCTTTGTCTTATTTCATCCGCTGTCGTCGTCGTGTCGTTGTCATCAGCCCATTAAATCCCATCAATTCCCATCCATTCCTTCCCCCATCCATTCCATCTTCCTCTTCTTCCTTCCCTCCTTCTCTTGTCCCTCTCCATCGCCTGCCGCCTCTGCCCTTTTTCTTGTTCATCCTCTGCGACTGAACACGAGCCTGATTCGCTCCCAGCCTTAGCCTTAGCCTTGGCTTTGATTTTGATTTTGATTTAGTTTTTGATTTGATTTCTTTTGATTCGATTGTACACGCGTGTCTTTCTTTCTTTCGTCTGTATCTTTCGACTTGCCTCTGCTTCTCTTTTTTACCCCTCCTTGTCCTGTCCTCCCACAAACAAACAGACAGGAGAATAAAAAAAGGGTCAATAAACAACAGGAAACCATCCATTGACCCCATTGCCTCCTCCCCCCTTCCCTCTCAGGTCTAATCCCGGCTCACCACCATGGATCCGACCACTGCCACTGCCGCAGCTGGCACCGCAACTTCGTCTTCAAGTGCAACTGCTGCCGGCAGCTTCGGTAACAATACGAGTAACAACCCCAACCTCCATGGACCAATGCCCACTATCACGACCACCTCCGCAGACCTGGCCTCCTCTATCCCTTCCTTCGCTGCTGCCCGCCGTGCAAGAGCCGACACCCTGCCCTCAAGACCCTCTCCCTTCCTCCAAGATGCCTCTGGTTCACCCCAGGGCATGGCCAGCCCCGGTGCCTTCCCCCTCGGCAAGATCCCTCCCGGCGTACAAAGACCCCTCCGGCGCACTCCCTCGCTCCTTGTCCCCCCGCAATTGTCTACACGTCATCGATCCGGGTCCCTGACCCTGCCCTCTGCTTCCATATCTGCTGCATTCGGCCCATCCATCTTCACTTCCTCTTGGGGTGACCCCGGCTCGCCCGGAGGCGACCGTCCTGCCACCACACCGACCACACGCGAGATGCTTTTTGACTCTGAAAACGAAAACGCCATCATGAGTACGCTCGATGCCCTTGGTCTCGATGATCCCGTCCAGTCTGCCAACACCAACACCAACACGAGCGGCGCTGTTGGCAGCGGCAAGATTACCAGCAGCAACACCGTAAACAGCCTTAATGGCACCATCCCCTCTGGTATCAGCACAAACCATCGTGTTGGCGTCGACCTGCGCAGTCGATCTGCCTCCTTTGCATCCTCTGCTCTCTCACACCTCGAGTTCAACGCCTCGCGGGGCTCTGCCGTCACAACATCCTCACCCCTAGCACTTGGCAGCATCAACAGCCGGAGCAGCAGTAATCTCAGTAGTCTTAACAACATCTCCGGTATCAATGGCATGAGTGGCCTGGGCAGTATCAACGGCATTAGCGGCAGCAGTAACAACAACAGTAGCAGCAACAGTAGCAGCAACAACAGCATCAATACCAACAGCAGCAACTCTAGCAGCAGCGGTAGTAACACCACTGGCCCTGGACTTTCCACGCTCGATATGCGACTGGAAAAATCCCTTGCGCACTCGCTGTTGATGCCCAACAGTGTCAGTTTTGCCAACCGGATCCGATCATACTCTGTCTCTGCCACAGCGGCCTACGAGGTCCTTGAAGACGAGCATGAGGACGATATTGGTCACTTAACCTCGAGCTCCCCTTCCTCAGGATCCTCAGGCATGTACCCGACCGGAGCCGGCGGTGTACACCAGTTCCAGACTTTCCAGCAGACACATTCGCGACCTAGAGCCATCAGCATGGGCTTCCTAGAGATTCCACATGATATTGCGGATGAGCAGCGCAAGTTTGCAAGTGCAGGTCCCCGCAGCTACAGCGATATGAAGGCTCGTCAGACACACCAGCGCACCACTAGTGCGGGCGCTGATATGCTTTCAGAGATCGTCAATGGCCACCCGACAGCAGCGGCAACAACAACAACGACAGATATGAATGCCCTAACGAACGGTACTGCTTCTGGTGGCGAGCGTAGTGGTGTCACCCATGGACACTCACATTCTCTTTCGCTCAGCTATAACAACCAGCTTCACACACCGCAGCAAATACAACAGCAGCAACATCATGCACAGCCTCAACGGCCTGGACACCAACACAGCAATAGCTTTGGTGGGCGTAGTCTTGCGGACGAGCATGGTCATGGCAGCAATGGTTCCAGCCACAGTCTCTCAAACGGAATGGATCCCCACCAGGTATGAGACACATCCCCTGATTTTATTATTATTATGCAACGCAAAAGTGGAGAACAGCCATTATCCTCTTGACCTCAACGCGCGCCCCCTGCGCGCGGGACGGGATGTCTGTATTCGGGATGCGGAGGGACAAAATGACCACGGGAAAATTTTCATTTTATTTTTTATGACGAGGAACTAAAAACGATGATGGTGTGTTTCATCACTATCTCCTCCGTAACTCTCGTTGATATGCCACAACCTTAACCCCGGCAAGAAGTACATACCCGTGGGAGCTGGATCTTTTTTTTATCTTTCTGTCTTTCTATTTTTCGCGTTTGATGGGCCGCATGAAAAGCGGAATTGGACAGAAATGAAAGAGAGTGAACCTAATGCCTTTTTTTATATAAAAAAAATATCGTTCCTGTAGGACAATCAAGGTGTGAATGGCACGGCGACCCCGCCTTTCCAGGATCAGCCTGGGCCGTCGACAAGCGTCACCCAGCAGATCCCCACGCGTTCCCTCTGGATCGGAAACATTGACCCTAACTTCACAAACAACGACCTGATGCAGGTATTCAGTCCTTTCGGCCCTGTTGAGTCCTTGAAGGTCATCCCAGACAAGGAGTGCGCCTTCATCAACTTTACACGCGTCGAGGATGCCATGAGGGCCAAGGAGGACATTTCAGAACGACGAGGGGGCCGTATCGGTAACACCACTGTCCGAGTTGGCTATGGTAAAGCTGAGCTCATGGTCAACAGTGATGCCCCCGTCTTGCATCCTACACGCGCTCTCTGTAAGTGTGAACCCCGTCTTATCTTTTTTATTTGCAGGGATGATCTACCTATTTGCATGGCACTCGTCGCTCTTACTGACGCACTCATGTTCTTTATTTTCCTTTGTATGATATACTCTAACATTCATGTCATATAGGGATTGGAAATATCCCATCAACCACAACGCCGGCGGCACTGCACGCAATGTTCAACCATTTTGGACCCATCGAGTCTGCTCGAGTCTTGACCCACAAGTCGTGCGGCTTCATCAACTTTGAAAACATGGAGGACGCAGTCGTTGCAAAGAAGGTCATGCATGGCCAAGAGATCTTTGGACCCGGCACAGGCGCTGTCAGGATCGGCTTTGCAAAGGTGCCCGCCAAACAGTCCCCCAGTGACAGTCCCTCGCCAGGCCATGGAGATCCTATGGACGTAAACGGAGACCTCAGATCGAACACCTCGCTCAACAAGTTGACAAAGCCGGACTTTGAAGGACCCACGGAGTTGGATCGAATGCTTTCCTTAGTGAACATGAGCAACAAGGGACAAGCTGCCCTTGGCACGCCTGACCGAGAAGCTACCGCTGAGGACCCAGTCATGGAGCGACAGGCCATGTTGCGCGAGTTCAGTGCTGATGGAGAGCCAGAGTCGAGCACAGAACCCGTCCCTGCTTGCCTGACAGAGCCTATCGCTTACTTCACCTCGATCCCTCCTGTGGCAGAGCCGTCGCCTCATCGTCGTCTTGATGCGCCACGACTTCGAGAGATCCGGAAACGACTCGACAGCGGACACTGCACACAAAAGGAACTGGATAGCCTTTCGAATGAATGCATGGACGAGTGTGTCGAGCTCTGTAGTGGTAAGTGAAACGAACCTGCATGCAAAACCTGAGGACAACTGTTGCATTGGTGACCTGGATCTAGATCATGTCACTGACTTTATTCATCTCTTTTGCCTCCTTTTATCGTATGGCGCTCGTAGACTATATTGGCAATACGGTGATGCAAAAGCTGTTTGAACGATGCTCCGAGTCCCAGAAGACAAAGATGCTTGAGTTGATTGCACCACACTTGGCCTCGATCGGTGTCCACAAGAACGGTACTTGGGCCGCCCAAAAGATCATTGACTGTGCTAAGAGCCCTGCGCAGACAGAGCTCATCTGCAAGCATGTCCGTCCGTACACTCCACCACTCCTTCTCGATCAGTTTGGAAACTATGTTGTTCAGTGCTGCCTGCGTCTGGGACCGTCGAGAAATAGCTTCATCTTTGAATCAATGGCGGACAAGTTTTGGGAGATTGCTCAAGGTCGCTTTGGAGCCCGCGCCATGAGGGCATCGCTGGAGAGCCAGCATGCCAGCAAGAACCAGCAGGTACATATACGATAAAGCCAACAAGGGCTACCATGGGAGCTATCGAGGGCTGTGGAGGGTTGCTCCCTAACAATCTAACAATCTAACAATCTTTTTCGATTTGCTGTTATGAATCGATAGAAACATGTTGCTGTGGCAGTTGTGCAGAACGCATTAGCACTTGCCACCAACCCCAATGGAACATTGATGCTCACATGGCTTTTGGACAACTCACAACTTCCAGGACGGTATCGCGTTCTTGCTCCTCGTCTTGCGCCTCATATGGCTACTCTTGCAACCCACAAGCTGGCGTCGCTGACAATTCTCAAGGTCATCAATCAGAGACAGGAGCCAGACGCGAGCGACATCATGATTAACAGCATTATCAACTCGAACCAGGACCAAGTCCTTGTGGAGATTCTCGGAGACCAGGTGCATGGCGTCAGTCTTATTCAGAAGATCCTGGCTTCACCCAATGTTGAGCAGCAGCAAAAGCATTTGTTGGCAGAGAAGGTCAAGTCTGTTCTTTCAAAGTTGAGCGCCCAGAATATGCAGGGATGTAAGCGTCTTTTGGAAGAGGTTAATTTGATCCTGGGAGGAGACTCATCGATGACGGAACATGCCAAGCTTACCCCAGGTTCTGCAGGATATTCCCCAGCGGAGTTCACAGCCTCGGCCGCCAATTTCTATGCCGCCATGGCCACCAACCAGCACCACCTTCCGACGCTCACGATGCCGACAGATACGAACGCGATGTTGGACTCTTCATCACTGCTTAGCGCGGACGGACAGGAAGGCGGTCATGCAGCTGGTTCTGCCGCGCCGCTGAGCTCAGGCACAGCCCATATGACGTCTGCGGCCATGTCCCATGTTGGAGCATTCCCGATGCAGCACAACCCGTATTACACGATGCCGCATGGACAGCTCTACGGACATTACCCGGGTCAGATGTCGCCCTACTACGGTCCAGGAGCAACTTTCATTCCCCAACCGATGACGACGATGGGCTATCCAGGCATGATGCCTCAGACAGGATATAACCCTTACGTTACGATGCCTCCTCCCGGCATTGGCGGCGGATTGCACGGAGATGTCGCACAGCTCAGCGGATCGGCACTGTTTTTGCAGCAGCAGCAGCAGCAGCAACAACAACAGCAACTCTACCATATGCAGCAGCAACAGCAACATCAGCAACAGCAACAGTTCCAACAGCAGCAATGAGACGCTTTCTCTACAGTGTCGTGAGATACATAATACTACAACCCTCGTATATATATTTTTATATCCTTGCATTCCAACTGCATGGGCATTTTGTTATTATCGATACTTTGTCCTGCACACATTTCTTCTTTATCGTTTTAGAACAGTCGCTTTCTTCTCTTCTCTTTCCTTTTTTTTTTTTTTGTCGTTATCTTATTCTTGTCTTTCTTTTGCTTTCCATCTGTTGTTGCTACTGATTGTGCTGGACCAAGTGGATGGCTGAACATCCCCTTCTCCCTCTGATTTCTTTTCTTGTTCATTTTTCTTGGGATGGATATATCTTTTGTGGTGCTCTCTCTCTTTATTCTTCTTTCTCTTTGACTACAAGCATCGAGCATTCATTCTGATGTCAATCTTATTGCCGTCGCAGCTGTATAATACTACTAACCATCCGAAGTGGACATATAATCGTGGAAATAAAATCAAAAGTAACTCCATTGACACACATCTGATTGCTTATTGTTTGTGGAAGTCAAAAAAAAAAAACTAGGAACCTTCATGTGATTGTTGTGCTCTCAACCGGATGGGAGCAAAGCTCCGAAACAAGATCACAGGCCTGGTCTTCTGTACTGCACTCGCCAATCTCATGTAGCCTTGAAAGCATCCGTCCGTGCCGCCTGGACTCGACACGACGCTCAAGGACCGTCTCTAGTTCCTTGGACTTGATCCTGGCCTTGGTGATCAAGCTCAATGGAAGTTTGGCCATTCGTGCAACATTCAATCTTGTGATATCCAATTTTAGGTTAATGGGGCACAGACCAACAGAACACGAGCACAAACACCCTGAGCTCTGAGCACGACCTTGACTTACCCATAACTCTTGAGCGATACCCCCGGAACTAGCTTGTACAGAAACACAATATCCATGTCATCCAGGTTGACACCTGAACCGTTGTCGGATGCCTCTTCGACCCTCGCCATATCTTCCTCCCCATGAATTGCAGATGCGCCAGTGCCAGGTGTCGAGCCACTGGCCGAAGCCATGAACCCCATATGGTAATTCCTGATAGTGCCCTCCTCAAACTCCTTGGCCACATCCGCGAGCGATGGGTAATGGGTCACAAACAAGGTCGTCGCCCGGATATGACTCACAACATGCTTCAACACTGCATACGCAATTGCGACCCCATCCAGCGTAGACGTTCCCCTACCCAACTCATCCAAAATCACCAACGATCGTGCTGTCGCCATCTTCAAAATATCCGACGTCTCCTGCAACTCGACCATGAACGTGCTCTCATGTCCGAAAATATTATCCGAAGCACCCATTCGCGTATACACCGCATCCAACAACGAGACCTTCGCAGACTCTGCGGGAAGATACGAACCGATCTGGGCCATGATACATAACAGCGCCACTTGACGAATATAGCAACTCTTTCCGCCCATGTTCGGCCCCGTCAAGATCAAAGCCTTTTCATCAACACCTGTTGCAGTGTTGTTTCCGAAATGGATGTCGTTAGATACAAAGTTGCCCGATGGCAACATCTGCTCCACCATCGGATGCCGGCCGTTCTTGATCTCAATCGTTGTTTTCGAGGATACTATCCTGGAGAGCGAGTTGAGTTCACCATCGTTCGTGCTAAGATGATCGTCCCGATCCATAGTCTGCTGCCGCTCGCAGACTTCATCTTCCACATATTGCGGTTTGACATAACCGGGGAGACATGCCACGACCGAGAGCGAGAACAGGCAATCCAGGTACGCCAGGTTCTGAACCAGGTCACGAAAAACTTCGTATCTTTGCGAGAACTCTTGTTGGAATGCCGCAAAAGCACGATCGCAAGCAAGGACTAGTCGTTCCTGATGTTGAGCTTTCGCCTGAATCAGTTGAAGGGCCTCCGGTGTATGGAAGCGCGACACCTGTTTTGTTCTATGGACATCAGATCACATAGACGTAGGAGACATGAGTAATTAATGCTCCCCATAAACGTATCTAGGGTTTCAAAATATAGACAATAATATCATACCCGCTAATCTTGACCCACGACTTCGGAATCTTGGCCACATCCTTGTTCTTAACCTCTATCAGATAGTCGATTCCCGAGACCGAAGAATACTCCAGCCGCGGTTCGCGCAATAGTTTCCGCACCGCTGCTAGATGGATTGACAGGTCACCCTCTGTCCCAACAATGTTCTACAGAGACAATAACGCGGCAAAAGAAAGACAAAAAAAAAGGCAAGAGTCAGTATTCAGTTTACTATACCCCTGAAGCAAACAACTCAGTAACCAGACGATTCACTTACATCTCTGTGCTCATGAATCTCAGGCCATTTCTCTGCAATAATATCCTCCTGGAACATCTCCAGCTTGTCATTCCTATTCGCCGCTGACTCGTTCAGACCATTCAGGAAGTACCGACTGTCTTCGGCAGCACTCGATAACGATCCAACTAAGCGCCTTAGCATGGGGCTGTTGAGGCCAAAGTCCTGGTGTGCCTTTGACCGTTCTCCCGCCGGGATCGCGTTTGCCACTCTCATGAATGTTCGGAGGATAGCAAGGAATTCCTTTGGCGAAGACTAAATAAATCGAGCAAACCAGAATATTGACACATTCGTTAGCATTTGGATGCACTGCATTATCCTGCACAACAAACGCATTCTTACTTTGCCATAGTGGATGCGACAGACACCCTTTTCAAGGTCCATGAGTCCTTTGAGTACACCGCGCGCACTTTCAAGATACGTATTCTTGTCCGCCAATGTAAGGATCTCCTCGACCGCATCCACTCGTTCCTGCAACGCCTTCCGATCCACCAAAGGTTTCCCCACCCACTTCTTGAGCAGCCGTCTCCCGAACCCTGTCAGAGTATGGTCTAGAATCGCGAAAAGAGACCCCTGTGTCGACCAGTCTGTTTGATTGCGATAAATCTCTAGGTTCGATATCGTGTTCCCGTTCAGAAGCATGTGCGATCTCGAGGTAAAGCACTCAAAGTATTTCGATAGCCGGAACACGGATGCCAGTCCAAACTCCGTCAAATGGGTGATCATGGCCGAAAGAGCAACAATGAGTTGCCGAGAAAGTCCCAGGACTGTCTTGAGCAGTGCTTCCATTTGACTCTGCTTCGAAGACATCGACTCCCCGTCCTGACTCTGTCGTTTTACCTGCTCCTCTTTAAGACTCGTAGAATAGAACTCTGAGACCAGCTTAAACGCCTGGTCGTACTTCACAAACCCTGCCGTTCTCTCGATCCGAATATCATCCTGGCCCCTGTTGATCGATCCTGTGCGACGATGAGATGATCCTGTAAGATATCCAAGCAGTTTCTCCGTAGATTTACTCATCGGCTCAATTGGTACGATCAACTCTGCAGGCTGGATATGAAGCAATCGCGTCTCGAGTTCGTTCCTGAAGTGTCCATCCATAAACTCATCATAAACAATATCGCCTGTTGCCGGTTGTACTGCCAGAATCGCAATCTTGACCCTTTCGTCCGCTCCACTCCCGCCCTGTGGTTGCTCACAGATGCACATCAGATATTGTGAAGAGGGTCCCTTGCCAACGAAACTGCCCTGGAACTGCTCCTCGTCCTGATCCAGGCTCTCGAGAAATGTCGCTTTGGTGTAGAGGTTGGTGAGCTTCCGAGTAAAGGGCGCACTCTTATTGTCGCCGGCGGACTTTAGGGCTGCGGTTTCCATCTGCCGAACCACGCCTACTTTGTAGCCAGCATGCACCAGGCTAAGCGAAGGATTGGAGGAGAAAACCAAATGCGGGTTTAGCATCGGATATCTACAATCTTGTCTGTCACGACATTCGATTCAGATAAAACGCACCGTCGCACATGGACATCCAGCCGGTGGGTAGGTATACTGGCGGTGTAAAAGTTGTGGTCCATGAAATGTGCAATGCTGAGTTCTCTTGAGGCAATCTAAGGGACGGCATCAGGTTGTAATAAGTCAGTATGACTAGGACATCGCCACTGTCGTAAATCGCAATTACTTCTCCGACGTCGTACCTCCGCATCCTCGCCAAAGAAACGAAACTTGTATCCGACCTCGATGCAGAGAATCGCGTCCGGGTACTGTCTCTTGATCTCAACAAACTGAGTTTCAAGTGGCGTATAAGGACTTTTGGTGGCCTTTTTTGACCCGGTAAATCGACCCAAAGTAGTTGTTGCCTTGACCAGCTGTTGCTTTTGCAATGGTTGCGGTGTATCCTCAGGCTCCTCCATGACGTGATCCTGGTCCATTACCACGTCTTCTTTATGTGTTCGAGAGCGTCTCTTCCTGTCCAGCGGTTCCTCTGACGCGTCATCCTGTTCCGAAGAGTGGCTGTACCTCCGTTTCAACGATGTCCTTGTCGAAGAATTTTCCTCATTCGGGCTCGCGTATGCGGATCCTGATATGTCTCTGCTCAGTGTCCGATTTTCGTTACTGGGCTTGGTTGTAGTTGATGATGGGGTCAGGGAAGTGGGCGTAGAATCAAGTGCAAACTGTTCAGCCAGGTCCGAGAAGCCAGCCGGGAATAATGGATCTTCTGCGGCTACGGATGCGGATGTGGATACGATATTCCCCTGACCCTTGACGGACCCGCCGCGTTTCTTTCGTGATGTGGGCTGTCGTGCTAGGTTGTCGCGTGCTGTGGAGTCCTGGACGGAGTGTCTGTTGTTCTGATTCAACGAAGCGGATGGCGACGCAGTTGCTGACTGAATGGGAGCTGAAGCTGAAGTCGGAGGAGTTGCGCTCTTGGGCTTGAAGAAGCTGAGCAGGGTCTTTTGCACCTGCGGCGGCGGGCCCTTGCGATCGACCATGGCGTGCGAAAGTGAAAGGATAAGAAGCGTCGAATGCTTCAGCCATTCAACCGTGGAAGCGTTGTTTTTTTTTGGTGGCAAAAGATAGACCAGTCACAGTTGCCCTTACTGTGACCAATCAGAGTGAGTCAAAGCTCTTTTACCCCACAACGGTCTCTCTCTCTTCAAGGTCTTCAAGGTCGGGTTCTTTCTTTTCCTCTCCTCGCCCGTCGTCTTCTCCTTCTTGCTTGCTGATCGCATTTCGTAACAGAGCCATGCCCATCAACAACCCCACCATCTGTATCCTCGGATGCGGCACCATGGGTATTGCCATCATTCGCGGCACACTCGATTCTATCGCCGGAGCAGAATCCGTCCAGTCCTCGCCAAAGATCTCGTCCTCAACAACTGCAACAGGCGCAGCCAACGACCTTTCTTCTACTTCGTTGCCAGAGGAGGAGGACAGTTTGTTACGTCCTGCTGGATTCATCGCATGCGTTAGTCATGAGGAATCGGCTGCCAAGCTAAGTAAGGTCCTCGGAAGCCAGGTCAAAGTTCTTTATGGTGCTGATGGGAATGTGCAGGGAGTGTCAGAAGCCGATGTTGTTCTGCTCTGGTATGTCCAAGTCGGATCTGAGCAATTGGCGCCCTGCAGGGTGCTCAATTTGCTCGGTTCTCTTTTTGTTTCTTATGTTGTATCATGAATGTATGTGGAGGCCATCCCTCGTTGACAATAAGCGGGAGTGGAACTCGATCTCATCTATCTATGAACTCATTAGCACAAAGCCGCAAGTAGCCAAGGCCGTCCTTTCGGAGCCAGGGATCAAGGAAGCATTGACTGATAAACTGGTCATCAGTATCTGTGCCGGAGTCACGATTACTCAATTGCAATCCTGGACCACTCCCACCACGACCGTCATCCGTGCCATGCCAAACACACCTTGCAAAGTAAGGGCTACGATCCTTTGCTGCTGTTTTTAGCTTTAACTGAGAAGCCAACTCTAACTCAATTGGTACCCTCTTATGACTCTTATATAGATTCGCGAAGGAATGACGGTCATCTCCTGTGGTCCCAACACCGACATCCAATCCATGACTTTTACTTCCAAGATCTTTTCGACACTCGGTCGCTGCAGGATTCTGGATGAAAAGCACTTGGACGCCGTAACCGCGCTCGCAGGAAGTGGGCCAGCATTTGCATGGTAAGAGCAAGAGTATTACCATTCAAGTACCTATGCAGTCATGCACATAGAATTGACCGATGCTTCTTTCACCCTCCGTGGATCCTACTAGTGTGATGCTGGAGGCATTGGCAGATGGTGGAGTGATGATGGGCCTGCCTCGAGATGTTGCTACAGAACTCGCTGCACAAGGTACAAAAAAAAAAAAAAAAAAAAAATCAAGCCTGGTGCTACTTTGTCTGGGGCGGAAGTTACAGCTCACTCTGTTTGCCTAATTCTTTCTGTTACTGATCGATGCGATGCTTTTATTAATAGTTCTCCAAGGTGCGGCGAGAATGGTACTCACGACAGGCGCACATCCAGCGGCAATCAAAGACTCGGTGACAACCCCTGGCGGATGCACGATCGCGGGTCTCTTGACGATGGAGGACGGCAGGATCCGCTCGACGCTGGCGAGGACCATCCAGGAGGCCGCGACTGTAGCCTCGACCCTTGGACGCGACAAGAAGTAGATAACATTTGGCATTATCTGTGGTGTAAAATAAAAAGGACTCTGGATCGTTTAGACATGAACGTGGTAGGGGGGGGGTTCAATTTCGCTGCATAGTGTCGCTTGAAGCACAAGGTGGCGCTGCAGCCGAGTATAAAATGATGCCTCTCCATTCCTTTCTTCCACATTTTATTTTCCAGCTCTTCCATATCACGTAATTTCCCACGTATAACTGCCGCAGCACCGAACATGACAACGCCTCTCTCAACTTTGACCAAGGACCGGATCAAGGACCGTATCCGTGGTTGTCTCTTTGGTACGTCTCCAAAAAAAAAAAAAAAAAAAAAAAAAAAAAGGTTGTCTTTTTTTTCATTCTTGTCTTGTGAAGTGTTTCCACAGCGCATTCACAACAACTTCGACATACATTTTCTTCTCTAGGGACGGCTGTAGGGGATGCCTATGGACTGGCTACAGAATTTATGTCGAAGGCAAGCGCTCGTAGACGATATGGCAACGGCCCCATCGCATTTGGCAACGAGGCGGGGTAAGGCGTTTCAAACGCGTAACTTGGGACACGTGGCAACGGCATGTCGAGGACGCAGTTGCTGATCCTCTTCGATTTATTTTTTGTCGAATGCGCGCGTGCCATGCATAGATATCCTGTATGGATTGATAGCCATCGCTCAAAGTGGGCGAGAAACGACTTTACGGATGACACGGATCAAATGCTCCTCCTCCTCCAGTCGCTGCAACAAACCCAGGACGGTCGACTCCATGCTGCCAATTTCTCAAAGAGGCTGAAGGAGTGGAGCATCATTGGCTTTCCAGAACTGGGCACGCCTCCACGCGGTATCGGGTTTACTGTTGGCTCTACACTCAGTCATCCCGAGTTCAGGTACAACCCGCACAAGGCTGCCTTTGATGTAGGTGCTTTCGCTCCAACTGTATTAGGTACTTTAGATTAGGATGAGCTTAGTTCACTGAAGCCAACACAAATCATTTTTCTCCGTTGGATCCATTTACATGTATAGATCTGGAATTCAAAGGGGCGCATGCTGGCAGCGAACGGAGCCGTCATGCGAACTTCTGTGCTTGGCATCGAATCCTTCTGGGACGAGGCGCGGGTCGTCGAAAACACCCTCGCTGCAGCCAAGGTCACGCACGCAGACCCACGCTCCGTAGTCAGTGCCTTAATCGCCTCGGTCCTCATCTCCCGGCTCCTTCGAGGGGGCGGACAGGACGCAAAGGAGGACTCAACCCGTACATGGAACCCACGGCTTGCACAGGACGAGTACAAACAGGAGCTCCTGGACTATCTGCGACGTGGAACAGATATCAACGGCGAAGTCTCGTCTGATCCCGCATACGAGCCAGAGACTGCACAGAATGTTTTCAAGAATAAAGATGAGAGGAAAATTGCCAGGATGCGCTTGACACATCCAGTGCCGGATGCTGCGCCAAGGGTCGCCACACGTTCTTTCCAGACAGCAGTGCTGGATAAACTGAGTCACTTCATAGCCGGGAGCCCCGCAGCTCACCGTGCTTCAGATGACTGGAACAAGGATCGACCAACGGTTGAGCTGAGAGGTGATATTGGCTGGGCTGGCATGGATAAAGTTGGCGAGAACGAAGCGATGGGATCCCTGGCCCGATCGGTGCTCAGGGATTACAAGTTTCTCCTTCTAAGAACCGATGTTGTCCCACCGACGATCCGCAATGTCGCCCTGGAGGGAAGAAACACAGCAGCAGGGCATGCAGGGGCAGATGCTACCCAGACGCCTGAACGCATTCAAGAGAAATGGTCGCGTGAGCTAGAGTCGTCCTGCTTCCCGAGCAAACTAGAAGAGCTGGAACTCGGCGATGCTGACAAGATGGGGTATACCTTCAAGTGTGTCGGTATCGCGTTTTACACCGCAACCCGTTGCGAGGACCCTGCCCCGACAGATGATGCATACAAGGGACCCTCTGGATTGTTCCGAGGGACCATGGAGCAGGTTGCGCTTGAGGCAGGCGATGCTGACACTAACGGAGCGGTTGTTGGATCGCTGCTGGGTGCGCGATATGGCGTAAGCGAGGGCATTCCACGCTCCTGGTGGACAGAACTGCGGCACTTTGAGTGGTTGGATGGTGTAGTTGATCAATTTGCGGACAGAGTCATAGCCATGTATGAACAGCAGATGCAGTAACAATTGTAGGGCTGGGGGGCAGGCTCAATTGGACAAGACTCGGTTCCTTCAACGATGACCTGTTTGCATAGCTTTCTCCATATTAAACAATTCTATCTGTATGTAAAGTCGGATATACTTCAACTCTCTCGCTTTAATACAGTATGCGCAATAAATTCAATCCTTGACGAAACATGGTGAGATGTCGATATGCTAAGGATGTATGGCTTCTAGTCTAGGCTGCTTGGAAATGCAGCAGGGTCGTTCCTAACCTCGGCTGACGCGAGCGGCACCAGTGACACAAACAACACTCACATCATCATCGTCCTTGTCTCTGCTTGTAATCTCGGCGCTGATGAGGAGCTCAGCCTATGGACAGGTACCATTAGATAGTGATAAAAAATCAGACAGTGCCCACCACGCTGCAGTATACGGTATAAGCCAAAAAAAAAAAAAAGGGACACATACTCCGTTTTGGGTGTATTGGAACTCGGGCGGCAGATAGAAGCAAGCGTTTAGCTCACGGTCGCCTCCACCAGACACGGGCAGCTGTGTGCCCTGTGGGAACCGGAGCGAGCTATAGACACCGACTTGCCAATCCTTTGAGAGAACGCCTAGAAACGAAGGAGGACGTATGAGCGTGTAAGCAGATGAAAAAAAAAAAAAAAAAAATGAAGTGAGAATTTTAAGAGGATTAAGAGCAAAATGGGTGCACATACGAGGTTGCTCGACTGTGAACTTGATCATGGATCCCTCCAGAGGAAGATCTGTCTTGAGTTCACCCTTGATACTGAGGCAAATCTCCTTGCTAGGATCGACTGAGCTAGGGTTAATGCTGGCACTATAGACATCGAAGAGCTATAGCCGAAGCGAAGGAGAAATAGAGAACAGTGGCACAGTTGGTTGGTGTGATTGTTTCTCCACAACTCGAAGTCCATCTTTGCGTTTGTCCAAGCAAGTGTGTGTTGAACATACGCTATCGTTTTCAGGGCAGGAGTCAAGGTGGGAAGCACTGCAGACCGACACGACCAGTGCTGCAACGAGGGACAAGGACGAAACCAGCTTCATAGTGGGTGTGTTGAGTAGGATGGGTAAGATAGGTAGAGGAGAGTAAGGAGAGATAGATGTGGCTAGAAAGTGTCAGTGGGAGGAGATTCCTTGAACAGGTGTAGATGCTGTGAAGGAATAGTTCTTTTTATATCTTTTTATATTTTTTTTGCCGATGTGAGGATTCTTACAAAGGCGGCAGAAATTGCAGTGTGGATTGCGGTGGTGCCAATGAGTGCTCACTGAGACGAATTTCAATGGCGCGACCGGCACTAGCCTACCAGCAAGAGATGCCGGCAGGAGATTCTCGAGGAGGAGAAGTTGAGGCGCTAGATGGATGTGCAAGAGCGGCCAAATAAATCCAGGAGCGCCAGGAGGCCGGTCGCATTTGCAGATTTCAGGAGACGGAGACAGTCTGGCGCCTCTTTTCTTATTTGTGTGTTATATCGGCAATGTTGCCTGACTCTGAGCCGTGCAGGCGAGCGCGCGAACAGACACCTCCGTTCTCTTCTCCGTGGCTCCCTCGCTCTCGTTCTCTCTGAAATCTCCCAGTCTCTAGCTTTATTCCCTTTGTTTGCCAGGATCCAGACTACTGCGCTTCACCCCGGGGACAAGGCAGCGCGTCTCCCCCTCCTTGAAGTGCATATGGCCTGCTTTCTGAGGCAGAAAAGTCCAGCAAAGGCACTCCACTCTTGAGACCAACCATCTAGGGATATATATATATAGAATATATGTATATATCCTGCCAGGTCAAATGGCCAGTCCTCACTCCTACTGAGCAGTATGGCTTCAAGGGCACCGCGTGGACGTCTTCAAGAACCGCCTATATCGTGTGCAGAGGACTGGAGAGAAATATACGCGTTTTGGTGGCAAAACAGTATGTACGCCATATCCTTTTATGGGAAGAGCGTCGCTTCTAATTGACGCTCCCCTCGGCTGTCAACAAGCCAAGCCAAGCCCATCCTCCCTCAGTTCATTCTCAAGAAGGCCGCATGGAAACCCCTCCAGGGATGACACAGCTCTCGCTAAAGGAACAGCTCCGCAATGCATTTCCAGGACGGGCAAGGCAGATCGATCAGATCCTCGGTTTCATGGGAAAGGTATTAACAGCGCTTTGCCTATCCGCCTCCATTCGGCGCGGGATCTTTTTTTACTAACACGCGTTGACCCTGTCGGTCCGCCTATCTGCGCTTGCCTTAGCCATGGGCTCCTACCCCGCCCGCGTTATTGATCAATGGAAACTCATCCCTAGGAAAGACAGCTGTTATTAGAGCAACTCTTTCCACCATGCTCGGGAGCACAAGTCCCAGTCGCTTTGCGTTTCTCGACTGCGTAGAATGTCATACCCCCCGCCTGATCTTTGAGCACGCCATCTATCAGTTTCGCAACGCTCCTCAGCACTTCCCAATGCCTTCGCTACTAGCAAAGGATGCAGATGATACCAAGGACGGCAGTGCACACATGGACAATCTCTCCAGCACACGCACAAAAAACACCACGATGTTAAATAAAGAGCCGCGGAAAAGGAAAAGGAGATCATCTCAGGAAGACACTCCGTGGGACAAATGCGAGAACATCAACGAGTTTGTAGAATGGTGTCGGAAGATTTGCGACGAGGACAATGGGCAGGGCCCGCATAATCGACGACAGGATACCCGGTACCTTGTCCTCGACAGAGCAGAGCGGCTCCGCGATACTGCCCCGAACCTGATCCCGGTCCTCATGCGGCTGCAGGAACTTGTACGGCATTCATATCGTGTCTTCAAATTGCAGGCTGTCAAGGAATTTCACTGACTATGCTGATATGTTTTTGCTCATTTTGATCCGCTCCACTTTCTGCTGCTTCATCGGTATAGACCAGCCGCAACATCTGTGTCATCCTGATCACAACAATCGTCTGGGAAAAATTCCGGTCAAAGACAGGAGGATACGAGCCCATCATCCTGAACTTTCCACAATACTCAAAAGATATGTTCGTTGTCCTAGTCTTTACAGGGACTACCCCTTATGCTCCTCGGCTGATGTTTGTTCGATCATGACCCCAGTGGATGAAAGTTCATTATTCTTACCTCGATTGGTGCATCTTGCATGGTTCCGTTTATTTACGCGAGACAATTGCTATCCTGGAGCGAGACTTGCCTACAGGCGAAGACAAAGACCTTTACATGAGATTCCTCGAGCTCGTCTATGATGTCTTTCAGCGTAATTGCAAAGATCTCAATGAGATTCGACACCTGGTCGCGCTCCTCTTTCCGCTCTACGTCAAGCCAGTGAAAGAAGGGAGAAGTAAGTGGTGATCTTGTTCCTGATGCGAGGGTGGCCCGCTTTCGTTTCATGTCCATACTAACTCGCGTTGTTCGGATTCAATTCATCTCCAGTCCAAAAACACGAGGGATTGAAGCTTCATCGACACATCCAGGCATATTTTGTTGAGGCTATGGACAAGCTGTATTTGCGAGAAATCTCAAGCACAGAGTGGTCGGACCGTGCCCTTGTACCAGCTCCAGGATCTTTACACAGCAAACATGACCGATCAGGCGCTCTAGGAGGCGGCATCGGAGATACCTCGGTTATCCGATCCGTAATAGGCTCCACAGGAAGTGAACGGGCGCTGATGAGCGCTGTCGATGTCCAGAGTACATGCCGGTTAATGTGTTTTTACTAGTATCCATTATGGCGAACACTATGTACTGACGACAATATGTCTCGCCTCTTGCTTATAGATACATTCGATCTGCCATACTTTACAAAGTTCATCCTCATCGCGTCCTTCCTGGCGTCGTACAATCCGCCCCGACTGGACATGCGTTACTTTGCCAAAGTCTCAAATCAAGGCGGCAAAATGACCAAGCGCGCCAAAGTATCGGCATCCAAGAGGCATGGACATGATCAGATGGGATCCAAACTGCGACAGCAATTGCTCGGCCCCAAGACATTTCCGATAGAGCGGATGTTGGCCATCTTCTACAGTATTCTGGACGAGGAAGTCGAGGAAAACGTGAATGTTCACACACAGATCGCTTCTCTTGTTTCGCTGCGGCTCCTCCAGCGGGTTACGCCCATGGACAAGCTGGATTCAATCAAATGCAAGTGCAATGTCAGCTATGATATGATCAAGGCTCTGGCCAAGAGCACCAAGTTCGATATCGACAAGTACCTGTACAACTTTACATAAATGCATCTTTTTTTTTCTTCCACGAGCACATCCGATGAAATAGACTATCTGGACTGGCCACAATGGCTCCGTTCATTTGTTCCATGCAACTTGCATTTTCTTGAATCATAGATAAACTGTTGTTTTTCTTTCTTTTTATTCTATTCGTGAGGGAGGGTGACGATGAAAGTAGTAAAGAGGGTGACTATGAACAAAGAGAATGCAAAGCTACGGGGAGGCGCTGTTTAAGCCTTGTTGATGAAAGCCTTGCCCTTGCTGATGTTGCCCTTGAGCTCGGGGATGGCAGCATCAATGAGACCCTGCTCGTACTGGTTGACCTTGCCGACGGGGTGGATCTTCTCAACACCCTCAGTGCCGAGCTCGACGTTGGTAGCAAAGAACTCAACACCCTCCTTGGCAAAGACATCGGACTTGACGAAGGTAGGCTCAACAATGCCCTTCTTGCCGGCAACGGTAGCCTCGAGAAGAGAGTTGGTGAAGCGGGCACCGGCGAAGGCCATGGAGAGGGTGGCGGAACCAGTGCCGTTCTTGGCCTTGACGACCTCGTCACCACCGAACTGGATGCGGTGGGTCAAGGCCTTGACCTCCTCCTCAGTGAAGCTGTGGCCGGACTGGGAAAGCAGGGGAACGATGGTGACACCAGAGTGACCACCAATAACGGTGATCTTGGCATCCTCGGTCGAGACATTCTTGACCTCAGAGACGAAGCGAGAAGCACGGACAACATCGAGGGTGGTGACACCGAAAAGTCTGATGTGTGTACAACAATGGGTCGTGAGTATGCGTGGATCATGGATCGCTGTTATCAAACCAACTTGCATAAATCAGAGTCAGAGAATCAGGCACCTACCTCTTGGGGTCAAAGACGCCAGCCTTCTTGAAAACCTCAGCAACGATGGGGACAGTCGAGTTGACAGGGTTGGCAATGACCAAGATGTGGGCCTTGGGGCAGTGCCTGTGAGAAAGACGTGCGGCCAATTGGAGAACTGATTAGCAAGAGTATAGACTCGTGTATGATTTGTGAATACGGCATCCGCAGGGTATCCCCGACGACTTACTGGGCACAGGCAGAGGCCAAATCACGGACGATCGAGGCGTTGGTGTTGAAGAGATCGTCGCGGGTCATGCCGGGCTTGCGGGGAACACCAGCTATTTAGGCAACGGAAGTAAAGTCAAGTGATTAGCGCGAGTGCTTCGAGGGATGGGGTCGATGCAGAAGAGCAATTGAAGGTCGAAAGAATAGCACGTACCAGGGATGACAACGACATCACAGCCAGTGAGGGCCTCCTTGAGACCGTTGTTATCGGGAACGTGGCCAGTGACCTATGACAATAAACAACACGCTGGTCAGTATCACATCCCATTTTGATCTCTTTTTGTCTTGGGGCATGAGCCGCAACTTCCGCATTAGCCCTCATTTTTTCATCTGAGCCGTGATCGAATCGACCACCATGAAATGACAACAGCATATAGTTCCCAGAGCAATATCTGCGGCCTCTGTTGCTAAAGGTCCTAGTCTCGCATCGTACCTTGGAGTCAGAGTTGATATGGCTCAAATCAGCAGCAACACCGGGGGTGTTGACAATGTCGTAGAGGGAGAGGTGGGAGATCAAAGACGACTGCTTGAGGAGGAGCGACAAGGGCTGGCCAATACCACCGGCAGCACCGAGGACAGCGACCCTGGAGCAAACGACGCAATCAATCAGAGCGAAAGTGAGGCAGAAGGAGACAATAAAAAGATGAGTTGTTTTGTCACAGATCCAATAGATCGCTGAAATGAAATGGTGGCGACGTTGAATCTTGCGATAAGACACAACGAGAACTTACTTGGCCGCGTTCTAGAGGAGCCGACCATTGTGAAGATAAAGAAAAGGCGAAGGATAAGGAACATGTGCAGAGATAATTGAATAGAAAAGGTAAAAGAGTTGTCCAATGGTTAGATATGTCCCTTTGATCCGTTCGTTGTCGTTGTTCGTTATTCGTTGTTCCTGCTTGAAGAAAGAGGCCAGCGTCTGCTTACCGAGGAGGCCGAGGTGGAGAAGGCGCGCTTGGCGATGGAGGAGATCTGGCGAGTGGCAAACATGGCGATGAAGAGTTGAGTGGTTGGTGGGGAGAAGTGAAGGAGGAGAAGAGAGAGAAGAAAGGAAAGGAAAAATATGGGGAAACACGGATCTTCTTCTCGACGTCAATGGGCCCTGCACGTGACAGAACCCACGGTTGAAAAAGGACAGCCGAAAGATCCAGATAATCGAGCCAATTGAACCCTAAAAAAGCAGCACTTGCTCAGTCGGAGATGCTGCTGAAGGGGCGAGGAACCCCACGCGGCAGAGGTGAACGGCGACACAGCGGTGCATCATTAGCACATGTGCGTGTGCGGAGAAAATGGATACATTTGGATATATGAAAACACGAACCTACACTTTAAGGTGCTGCTAGACATCACACTGCTGCTTTGGCCGATACTATTTAACTTACGATAGACCTGTTTATTATGAGAGAAAGACTGAGGGGTAAAAAAAGCGAGAAAGTGCAGACGCATACGTACTGCCCATGGACAGTGCACGGACATGCACCACAGATACATGTCCATGGCCATCGAAGCAACGCATCGCTCTCACAGGCTATTGTTTCTTTTACATATGGAACAGTTCACAACTCATCTTCATCTCGCGACAGGAGCTCAACTGAGGCTTCTGTTTGTACTTCTCCTTCAACAACTCGCGGATGTTGTTGAGCATCTCCTGGTATGACTGCACAGGATTCTCGCGAATACTGCAACAGCAAACCAACGGAAACACACGTATAGAACCATGCGCACAAAGAATGTCAGTTCATGGCCAGCAGTGAGTCGTCTTTCAGCTATACAACTCACAATCAGAATAAGTAACAATTCACTCACCATTTGGTAAAGGCATAGGTCATGGCGCCGTTCGAGGATGACTTTCCACCGCGAGTAATACTGACATCGGCGGAGGTTTGGTCGTCCTTGCACCTGTTGTGGTAGAAGAGTAGCAGTGTTAGGATATTTATCATGTCGAATAATACACTCAGAATAAACATGACACTTGAGATCTTCTCACCCGCTGAACATGATAACATCTGCATTAGCGGCCTTTAGCTCTGTCTGGCGCTTAAACTCCTTCTCCTCTAGCTGTAGCTCCTTCCAGTTCTCTTGGAGCGTCTTGAGGGTATTTTCATCAAAGTTGCCCTTGACAAGTTTGTAGCCGAGATCGGCCAGGGCATTTGAACCCAGGACATAACCCGTGCCCGCGTATATAAAGGGCAGATCAAGGGCAGATCCCGAATGGCAGCAGTCGAACACGACGGTGAGTCGGACTCCAGGAGGCAAGGCTTTGACCAGCAAATTGTGCAACTCCTGTACATATGCAAGGGTAGAAAAAAAATAGAACCGTCAGTCCAAAATGCGAAAGCCACGCTGGCTTCTATTTCATGAAAAGATACCGACGGGAAGGACTTACATCGTCAATAATCACCCCATTCTCCGCATGGTCCAGAGGGAAAATACAGTTGTCCATCCCATCCGTTTCATCGCCATCAATATCGACGACCTGACCTCCGTGTCCAGAGTAGTGCAGGAAGTACCTATTGATCGGAGTGCATGAATATTTCCACAGCATTCCATTAGATACCGCTGTGTCATGTCCAAATTGGGCACCACTGCTTTGCCGCAAGGGGGTCACTTACGAGTCGTTCTTCTTTGCGTCGCGAATCAACCACTTGAGATTGCGGATGATGTTTTCCTTGGTCGGCATCCACTCTGTGCCGACTTGATCGTCTGTGAGGACGCGGATGTGCTCGTCCTGGAATCCAACGGTGTTCAAAAACTTTTTCATAACCGCGGTATCATTTATGCAGCCTAGATATCATGGAGTGATGAGGGTTAGAGAGGGATAAAAGTAAGGGGCCGAGAGAGGGAGAGGGATAGGCTAACTTACCATTAAGAGGGTTAGCCTTCCCAGTATAATTGATCCCAATGAGAACCGCACGGCGGTCGCCTGTGCAGTCAGAGAGGGACACCTTAGAGCCGTCAGGCATTCTGGCCTCCAGGGTCTGAACAGCGACCTTCGTGATCTCAGGGGGGGCCTGCTGTGCCGCATGAGGTGCCGCCTGAGGCTCCGACTGGATTGTGAAGGTCTTCACCTCAGGCTGGACCTGGGGCTGAGGAATCGAGGGCAAGGGTTTGGAATCGGAAAACAGCTTGTTCTTGGAGTTGTTCTTCAAACCGGACTTCAGGTCGGAGTTAGCTCCTCCAAAGGAAAGCTGTAGAGTATAAGATCCGAAGGAATGGGGTTGTAAGCATATCGGACGGGACTTTTCTCTTTTTCCCCCTCGTTCACTCTGCTCCCTTCCCCTTCCTCTTTCCGCCGTTATCCTATCCCAAACCTTTCATCCTCGAGAAACGCGCCCTGGGCCGATTGAAATGTCTCTACGGCGCGTAAATTCTAGGGGGTTCTCTGATTCGTTGACTTACACGTTTAAAGAACTTTGAAAAAGGCGAGGACGAGCTGGAGGACGAGGTCGTGGTGGTGGTAGTCTTTGTGACCTTGCGACCATCCTCATCCACGACCGACTGCACAACAACCGTGGGCTCGGACTTGATGACATTGCCGCCGTTCTGGTTCAGTGTGTCATTGAAATCATTGAACTGCTGGTAGTCCTGGGGCTTGATGGCGTTGGGATCGTTATCGGAGGAGTCGTAGCCCGAGGAGGAAGAAGAATGGTGGTAGGTCACTGTGTTGTCAACAACGGGCACCTCTGCAGTGGTGGTAGAAACCAAGGTGGCGCCCTCAGGCACGGGTGTTCCTGCAGGGACCTGAACCTGGTACGAGTGCGTGATTTTCTTGATAGTCTTAGTGACCTTGCGGCCGTCGGGTAGGACGGTGACGATCTTTTCGACGTTCACGATGGGCTCGCCGACTTCCTGTGGCTGTGACATGGTGAATGGGGTTGAGGAGGGTGATGAGACGAGGAGGAGTGATGGAGTGGTGGGTGAGGAAGAAGGGGAGGAGGACGGGAGTGGGAAGGTGAGAAGAGGATGCGTGAATACTAATAAGAAGGGCTATTGGAACATAAACAGTCGTTGTTATGGACCAGACAATCCCATGCTGCTATTACATGTGCCGCATTGTCCAGAGCTTCTGTTGTTATGGTGTGCTGCATGATAAGGAAGCAAGCACCAAAGCGAGCTACAATACCCTCTTCAACTTCAGGTACCAATTCAAAAAAAAAGTCAATTGAACGGCAGTATGGGAAAAAATAGTATCGGTGGTGGGCTGAAGAAGGGGTGGGGGCTCTGAGAGGGTCGTCGGACTGAGAGCCGCTCATTTTCTTCATCTTCATCTTCCTACTTGTCCCTCTATTGCGGTGTTCATATACAGCGCATGCTCTGATCCTTTATTATCCTTCATGGTGCCTGATTGCCTACTGTACTGTTCCGGTTTTCGTAGAATTCTATCATCATGGAAACCAATTCAAGCGTGCGAATATGAATGCCAAAAAATCTGCAACGACCGCAAGCAATCGTACTCGATACGGAACAAAAACAAATATCCATGCAGGTCACTGTAAACTAGGCTAGAGAAACGACCGCGGATGACACTTCCTTTTCTGCACCGCCCAGATACGAGTGCCACGTTCTATCTCTACGAACCCATGGAACCATGAACACGCTACAATACAGCGCTAGATACATGCATTCTAGCTGTTGTTTCGCCTGCCATCGTGTTCAGCCTTAAGAGCTCAACAAAGCTGTCCATTCACACATTTCACGACTCGAGGAGCTGCTTATGTCACTTGTTTTCCGAACGTGCTTTGCTCCCTGTAGGTTGCTGAATGTGAGCCCCGTCAGACAGGGTTGATAAAAAAATACCTCTGCAGCGGCCCTACAACATTCTTGGCCTCCTTTGGTCGTTAATGTAATAAAGTACATTCGTGGTTCATGGGCGACAGGCATAGAGAGTAACCTATCCTTGAGGGCCAGGAACAGGAACGTTGGAAGTTGACCGCGGAAAATAATATTAATGGCAAAAGGGTATGGGGCGGACCAAAAAAAAAAAAATCGCGCCGCGGCTGCCATCGCGCGGCATTTCCTCCTGGCGTAGTTTGCTGCGCCCGCTACAACTTGGGGATTGAATGAGAAAGACTGGGACCTTGCCAGCTTAGCACTTCCAGTCGGACGTAATGCCTAGCGACGCAGTAATGGTGGGGGGCGGGGGCGGGGGAGGAGAGGGGTTTGGGTCACCACAGCTGCATGGTATGAGGACACAAATAGCTGCCGTAAAATACTACACAATTCCAATGGTTTGTCACGGTTATTTTGCTTGTGCGCAAACGGGCCTGTTGCTATACCAGCCAATGCGCCCTTCCTCCTCACGGCTCTGTATGCATGGACTTCTGGCTGCGGCGTACTGTGCTTCGTTTGCATGGGCATGGACAATAGTCGCCTCAGTCACGGGGGTAGCAAAAAAGAGAGGCAACGCTATTGATCGCGTTTACTGCGATGTGTCGTGGAAGGGGTGGGGGCAAAGCTTTCCTGCGCCGCTCCTTTCCCCTTCACCCCTCTGTCCCGCTCTTTAAGCTTCAATCCACACATCCTCTTTCTTTTTCAAATCCTCTCTTCGTTCCTTCATTCCCTCCGCCTCGCCCTCGGACCGCACAGCATACGCAAGACCGCCGCGCGTTCAGTTAGACAGGCTTCAGCGAAGCAGCACAACAACGCGACACTCAACACTCGACCAGATTCGCCCTTTTTCGCCAGCCTACGTGCCGCGTCATGTCCTCATCAAAGAGCGTAGTCAGCCCACCTCCACCCCATGGCAGCGACATCAACGCAACCTGGTCCTTCTTGGAGCAGGGTATCGACCAGATCATGAACCGCCTCGAGGACGGTCTGACCTACAAGCGCTATATGGAGATTTACACGTAAGAACACTCGACCACCTGGATAACTTGTTGGCAGAGGATTACTTCGCCAAGTTGGGGACAAGGGCTATCTTGGTGGGGCTTTTTACAGTGCTTTGCCTTTCTTACGTGCGGATGCGCCCATGGGCTGACGATCACACAAAAGAAGCGCACAGTGGTGACACTATACGCCAAAGGAAAGCCAATACACGGTGTTTGCTTGCTTGTCAAAGGGTTGTCGCTGTCCGCAGTCGCCTTGACCATGTATCGCTCGGGCGGTGCTCTTTGGGCGGGACCTGATAATGGTAATAGACTCTAACCATCTTCTCCCTTGTTGCCACTATCAATGCCGTCCTTCACCACGATCGCCCAATTGCAGTGTCATCTACAACTACTGTACCACTAAGGCCAACAACGACGGTATAGGGGCCTCGATCCAAACCCGAGGTAACTAATAGATATCTGCCGACTATGTCATGCTGCGCCCCCAAGCAGACCCTTTTCTTATCAACTTTTGCGGCGGTCCATGTTGTGCTATGTGCTAATACCCGCTGCACATTCCATTGTAGGTGCAACCTTGGGTGGGAGTGATTTGTATTCGCGTCTGATCCGATATTTTCAGAAACACCTCGAGGTCATTCGCAAGGACTCGGAAAAGTTCATGGATGTGTCCCTACTGGAATACTATACCAAACAATGGGTCAAGTTCACTGGAGCTTCGGTGTATGTCCACCATCTATTCACTTATCTAAACCGCCACTGGGTTAAGCGCGAGATCGACGAGGGTCGCAAAACGGTACACGATGTCGGAACTGTAAGTGGACTTGTCCTGCCTTCCATATCAGAAGTGATGCTTGCATGGTTTTTCGGCTCCTACAATCGCCAACACAACGTAACGTTATCATCGCTCTCATAGCTTGCCCTCGTGAGCTGGAAAGACAGCTTGTTCAGCCATGTTGAACGCAATGTCATGGCCGCTGTCCTTCAACTAATTGAGCGCCAACGAAATGGAGAGTCCGTGGAGACTAGTTTGTTGCGCAACGTTGTAGAGTCGTTTGGTAAGAATTCTTTCATTTTCTTATCCCTTTTTTTTTTCTTTCGGGAATTCTGGCAGAAAACTGACTGAACGCCTCTTTTCATTCCGCACTTCGGCATACAATTGTTGTAGTTTCGCTGGGTTTGGACGAGAATGATTCGAAAAAGACCACGCTTGAGGTATATCGCCAGTACTTCGAAAAGCCTTTCGTCAGTGCCACCGAGGTTTACTACAAGATGGAGTCTGAAAAGTTCCTTAGCGAAAACAGCGTTACAGAATACATGAAGAAGGTAAGACAATGGCCTTTTTTTTATGTGTGGTGTGCTTACGACACGGATTAGGACGGCGGTCTAATAACTCATTTCTATATTCGCTATTTCCGACGTATTTAATTCTATAGGCGGAGGCCCGCTTGGCGGAGGAAGAAAGCCGTGTGCAGATGTATCTCCACGCAAGCACACACAAGCCCCTTATTCAGACGTGTGAAACGGTCCTCGTCAAAGGCCACACGGAGATCATCTGGGAGGAGTTCCAGAACCTCTTAAACCAGGATAAGCAGGAGGATCTTTTCAGAATGTTCTCGCTGCTGCTCCGCATCCCCGAGGGTCTCGATCCACTCCGGGCTCGCTTCGAGGCGCATGTCCGAAAGGCTGGTTTGAGCGCAATTGAAAAGATTGCCGACGAGTCGTCAGATACCTTGGTAAGGGCCTTGTTGCAGTAGTGTAATGTGCGAAAGCGACCTCACTACATGGCCATTTCCTAATTGCTTTTTTGGTCTCTATGCTTTCTCATGTGAATATAGGAGCCTAAGGTGTATGTGGATGCACTCCTGGAGGTCCACAAAAAGTACAATGACCTTGTGCAGACTGCATTCCGTGGTGAAGCCGGTTTTGTGGCATCCCTGGATAAGGCATGTCGTGAGTTTGTGAACCGAAATAAGATTTGTAAGTCGTCGACATCAAAGTCCCCGGAACAGCTGGCCCGCTACTGTGACTCCTTGTTGCGAAAGAGCTCCAAGAACCCCGAGGAGAACGATTTGGAGGAGATTCTGAACAGCATTGTAAGTTTGGATCTTTTTGTGCTATTGACCTATTGAATTTATTGTTTGCATGAAAGGCACTGAACTCACACATCACATTGGGTATATCTAGATGACAGTGTTCAAGTACGTGGAAGACAAGGATGTGTTTCAAAAGTTCTACTCCAAGATGTTGGCGAAGCGATTGGTCAACGATACGTCTGCATCGGATGATGCGGAAGCTGGCATGATCTCAAGGCTGAAGGAGGCATGTGGATTTGAATACACCTCAAAGCTCCAGCGCATGTTTACGGATATGGGACTTTCGAAGGAGTTGAACGACCAGTTCAGGGATAAGATGGCACAGAACCATGATTCGTCCGAGAACACGGTCGACTTTTCGATTCTTGTACTGGGTACAGCCTCGTGGCCTTTGCAGGCGCCCACGACGTCGTTTAACTTGCCAGACGATGTTGTCAAGACATACGAGCGATTCCAGGCATTCTACCAGGACAAGCATTCTGGACGCAAACTTAACTGGCTTTTCCAGCTGTCGAAGGCGGATTTGAAGACCAACTATATCAAGTCGAGTAAGACTGGGTATTCTTTCCAGACGTCGACATACCAGATGGGCATTCTGTTACAGTACAACAACGGTCTGTCCTACACTTTTGAGGAGCTGCAGACACAAACGAATTTGAACCCGGAGATTCTGTCAGGGGCGCTAGGCATCTTGGTGAAGCTCAAGGTCCTTTTGCTGGAGAACGGAACCAATGTCGGCGATGCAGGCACGAGATACGATCTGAACATGGACTTTAAAAAGTACGTATCTGACTCCTTGGATTAACTGATCGGGTTGTATTAACAAATAGAACTGGACTGAACTGAACTGAACTGAACTATGCTAATTGATTGACTAACTGAGCACATTATTTTATTTTATTTTATTTTCTTCCCTTGCTACGTTGTTATTGTGTATGATAGCAAGAAGATTCGTGTTAACTTGAATATGCCATTGAAGGCAGAACAGAAGGTGGAAACGGAGGAGACGCACAAGACAATTGAGGAGGATCGCAAGTTGCTAATGCAGGCAGCGATTGTGCGTATCATGAAGACGCGCAAAGTGATGAAGCATGCTGCCTTAATGAGCGAGGTCATTACTCAACTCCAGACCCGGTTCAAACCCCGTGTGCCGGACATCAAGAAGTGCATTGACGTACTGCTGGAGAAGGAGTACATTGAGCGAGTCGAGGGACAAAAGGATATGTTCTCGTACGTTGCCTAAGTGGAGGTGGATCCAGGACGAAAAGAGACGATCCAGCAACGGTAGCAGAGGCATGGGACACAAAGACAAACACGCCACGCAAGTTGTTTGTTTGACGATAAGTTCTTGGAGAGCTTGTGGACTTGAGAGAGAGGAAGGGAGAGGAAGAGAGAGGTAGAGAGAGGGAGAGAGACGAGTCTCTCTGGGGTTTTTTTCTTGTAACAAATAAGACCATCCAGCCGTAAATAAACCGACATCTGTCATCAACACCAACATTGTGTTTATTAATTAGATTATTGTTACTAGAATATGCAGTAGATCAAGAGAAAAATAATAGCAGAGAACAGACAAAAGGACGAACGATGAAACGATGAAGGACGGGAATGAAGACACAGGGTGGTTTTGCTAAAACGGACGGAGCATGGATGCGACGGGCGGTATGATGAATGGGTTAGGCTGTCAAGCGGTGTAATAGGGTGTAAGCGTCCGATAAAGATAAAGTGTCCTCTGGCCAAGATGAAGAAGATGCCCTTGGCTCCTTCCAACTCGCTCACTTTGTTCCTGCTGCGGTCTCGGTCAAGTCTGGATGGCTAATGACACGGATACTGTCAAGCATCACCGGTGCAGCGGTGGGCTCGCGACCATGTCCATGTTCAACATTGGGCTCGGTGCTATTGCGCTTTTGCCGGTAAGACAGCGACGATGATGATGACTGTCCAAAGCCCTCCTGATCCTTGATCCGACGATCAATCACCAATTCCTCCCAGCGTGATTCAGCAGCGGTGTCCTCCGAAGACTGGTACATGCGGAGATCCAGTCCATCACACCAACGAACGAGACCCGTGAGCCAGATATTGTACTGCATCGGAACGAAGGCCACACGATCGTGCTCGCCACGGTCGTAGCCAATGCCAGGTCCACGCATCCGGTTCAACCTGTACTCGAGCTGAGCCCTCTTTGCAGCAAGTCCAGTGGCTGTGGCGACAGTTGCGCCGACATGTCCCTTCTCGGGGTCGGT